GAGTGACATCAGATACCGTTGCTTTGTTTGAGGCTAAGATCTGCCAGCAACCAAATGGTTCATAATCCAATCGCTGCCTTCTCCAGAATGACTACTGTGATCAGCTGTCGTTCAGGAAACATAACGATTATCTATGTTTTGAATGAGTTGTAACCACTGTTCTGTACTGGCGTTGAACATTAACAGCATGCCTTAGGATTACTAGAGTCGGTGGGGTAGCCTAGTGGTTAAAGTGTTCGCTCGTCACGCTGAAGACCCAGGTTCGATTCCCCACATAGGTACAATGTGTGAAGCCCATTTCTGGTGTCCCCGGCGAGATATTTCTGGAATATTGCTAAAAGCGGCGTAAAACCATACTCACTCACTAACTAGTTTGACGCGGCCATGGGATCGAACCGTCGACACATTTTACAGTAATACATAGGCGTGTTTCAATCAGTAATGTCAACAGTGAGTGAACTCAGCAATGTAAATAATCGAGTCTGGACCAGACAATCCAGTGATCAACAGCATGAGCATCGATCTACGCAATTGAGATACGAAGACATGTGTCAACCAGGTCAGCGAGCCTGACCACCCGATCCCGTTAGTCGCCTCTTACGACAAGCATGGGTTACTGAAGATCTTCGAGGGTCCAACTGTGAGAAAGTGGTGTCTCAGTGGGTGCTACCAGGGCTATAAAAGTCAGGAATATTAACTACATATAGGAACATATAGGATTGTATGATATGTTTAACGACATTGCCGACAGTGAAGCTGTCTCGAGGGCTGTTGCCAGAGCTATAAAACCAACAGGAATATGCAGGAATGTGTAGGAATATCGTCGACCAAACGTACAGCTGTGGTTACAAGTCTTCTGTACCCGGTTACACGCGGCAGTGATACTATGTTGAAAATGTCCATTGACGTACACGACTAAGATAAACGTGCAAGTATACCGGTTACTACCCCCTCAGTCCCCCCCCCTACCCTCCCCTTCCCCTTTCCACAGTCACACACGTCCTTGTAACACGGCCATGAGCAGGAGGAATGTGGAGTAGGATGGCCCCGAGAATGTCGGACTTAGCGATACTGTTGGACACAACTCTTTTGCTTATCTTTGATCACGCTGACATTTATGATTTCTGTGATGGGTGGGTCGATTGCTGGAGTCAACAAACCAGACTAGATCAAAAACAGAAACAATCATACCATTGGTAACACATGGGCGTGTCACGCTTAGAAACAGCGTTGTCAGGTATTTAGAAACAGCGTTAGAGCGTTAAGACATATAGGTATTTTGACCCTACCCTGGTACTGTCACGCTTAGAAACAGTACTAGGGTAGGGTCTATATACCTACATGTATATGTCTTTCTAACGCTGTTTCTAAGTGTGACAGTACTAGGGTAGGGTCCATATACCTATATGTCTTTCTAACGCTGTTTCTAAGCGTGACACGCCCCTGTGATTGGTAACACCCTGTTGTACTTGAAGACAGAGCTCTCGCTGGATAGGATCACCCTTAACTTATGCTTATTAGTGTTTACGCCGCCCTCATCAATATCACAGCTGTTTGAAATTAATCGAATATGGACCAGACAATCCAGTGATTGATTCTACGAGCATCAATCTACGCATTTTGGAATACATTGACATGCGTCAGCCTTGCCAGCGAGCTGAACACCCGATCCCGTCAGACGCCCCTTCCGCCGAAGGTCAAGGCTAAAGTTGGATTAGAAGCTATGTCATATCAATGTAGTCGTCTTCTTGTTATTCACCCAGAAAGGACGAGGGTGCATTTACCTCATTTTATATGATTCAGACACTTCATTGTGTGTTACATCTCCCATCTTCATGCATGAATGCACGTCATCCACAGCGATGTCTTGGGTTTTATCTTGGACAGAAGTGGCACTATTGATCGCTGTGAAGTCTTTCGTGTCGTCTGCTGATTGTTCTACAAAGAGCGCTTCAATAATTTGTCGTATGTACTGAAATCCCACAACGTTTGAATCCGGCGCGATACAGCCCACGTGGGTAATGGTAACGACGAAGAGATACATACGCTATCTCCAGGCCTCATGGGTATTCCTGGTTGCAAAAGGCACTCAGTAACCTTGGTACGTCGTACATGACGACTTAACCCATGAAGATCCGGGTTAGAATTGATCTGCAGTAATCCATGCTAACGGGATCGGGTGGTCAGGCTCGCTAACTTGATTGACACATGTCAGCGTATCCCAATCGCGTAGATCGATGCTCATGCTGTTGATCACTGGATTGTCTGGTCCAGACTCGATTATTTACAGACCACCGCCATATGATTGGAATATTGCTGAGTGTGGCGTTAAACTAAACTCACTCACTCACATGGCGACTTAAGGGATATGATGATTGCCTGTAGTTTAAACTAACATATCGATCAAAGACATAACCTTTAATATAAGATATAACTCCCAAACAAGTTAAAGTTGCTGAAAAGTTATTTCGTTGAGGGTCGAATCAAATTGGAAGCACATTTTTGTAACCAATATATGTCATTTGAAAACGAGCAATCTCTTTTGTGAACATAGAATGGGGTTTGTCTCGTATATCTATATTCATCTTCTTAATCACAATTTTAATGGAATCCGTGAGTCAACATGAGAGTGACAATCGGTGATTCATTGTATATAACACTAGCCCTGTGAAAGACTTATCATCTGCCCCTTAAGACGTCAACAGTTTCAATCTCGATACATTGTTATACATTCTTTAACCGAAGAATGAAGAACACGAAAACATTCTGGATTCTCCAACGAAGCGTACCGGTCGACATATATCCGTGCATACGAGTTAGACTTGATTTTGTTCTGATCCTATTGTGCGCAGCCCTAAGGGTATCCATGTCTTGTTGTATCGGGCGTAATCTGACTCGAGTAAGACCATTGAGCCAACAGCATATCCCTTGAAGCGACTGTACATAATGTCACTATACACATTATATATTGACATACAGGGGAGAATACTGCCTGTCGGGGAATGACAGAGTGCCGCTCTATAAACCACTGATAATCCGCGGATTAGTAGATACTTAATATGGCATTACTCGACTGTGTCTATGGTGTGGTGTTTGGTACTCTGCTTCGGTCCAGTGAGTTTAGGTCTGTTACACTTCAATACGTAGCAAATCTACATACACCGCTTGTATGGGTAATACAAATTTGGATCCTTCTTAACATGGATTTTAGTATGGTTTACGCTTTTAAGAACACCTCGTCATCTCTAATTTGTCTGATTTGTCAGCATTTTAGGTTCGATAACAACTGTTTTCGTGGATAATCTAAAGTCGGTCGTAATTTGCTTGTGATATTTTTCAGCGTTATTTGTGTTTTTTACTCCCAAGAGAAACTGTTTTGGTGGATAATGTAGATAGATAATCTGAAGTCGGTCGTAATTTGCTTGTGATTTATTAAACGAATGTGTATAAAAGCATGTGTATATAACTCAGCCGAACTGTCGAAATGCTGTGAAATCTCGTTAACTCGACGTAGATTGAGTCATCCAGGCTTCGGAACAAAAGGACGGTTGCAAATAAACCACATTATATAAAGGGATGCTGCCCAAGTGTAACTTGAGTTAAATGATCAAACATTATTTGAAACATTAAGTGTCTAAGTTGCTAAATGCACATGTGAGTGCTTACATGATTTATTGTTTAGAATGTATTTGCTAGATGTTGTTATACTTATTCAATTGTCGTAACCCGGAAGTAGTGTAAAATATGTTCCCCAATACCAACGCAGTGTATTATCAATAATAGATATCAGTGTCACCTATGCTTCATGCCTCCCAATAGGAAACTGATTGTTGTCTAAACGAACATTAACTTGATCACATGAGAGGGTGATCACATTCTTGAAAGTCTGGTGGTGATAGGACAATATGCATTGCAATGGTTAAGACAATAAACTACAAAATTGCTACATGGATACCAGGTACAAAGCCGACGGTAATGTATTGTAATGTTACACGGGTACAACCTTTTGCCAGGTTGCTGCATGTCACCGTTTTACATTAAAACATTTCTTACGATTATGGAAATATTTGTATGGATAGTATTTTTGTATATAAAAATGTAGGTGAATTGTATTAAATTTCCACTCGATGTATGAAAGACCAAAAAATTGTTGTCTCATTTGGATGGCACAAGTTTTGGTGGGATGTCATTCTGTGTGTTTGTTAGAACTGTAGTTTTATCTCCATGCAAGAAAACCTTCATTCACGTGTAAAACACACTAGAAAAATTCCATACAGCTCTGTGTGATCACGTGTCGACCGCGCCCCATTTCCGGATTGTGAAACTCCGTAGTACCGAGTTGTCGGACAACTTCTGGGGACAGGCTCGCGTTACAAGAGCCGGGGTGTGATGTCCTGGTATCCTGTGATTGATGGGGCACACGAGGCGGCAACTGTGACGGGTTGCCACTCACCTTCCCCGTAAACTTGACTACGAGAGCAATTTAAATTGACAGTCTAACAAAACGTAAAAATCTGCAGAATGTGCGTTTACCTGAACACCCAGGTCATCAGATGCCGAGTACAAAGTAGAGCAAATTCGTACTTATACGAATAAATATAAATATAATGATAAATATAAATATAAATAAATATAATGATAGACTTGATAACAGTTACACACAAAACTGTCGGGAAATCAAAATCAAAGGTACTTTTCACTAAATATGTGGAACATATTTCATATAAACAAGATTCTATACCACTTGCATTTATTTGTAAATGTAAAAAAATATGTTTCTAACTGCAAATGAATGATTAGTAAAAAAGCAACAACAAAGCAAGAATATGATTATAAACACTGCACAATAGTACCAGAATACCTTTTCAAGGTTCTAAATCTCTTGATATCGATAAGTTAAGTTTAAGAATTGTTAATATTTCAGGGACTGTTTATTCATTGATGCATACGTTTTCTTCCTTTGATTGGAGCCCCATTTTATTCTTTCCTTTTACTTTCAGGATGATGTGCCACTTGGCTGCCAATCAGGTAAAAGGAATTTTCTACCTAAGACGCCATTTCCAACTTAAATCACTGTCAAATGAATTGCCACTGAAGAGACGAGTTCTGTTTCTGTTTTCAAGAATTCTTATTATCTAGGAGACCATGAAGATATTATCTTACGTCCTGTCACATATTATATTATATACATTATATTATATTATATTATATTATATTATATTATATTATATTATATTATATTATATTATATTATATTATATTATATTATATTATATTATATTATATTATATTATATTATATTATATTATATATTAATAAAGTTCAAATGTTTGGCCAAAGTATTGTATTGTTTCAAAGAACAATTACTTAACAGGTTGGACGCTGGTCGGAGTTCAGTGTTTCAAGTTATACAAAGGAATCGTACCATGGGAAAGTGCTGCCAGTGTTTGTAAAAGGTAAGTGTGATTACAACATGGTCACGTGATTATCTTGACATCTCTATTACGTACGGGTGGTGAAAATGGGTCGAATGTGTCCAGCTTTGTTTATATCGTTCTCTATGCCGTTATAGGTTACAGACTAGAACTGCTGACTGAAACGTTACACCGGGACATTACTGACTGAAGTGTCACAGCTGACATTCCTAATACGCCGTTAGTTTTCATATTGCTGACTATCATGCAGAAGTCACTGAGATATGGAGGTCATCATATCATAGCTGAAATATTCCCAGGTGACGTTGCTTATACTATACTCACTATGTCAAGACGGCTGAAGACCACGACTATGATTCTAACCCAGATCTCCATGGTTTCACCTTTTTAATAGAGGGGGTAATTTGTTGACGGCTAAAGACAGTGTATGAAATAAGGCCCGTCCGACCGCCCCGAGACGGGTTCGATTTCAGACGGACGGTCTAGATTTACAGCTAGCCAGCCCGATGGTCTGGTAAAAATTTAGATGTTATATACATCTGAGTCATATCTTGGTGTCTGGTCTGGTTAAATCCATTTTGGACTGGTAACATTTTGAAGTTACCAGTCCTGATGTCTGGCTGGGGTTTTGGCTTATTTCATACACTGCTAAAGACCACAGAACAAGATGATTTTATTACTAATGCCCTGAAATACGTGAAATGAGGTGTCCCTCATATTTCATCCATTTCTGACACAAATCATGTGTCCTGTAAGACAGATGTCAAGGTAGAAGTTATCACGGACAAACTATGACGCATCATAACAAGGCACATGGCGTCTGGTGCTGTCTACATTCTTATGAAGGGTGTATTAAGATATTGGTACTCTGTTTTTGATTTCGGGGCATATATGGCTGATTATGTCGACGATTATTCTCAATGTGGCATGCATAAATCACCAACTGTCGACGAGATGTATTTTAGTGACGAAATGATTTATTAGCTGCATACCAATGAAAGACAGTTGGCCTTGTTTCATGTAAACACGCAAAGGGCAACAATGAATTCAGCATTAGATCTCCATCCCCTTTTAGAAAGTGAAGCGGGGTATTATATCTTTTATTCAATTAAATCAGCTGTTCATGACAACTATAATAAACAACATAGAACGTCAGTGAAAAGGAATACCCAGACTTGACTATTCTCACAAACAATTATCTTTGGTGTAAAGGAATTGATAGTCTGTCTCACAGTTCCCGAACCATATTATCTTCCATACAGCCTAGCCCTCCCTGCAATGCTAAAGCCCTAAAGCAAGTCTAGATTTCTCCAGATTCTGAATTTCCCATCTTACTTTTCTGAATCTCTGGTCTCCTGGGGCTCCTTTTCAACTTATTTGGGTTTATTTGTCACAATCAAAATTACCTACATTCAGAGACTAAGAGTTAGTCTAAGGGAATAACAGCTGTTAAAAGTATAAGAATGGATCGCTGAAAATCAGTAATGACACCTGGTGTTCGTGAAAGTGTAGCACCCGGTGTTCACAAATTTGCCTAAAACGGAAGTATCTTTGGCACAGTTAGGGACGTAAATGTATTGGTGATACGTTTTGTAGTGAGGGCTGTGCTCACAGTTTCACATAAAACTCCTCCCAATTATTCATGATTCCTAACTTGTTTTGTTCAGTATATGTACATTACCTGTCGATGGGTGTGGCTCCCTTGAAGGAAAATGGTACTTTCAATAAAGGTTCAGAGAAACGATATATGAGTGTTATTTCCTCCCTTTTATGTGTACATGGTGACATTAAACCTATATTAAGCTGGTTGTCTGGTAGTAAGGCAGAATAAAACATACTCTTATAATTTACTTATCGTGTCCTAATACATTGTATTCCCTTTGCATGTCTTTGTGACGAGTACCACGGGTTGGTCAGGACACCCCCACCTTTCCACAAACACCCGATTAGATGGTGGTTCATAAACAAAAGCTTCTGAACAGTTAAGGGAAATATTGTACTCACAACCCTTCGCACATGAAGATAATCCTATGATACATGTAACGTGATCTTCAGTTCAAGCCTGATTGGGTATTTGAAGACGACAGGCGTTTTCAGGCCTGTATTTTACAGCTGTTTAAAGTTGGGAAAATTATGGCTGAGTCATAAGAGTTGGGGTTCCAGAAGCCTTTTTACGTTTTGGGTAATTGTCATACATTTTCAGTGTCATACGTGGTTTAGAAATACTGCACACCATTGTATCTATCATAGAGACTATATGTGCTGAAAGTCCTTGTCATACATTATAGGTGACACAGAGACTAAAGGTGCTTCAATCATTGTCATACGTTGTAGGTTTCACAGAGACTAAATGTTTTGAAAATCATTGTCATACATTTTAGGTTTCACAGATATTTTAGATATTGTAAATACTAGCAAATACAAGAATTCTCTGTTAAAAGCTATACAATGTAGGTGGCCTAGCGACTATAGGTTTTGTAAGTTATTGTTATACGTTGTACATGGATTGTGTAGACTTAAGTCATTGTCATTCTGAAGGTGGCATTGAGAGGATATATGTAGATAGCCATACACTGAACAGTCATAGGGGCGATTGAACTTGAAGGTTATTATCATATATGAAGTAAAATGTCAGCATCTTTGAGGCAATTTGTGTTGAAAGTCATTTATGTTCATAAATGTTCTACTTTGACTTATAGTATGACCAGAAATTATTGAGAATTTTAGGAATATGTTTAATTGGATTTCTAGTATAAACAACCTTGACCAGCTATCAAGTACTTGGTTTCATTCAAGAGAGACAACTCCGTTAATCCTTTTTCATTAGTTTGTGAAGAGTTATTCCCCTTTGTTTACTTGCTAGCAGACGACATTTTCAGTGCTCCTCAGTATGGATGATTTGGAGAAGAGGAAGTTGATTTTAGAGTATTATAACAAGGACATCAGATCAGCTAAAGTGATTTCAAGTAGAACAGACATCCCTTTGTCCACTGTTTATCGTGTTTTGAAAAATATTGCAAATGGATATGGCATTGAGCACCAGGGAGGCGCAGGTAGGCCCAGAAAATTGACTGTCGGTGACAGGAGGCGGCTTGATATTCTTGTTTCTAAAAACAAACGAATGAAAACTTAAGGCTGGATATGATTGATAGAGGAACTGTGGCTGTCTGTAAGGAGACAATTAGAACTGAGCTGCATGCAATGGGTTGGCAGAAAGGTCGAGGAATTCCATCACCTGAACAAAAGGAGCGAAGGTTGAACTGGTGCTAGCAGCATAGAAATTTTAAATGGGACAATGTGATTTTCTCAGATGAAAGTTCTGTGTGGCTGTTTCCTAATACACTGAAATTCTGGACCAAACAAACTGAAAAACCTTTGTATCAGCGCCCAAAGTACAGTCCGAAATTTAACGTGTGGGGTGGCATATCTGTGTTAGGGGCAACACCCCTCTGTGTATTTGAAGGGAATATGAACAGTGAGCGGTACACAGATATTCTCGAGGGACATTTAGTTCCATCTGCTCACGTGTTCTATGGAATTGTTTTGATTTTCCAGCAGGACAACGACCAAAAACATCGTTCAAAGCATTCACAGGCCTGGCCTGGCCTGGTTTCGGACCCAAAATATGACATTATTAGATTGGCCAAGCTATAGCCCTGACCTAAATCCAATAGAAAGTGTTTGGGGACTTATGAAGGAAAGTGTCAATAAGTAAAATCTGACAAATATTGCTGAAATGAAAGAAGAGGTGGTCCGATATTGGGACAGCATGGACCACGACTTTCTAACTTCTTTGATCAGTAGTATGCCCCGCCGCATTGAAGCCTGCATTGCTGCCCATGGTGACTTGACAAAATACTAACTGTTCACCTGTCTTTGAATCTGGAGTTATGTTCTGCTAATATTCACATTTAATACGTGAGTAATGAGTGAAAAAAAATTAATACAATCTTAAATTCTCAATAATGTCTGGTTGTACTGTACAAAAATTCTACTATTTCCGTGTATTCCGATTCTCTCTAGACACACAATTAAAAGATCCAGTGTAGATATGTTGAAGGATTGTCTGATCAGCGTTATAGTAGACGGGCTTTTTATGTCTAATCAGATGACATCAGGTATGAGGTTTTCGGATGATGTTTCAGCTACGGAGCAGAAATGGCCAAAGTCACAGATTATTATGAAAACGAAGATGTTGGCAAGTTCGCAAGCAGTCAAAGTACAGACAAGTTTTGGATTGGTAAGTTGAACAATATTATTGTCATTTCCATATAGAGTCCAACCACTCACGAATTAAACATTTAAATCACATCTGTGATATACTGATTCACATGATTTGATGAAAACACAGGCCGTGAATATCATATCCATATTTCTTTAACTTAAATGTTAAAAGTTACTTTAAGAAACATTTTATTTAAAGTGTATATCCGATAAAAAATATCCTATTTGTAAACAAAATTATTTTCCTCATATGTTGTTTCTTCTTGTGTTTGATGTCAAGTGATTGTTAAGATGTCTCCGAGTTAACTATCTTGTTTTGTGAAACTTGATGTCCTGGCCATGAATAATTTATTTCATAGATATAAAAAATTCTATAGCAGCATTCATACCTGTGTCACGGGGTGGTTAGGTACTGGTCCAAGAGGATTTGATCAAGAATCACACTTATTGTGGTGATTGGTAACATTTTTAACATCCCCACCATCACTTGTCAAATCAGAGCCTTCACTCTTCACGACCAAGGTGTATTTTATTGACCCTGACTAATTAATACTTTGGTGCGTTTTATTGGCTTTCCATGTTGTTAAATGTGTATATATGTTGTGTTTAATGTATGTGACGCAAGTGAACACTTCAAATCAATGAAAACATTAATCGTTTTTAGCAAAACAATGTATATTCACGTGCACCGAACATGACTCAGTCATAAAGATGAAATATTACTGATGAAACTGAAAAGTAGAAAGAGGCAACTACGAAGGCAACCTTCATCCAAATAATTCAAACACAGTTGTCAGTGGCCGCGTCCAGGGTAATAAATCTAGGAAAATGATCGGGCCAAACCAGGATTTGAACCCACGTAGGTTTCTGACGCAGCTCTTTGAAGCAAGTTGCTGAAGATGGTGACACAGATGCAATACCTCTGTAAACATCTACACGAATCTGTAGTCACTTCTCAGCGTGGTTTCATTGATTTGTATGTTTGTTCTATGTTGCTAACCATTCATGCTTGTTTCCATGTGTGTTGTTGACTTCTCCTGCACTCTTGGTGATTTTGTTTTCTATAGGGTATAGCAGATTTATTTATTCTAAATATGGTAAGTTGTTTTTAAGAGGTGAATCTTAGATGTTCCTTTAGTTGCCAGCGTATAACATCGTAGGTATGTTCTGTACTCACATCTGGATCCTGTAGACAGTAAGTGCACGGTAGTAGAATCGTTCATGTAGCTAGTTTATATACACAGTTTTCGTCTTATAGTCTGATCTGAGTGTTATAACCCTTCAGGAAGGGTTATGTATAGTTGTAGTTTCATATTGTAGGATCATTGACTGTCACGTAGATAGTTTTATAGTTGTGACAGAAACATATGGCATTATGGAAATTATAAATGTCTATAATATGTTCGATTCTTGGAAGATAGGTTTGTTTTGCATAAGATGTGTATTGATTTAAAAAAGAAAAGAAATTGTGACCAAAACAATATGCAATTTTTTTTTCAAAACGGTCTTCAAGACAGATATATTGCATAATATAAATGAACTTATATAGCCATTTTGAAATGAAATATAATTCAACGAATTTGCATGTGCATGTGTTAAAATGCACTTTGGGGTGCCCAAAGTGTATTTTTACCTTTTCTTGATTACTTAATCCAGAAACAGGATATATAGAGTTATGTCCCTTGGCATTCAAGTTTTGCATGTGGAATGTAGCTATACATATGTAGTACAATGTGTATATACCAAATGTACAATAGACATGAAGAATATAAAGAATATTTAATTATTTAAAGTATACATATAATAGTACATGATTATTATTGAAAACAATATCCATTTCAGTGAAATTTTATCGTGACCTTAAATGTACAGGCATTACATTTTTCATAAGCGATATAGATATACGTTGTAAATATTAATTGCATTCTGTGCTGCTTTCAATGTTTGTCCTTTCGGTGTTACAATATCTATTTCTCTCTATATAATTCTCTCGTAATTCTGCAGTGAAAAGTGGATTTTCACATATTTTTTTCCAGGAATATTTGACAACGTTTATGATGTATCGTTTAATAGTTTAATCTTTACTTATATGTTCTAAGAAGGTATCTGCCATATGCATTGGCAGTAATATTAAGGTACTCCGTAGAATTCTAAAGTGCAATGCGAGTAAGAATGACAGTTTCAAATAATTTCATAGCATTGGGTCCAAGCTGCTTGCACCTCGGCCTTTGTGTATCTGCTTCCACATATGCGAGCGGTTTCCAAAGAATATGGGTATACAAGAACATTTCCTGATGTAATCTAGATATGGGATAACTATTCATATCACTGCCAAAGGTACCAGAGTGGGAATCCCGACACTGGTTAACTATGAAGTCACTTCATGATGTTCTAGACAGACGCTGAAAGCTCTGAGAATATTCAGTTTTGATATTAACAAAGGACAAAAAAATAATTGAAAAGGAGCCCCGGTGAGGTGGGCCTGAATCTGAGGAAAACCTAGACTTGCTTCATCTTCATTAAAGTCTGGGCACGAACGCTTAGTTCTGAATATATCTATAATTTCGTTAGACACAAATATTTCCATTTAAATTGAAAAGGAGCCCAAGTCATGTCGGAGGTTCAGAGGAAAATCGACATTTATTTCATTTTAGGACATTTTCGATGCGGAAAGGGCTGGGCGGAAGGGAACAAAATGTGGTTGAGGCACTGTAAGACAGATTATTGTGCCACACGGTGGTTTGATTGTACCTCACTCACCCATTGACGCTCTCACTGATTGTCTCCCCTTTGTGTCAGGTTTCACTCGGGCGAACGCCGCCGCTGGCAATCAGCGGATAGGATATTGGAGCGACGGCCAGGAAACATCAATTGCAGCAGGTTTCTGGAAGAACGATCAACCAAACTCTCAGGATGGAAATTGTGCCTACGTGGAGAAAATGGACAGATACTATTGGTCATTTGGTCCTTGTGAAATGAAGTTGTCGTATGTTTGTCAGAGACCAGCTTGTCCAACTGGTAAGGACATCTCCACCGAAAATCTATTAAATCTATAATTATCATACTTAGCCACCATTTACCTTGTTTGTTGTTAAGAATATGTATTATGTCAAGTACAAAATCTTGCATACGGTACTTTATTCATGTTGTGTTTTAGGGAGCTACCATTGTACCAGTGGCCGATGTTTAAACCAGAACCTAGTCTGTGACGGTGAAGATGACTGTGGGGATGGCTCCGATGAAAGGAACTGTGGTAAGACGGGACTAGACACTCTTAGTCTCTGAATATATATAATTCTGATAGAAACAAACAATTCTAGGTAAAGTCTTGTTTCATGTAGGGTTTTAGCATTGCAGAAAGGCCAGGCAGAAGGGAAAATATGACGGTTCAGGGACTGTGAGACAGACTAGGAGTAGGACTGCAGGAAGACAGGGCTATACATGGTGTTGCCCTCCAATGAATGGGACACTTAATTATCATCCAAAAAAATACATTAAAATATCTTGTATGTAACAGGACTAAAATCCAAAGTAAAATGTTTTCCTAGTAGGAATTCCAGATTTTGCAAAGTAAATAGAGTATATTGATTTAGAAAATAGCTTCCGTTGATTCCTTTCATTTGGGCCTGTGAGGCTGCCTCCTAATTGAACGAATTCTAGCAGCTAGTATCATTTTCTTGATATAACAAATGTTTATCACCCAAATGATGTATTTTTTCCCAGTGCTATCTATTTATGAAGTGATAACTATGTGATGTCATGTGTTCAAATCCAACATTTTTTTATCTTCCAGCTCAACGATGCAAGTACTACTACATGCAAGCCGCAGGCTCAATCACCTCCATGAACTACCCTAGCAACTATATTAATGCCTTGAACTGTCTGTGGGTGATCGAGGTCCCACTTGGACAAAATGTTTACCTCAAAGTACGTGTCAAATGCTTGAATACATATGTTTACTAATCCATTGAACTCATATTCTGATGAGTAGATCTTGAATATTCTGCAGTAGGCAGGGATCTTGTCACTGAATGCTACAAGACAACTTGTACATGTCCACAGTTACAACCTTGTCTAATTTCTAGGGCTGCAACCATTCACCCAGACTTCAGTTCGATTTGATTTCCAATATTGGACCCTCGATTCAATCATTTTCGATTCGATTCCTCATACAAGTAGAAACATCAGATTTCATTCAAATCTCAGAGTCAGTGTTTTTATCGTGAAACCCATCGTCAACGTGGCGATGTCTGCTAACAACAGTTGTCATTTTATTATTAGGCCGGTGTCAACCAGTCACGTTTCGCCTTATTTCAGCGCTCGAAACTGCTCGAGTTGGAGTCAAAATTACATTCTGGCTGTGTGGAAACTAGTGTTGGGAATTGGTTGAAATCTAATAATTGATGATTGGTCCATTACAACTGATCAATCACCGAAAATAATTGGTTAGCGTCATTTATTAAATGTCCCTGTTATTTTTGTTAATGCACACACAAAAATAAAGCAAAAACATGTAGTAATTTGGGTGTTTTCAAGTTGCTTAGAGTCCATTTGCAAATTTTGCATATTTAAAAGATGATTAGTATGTTAGGAACACATACTTCCTGGATTCTTTAAGATAAATTTAATCATGACTTGGAACGAGCTTGTATTGCTTATGAAATGTAAATTTAATGACACAGACAAAACCAGCCTTGTGAAAATTATTGTAAATGCAAACAAGTGTTCCAAGATTGGTCGTGTTCGATTACGAGAAAACATGTTCGATTGCTTGGTCGCTTAGTCAGTGCGACCAATCTTCGATTATTTCAATTAATCGGACCACCACTAGTGGAAACCATTTAAATTGGTATTAAAATAATGAATCGAAATAATGATAATGGTTATTGAAACTCCAACTAAAGTGTCAGAAACGATTTTTGATGAATCGAACTGAATCATTGCAACCCTACTAATTTTTGTACCTTCCTCAGGCATTATGAGCATATTATCACCCGTGATGTATACAATTATTGACTTCACTTGAGGTTGATCCAATGATTTATTGACCTTGGACAAGTCATTTTCTGCTTTATTTATCTGCTTTTATGAAATGGTACTTAAATATGAGGATGATAAACCTGAAAAAATATACCTGTGCACTTCATATTGTCATTTGCCTTGCTTTTTAAGTTCACCAATTTCTCCACGGAAATGGGTGCTGACATAGTGCAGGTGTTGGTTGGGGGACCAACTGAGTCCCAGGGGCAGCTTGTGGCTACCCTGTCTGGAGATAGGCGTGCAAGCCTTCCTGAGTACATCAGCACCAACAACTTCATGATCGTCAAATTCACCAGCGACAGCCGCAGCAATGCACTTGGGTTCAGAGCTGAATTCAGCGGAAGTGAGTTTAATCTTCACCACTTGCTTCAAAATATTATTTCTGTTGATTCATTGTTTATTTCTGACTTTCAATATGTCAGATGAAGAAAGTTTTGCACTTCTGTGAACTACAGGGACTCTAATTTACAATACAAAAATAATAAAAATGTGAGCTCAGTGACTTCTATTCCAAAATTCTTGTTATTTGAAAGACTAGACTGAGATAGTAGATGTATGGTTAACAAATGCATTAATGCATGGAAATGTGTTATAAATCACATTTCCAACTGTTTATAGATGGGTGTGTCTGTTGTGTTACAATAGGCCTTTGAATTCATACATGTTTCCGTCTTCTATGCCTAATACGATTGTATGACTGAAATTTTTCGTGTTATAATGACTTTATTATGAAACTTAATGTAGAATTAAAACAGGAATCAGTATTTGGGTAGCCATGTCGTTTAAATTTGCAATGAGCTGATACACTGGTGAATCATGATACCATACTGCAAATGTCCAAAATGCCTACTTATTTAAGTTGATGCAATTTAAAAAGAATTTCTTGTACTTGGCCAATAAAAAAACATCAGGATTTTATTTTTGGAGCAATGAAAATTAATTTCAATTTTTTTCTTATTCAAGAAAAGATATGACCAGCGGATCCATACAACAAGGAATAAAATTTGTCTGACCTAAATAAAGAAGAAATTAGTAAAAATTGAGTAACCTGAACTTGTCTGTGTATTAGATGCTTCACTTACCATATATTATTGTCCACGAAGCAAGAGTTGACTATTTTGCCTATTAATGTCAGAGAAGGGTAACAATTGATAGCATGAGCAATATGTACATTTCTGTCTTCAGGGAGTGCCAATCTTCAGCCATACCAGAGTCTCCAAGCAACAGACACTCCCAAGACCCTCATTGCCCCAAATTATCCCTCCATGTATCTGGCGAGTCAGGATTATACCTGGATCATCAACACTGTGATGCAGACTCAGATCATCACTCTAAATGTAAGTGCTGTATAATGATGCAGACCATTCATCACGCTCACAGGAAGGGTTGTATACTGACACATTGATGTAGAATTAGGATTCTCATGATGCAGTGTTATCACTTGTTTTATATTGACTCGTAAAGATGCAGGTTATAATTGCTCTTCAGCAACCCATGCTTGTCGTAAGCGGCGACTAACGTTATCGAGAGGTCAGACTCACTGACTTCGTTGACACATGTCATCGTGTCCAAACTGTGATCAATGCTCATGTTGTTGATCACTGGATTGTCTGGTCCCGACCCTTTTATTTAAAGACAGCAGTCATATAGCTGTAATATTGCTGAGTGCTGCATTAAACAACAAACCAACCTACCATGTTCTCATCCCAGATATGAATTGGAGGTGTCAGCAAATTAACTTCTCTTTTTTTTCTCTATTTCAGATTGTGGAAGTGGACTTGAAGGGCATGGACAAAATCATCATACGAAATGGGGACTCTGTGAAGGCTAACTTACTGTACACATTCACAGCTGACACAGAAGTTGATAATATCCCCTTCATCTTCTCCACTGGCAACAGCATGTACATCAGCATGCAGACCCGAGGCTACCAAGTCGGGAAAGGGTTCAGATTTATATACAAACAAGGTGGGTTCAGATACACATACAGACAAGCTGGGTTCAGACCAGATGGGATCAAATGTTCATTTAGACTAGATGGTTCAAACGTACAGACAAGGTCAGTTCAGACACACATACAAGGTCAATTCAGAAACACACACAAGATCAATTCAGAAAGACATACAATATCAATTCAGAAACACACACAAGGTTAATGCAGAAAAACTTACAGACAAGGTGAGTTCAGAAGCACATACAAACAAGGTCAATTCAGAAACACACATAAGGTTGATTCAGAAACACATACAAGGTCAATTCAGAAACACACAAGGTCAATTCAGAAACACACAAGGTGAATGCAGAAAAAACTTACAGACAAGGTCAGTTCAGAAACACACACAAGGTTGATTCAGAAACAGATACAGACAAGGTCGTCTTAGATACACACACACACAAGGATGGTGTCAAATGGCGTTACATACAAGTACTTAAACTCAACTTTTTTATGCCTTTGAGAAATCATGATATGGTTGAATCTGTGACACAAAACATATCTAATGCCACATTATGTCACGGTACATCTTAAACTGTGATTACATTTCAGGATGTGACATGATGCTGACTTCCATGAAAGGTAGACTCTTCTCACCTGGATATGGCCTTGACGGCATCACCGGCATGGACTACCCCAATGACATCACATGTAACTTCAGAGTGAATGTGCCTGGCAAACCGAAAATCACACTCATCAGCCAAGGATTCAAGACTCAGGCTGGTGCAGATGTGGTGACTGTAAGATTTGCTTTCTGCAGTATCAAAATTGTGGACATCCTCAACTATCTGCTATATTATATGTTCATACCATGATGATGAATAACTAATATATAATAATATGACAATAATAATATCATGTGCTTTTCTCCAAGCATAATGCATGCACAGGGCGCCCAAACAATATGGTCCTAGATTTTCGAAGCTCTCTTAGAAGCGCTAATATTGTCGTAAGTGCCATACATTAACATTAACCTTAATACTATCTTAGCGCTAATAGAGCTTCGAAAATCTAGGCCCTGATTATCATTATCCTGGATAACCCAAGCTGCCTGTTAGGCACTAGCAACTTAATAGTCACATGACCTATCCCACCGGGTACCCATTATTTTTGGTGGGTGAACAGACTGCATGTTTTGTCTATCATTGCTTCATTTGAGAAGTGTTGTCCTCAATGTAACTTCTAACAGGAAGCTTTATCTGATTCGTCAAGTATTGTAATTTCAAACAGAAATGTGTTTGCTAATGTGTCCAGGTTTTACGGGATACAATATAACTATCCCTTATGCTTTGCACATAATCAACATTACAGGTCTTGGGTGATGCCAAAAAGAATTGTGGCTGTTCGAATCATAAAAGCTAATTAATGTGTTAGATTACCTGCTACATACAACAAACATTTATATTCAAGTAAGAAGTACACTCTCAGTTCAGAGCATATGATTTCCTCCATCCAATCCTAACACTGAAATCCCAATCTATCAAACAGTGCTAAAACAACAGTAGAATCTTTGACAATCACCTGAAACTTGCCATATTTGGTCTGCATGCAACAATAAAGTTCCCTGAATATTTATACAAGCATCCCAGTAAACAAATACTAGTTAATACCCGGTGATGTATTTTTCATGGTCTTGAGACATGATACTTTACATAATCAGCAGTGTCTTGTAGATAGGAAGTAATGTTACCAACATTGAATTACCTCTCCAGAACAGTAAATTCTTACTGAATTTTTCTTTCAACTCTGTCATTGACTTTTGCCACATGCGAACTCCATAATTGTTGTTTAGGGCCAGTATTGGGTGATGTGAAATGTTTTTACAGTGTCAAGTTGAAAAAAAAAAGTGGCCAAGTAATTTTCCTGATGTAAAGTAGTTACAGATGTGAAGATATACCAAGATTCAAACACCACGGGGCCAAACCACATGCATCTGAGGAATGGCCTTAGTTTTGGATGCTGTTTACCTCGTAGACTAACATTTGGTCTCTGAAATCAACATATTTTACAGAAAAATACTGTTCATAAGAAATAATCATAAAATATAAAGAAAAGGAGCCCAGAGATTGAAACTGTGGAAATATAAATTTGCCACATATTCTAAACTTGCAGGGACTTCCTTGGATATATATGTTTCAGTGTCTGTATGACAGCCTATTTAGGCCAAATAAAAAAAATGTTTAAAATTTAGGGTAGGAAGGAATATTTTTTACAATTTTTAAAAAAAGTAAAGTACGAACTAATAACACATTTATCAATGCGTAATTGTTTATTCAATCAAGCTTACGGTCATCATATCAACTTTCTCTGTCAGAATGACCAATGTCTGTTGGTGCCGGGAAAAAACAATGGTATCTGAAAGCTTATTTTATTCATACCTCGTAAAAAAAACTAGGGTCGGCACCAGAATTCAAGGGTTGGTCGGGTAATCGGAACCACAACATTGTTTTTTAGGCCTTACCCAGTTACTATGTATTTGTTCTACAGGTCCATTATGGAGGTGCCATGCCTGATACTCTCTCTGGAGATTCTCCCGTACCAAGCAGATCAAACAATGGAGAATTCAATGTCACTTTCGAAACCAATGCCATTATAAGAGAGAAGGGATTTCTTTTTGAATATTCAATTGGTGAGAAAGGAACTGCTTATTTTCACTAAAGTCTTGTTTAATAGGAAACTGCATCCTAATTGATGTTATACCTGAGGTATATACACTCAACACTTACCTGTGTAACCAGAATGATAATCAGGTTGTTTTAATCTTTGTACAGTAGTAGATATTATTTGACGAAGTTTCTGTTTTTTAATAAATCTTTTCAACTGTATTATTATGGTACATTTGTTTCAAGGATTAATCAAACTGTTGACACACATATTTCTATCTTGGAATGTCATTTATGTATACAACTTGTTATTAATATTACAATTTAATTCCAGACTGTCCCAACCCTAACTTCAATGATAAAACAGTTCTGACACCATCCAATGCTAACTGGCAATTTATGTCCGAGTTTACGGTGACATGCAAAGATGGATACAGGTTTGCCACTCAAGAATATCAGGACACAACCAAGTCGCCTGGTTTTGAAAGTTTCCCTTCAACAAGGATGATATGCACGTATGGAGGAAAGTGGGACCGCGAAACCACTCCAAACTGTCAGCGTGAGTGCCTATGAGTGAGTGAGTGAGTTTAGTTTTACGCCACACTTAGCAATATTTCAGCTATATGTCGGTGGTCTGTAAATCGAGTCTGGACCAGACAATTCAGTGATCAACAGCATGAGCATCAATCTATGCAATTGGGATACAATGGCAAGTGTCAACCAAGTCAGCGAGCCGGACCACCCAGTTGGTTGCCTCTTACAACAAGCACAGGTTACTGAAGATCAATTCTAACTCAGTCAATGAATGAGTGACAAGGGGTACATCACCCTGTAGTACATTATCATAACTCACGATATAGTCACAACTGTACAATCGACTCTACTTTTAGCAGAGGTTTCTTATGAATGTATTAATTATTATGAATTTTATTTAGACATATTTGTTACAGACTAAGCCGTACCATTTTTTACCATTATAACATTGCTTTTTAGTTTTCTTGAATTAGTGTATAGAAGTGGTGTCTCAACAGAATCGTTTTAGTCTGAATGTGACTTTTGTGTGACTGACATTTTCCATGTTTGGGGGGGTGGTGGGGTAGCCTAGTGACTAAAGCGTTGCTCGTCATGCCGAAGATCGAGGTTCGATTCCCCACATGGGTACAATGTGTGAAGCCCATTTCTGGTGCCCCCCAGAATGATATTCTTGGAATATTGCTAAAAGTGGCGTTTGTGTTTCAGCCAAGTACTGTGGACCAGCACCCCTCGTGAGCAGCGCCTTTGTCAACTCGTCAATGGGCCAGAGCAGCAGTGTTGGTGGAAGTGTCACCTACTCGTGCTACCCAGGGTTCACTCTCACAAACTCTGCTACCATCAGGTGTCGCAATGATGGCACATGGGAGCCCACTCCTACCTGCACAAGTGAGTAGCCAGCAGACTTCCCCAATTTCATACTCTCTCTGATTCCTATTCTTAGAGTGAATCACAAGTATGTGAATGGAATAGCTAAACTTGGTAGATTTGACTAGACACTCACTCACATCCAAGTGAAAATTCTTAACGATGCTTTGTGGAACTATTTCTAAGACATAAACAGAAATATTAACTTGATATTTAAAATTACACAATGAGCAAAACAGAGTATTGTTCTTTTAATATCAGAAAAAGTCATTTTGTACAATTGAGCAATTTTGGTTTAGAAATAAAGACTTTGAATGTAACATTGAATAATGTACTTGTCAGTGGTTTATATAGTTACCCTACATCTTGTGTTTACCTACAGTTGCCTCATGCAGTGCTTTACCTACAACCTTGAACTTTGGAAGCGTTACAAGGGTTCAAGGGGATGGCACTGGGTTTGGATCCATCATGAAGTTCACTTGCAATGCCGGCTACCAGATATCAGGAGACGCCATCCTGTTCTGTACCTCAGGAAGTACTTGGACTGCTCCTGTCCCTTCCTGTATTCGTAAGTATAACATTTATTGCAGTTTTGCTCTTGTGCACGTCAAGCAGTTGTTGGACAGCTTATGCCACTTACATGTAACTAGAAGGGGCGGTGGGGTAGCCCAGTGGTTAAAGCATCTCCTCGTCATGCTGAAGACCCTGGTTCTATTCCCACATGTTCACAGTGTGTGAAGCCCATTTCTGGTGTTGTGATATTGCTGAAATATTGCTAAAAGCAGCGTAAAATCATACTCGCCCACTGTAACTAGAACATCAACTGCAATCATACTTTTGCAGTCATACTCAGTTATACTTGTGTGAATATTATTGGTTGGTTGGTTGGTTTGTTGTTTAATACCTACTGAGGTATATTTGGCGTTACTATACAACGTTGTTAACACCCCACTCAGCAATATTTCACCCACATGGCAACAGTGTGTAAATAGTCGAGTCAGGACCAGACAATCCAGTCATCAACAGCATGGGCAATGATCTACGCAGTTGGGATGCGATGACATGCATCAACGTTATCCCGCTAGTCGCATCTTACGACAAGCATGGGTTACTCAAGACCAGTTCTAACCTTGATCTTCGCGGGTCGACCATTATTGAGCAAAGAGTGATTGATCCTCATCTGCTTCAAATAAACATTGATATGCACACTAGCGTAACATCACTGCCACGGGATAATTTGCATATCACGTGACCAGACTTTTTCTCTTCTTTGTAAACAAACACGCATATTCATAATAAGAAGAGACTGGCCTTACGCAAGCTTTTCAGCGTGCTCTTCACAATGTTTTACATTGTTACATGTATATTCTTCCACAACTGTGACAGTAACATTTATGACTACATATTTAGATATCAAACTGGTTGCATCGTTTGTTCTCTGTTGGTTTCGATGACAGCACGTGGAGACGTACAGCCTATGTAAACAAAGGATTGCTACGCAAATCAAAATAGTGTTACATGTTTTAGGATTTTTTCTCAGTGAAACTAAACCATTCTGTCAAAGATGTTTAATTAGATGTGTAGAGTCGTCAAAAATAAAAGAAATTAGAAATATGTAGATTATATCGAATGAACGGTGCAAGATGTAACGAATCCTCACATCTTTCTGGCCTGTGGCAGAGGTACTATGCTGGCTGGCCGCATGGAACTCTGGGTAGGAGAGTGATTGATATGGAGTTTGTATTCATTCATGTCCTGTGGTTGTTCTTCAGCACTGAGTTGTCCAATCCCCCGTATTCCTCATGGAAGAATGACCAACACGCAGGCGGCCGTATTTAGAGATGTCCGCTCAGTTGTCTGTGACAGCGGCTATAGGCTGAATTCTACCAGCGACCAGGTCACATGTGGTGCTAACCAAATGTTCACAAACCTGGATTCCATGGCCTGTGAAGGTGAGCAAATGTATTACTGAAAGGGGGCAAATAAGTTAAAATAAAGTTGGACTGCATACTTTACAATAGATGCGTAATTTTGAACGCTATGTTTTTAACTAATGTCAGTGAACTGTAAACATCTTATGTGCCTATTAGATATATATTTGATAATTTGAAAAGGTTTGTTGTTGTGATCATTTTTCTTGACTCTTCTTCACCATGAAATATAGGGGTGAAATGGTACGCTCTTACCATGGTACGGTTTGTATTGCGGTACATGGCCTTTGGTTTGGTCTGTTTCGGTTCTGTATATGAGAACTTACTTCTGGGAAAATAGCAGCCGTCTAGCAAAGAAATGCATAGATTCTGACAAAATGATTCGATTTCTGGACAAAAAAGGTTATAAAAGGTTAATAAAATGACAGTACAAAAACTGAAAATACCAAATTTTTGGATTGGATTATGGTATACCGAAGCAAAGGCAAAATACCGTGGTTCTATTAATACCGCCGTTTCACCCCTATTGAAAAATCATGAACTGGTGTCTCTATGTTTCCATTACAACCCATAATAAGAATTCAATATGTCAGTGTTACAAACTTGAAGGCTTGGTGATGTGTGATAACATAAATATCTGGTATATTCACCAAAGCTCTCACTTTTGCAGATATCGATGAATGTCCTTCACCCTGTACTCATAACTGCATGAATACAGATGGTTCTTTCACGTGCTCATGTCGCCCAGGCTACACTCTCCATGCTAATGAACGAACATGTGATGGTAAGTGTATTTATGATAAGTATCAAGATATGAGTAATGTATGATTATGCATTTTCTTGAGCTATTAGAAAGTAATTCTACCATGACTTCAGTAAATGCTGGATTGTGATTGGTATATCATCATGTTATGTACAAGAAGATTTCATGTTATGTACCTCTGATTTTCCAACAAAGAATGTATTTTCTTTTAATCTTAATAATATGGTTATGGTAGAATGGTAGACGTATATAATGAAGTTATAATAGCTCTAAATTTTTCATTTGAAACTGGATTTGAGGACTGTTGAGTTGATAGTGAAACTAGACAATTACAATGTCACTGAGTATCATCATCATGATAGTAGAGTAGTCAAATTATAATAACTGTTATCATAATCTTTCATGAAGACAGTATCAATGATATTAACATTTATTATGAGTGAGTGAGTGAGTTTAGTTTTACGCCACACTCAGCAATATATCAGCTATATGGCTGCGGTCTGTAAATAATTGAGTCTGGACCAGACAATCCAGTGATCAACAGCATAAGCATCGATCTACGCCTTTGGGATACGATGATATGTGTCAACCACAGGGATAGTGATTATCATAATGACATGGATATGATATTAATGATGACATTAACAGTGATAATGATATCAGTGACGAGACTGATGGTGATTGTGATCTTCATAGTAACATGTAAAATTATTGTCCTCCTGAGAGGGTACGTAAGTCCCAAAACTTCCAAAGTTAAATTTTTGCGTACCCGATTTTTAAACGTAGTATATTTGTTCCTTTAACTTTCGGCTAAAGATGTCCTACAATCGCCAGCGGCTGAAGGGATGGTGTAAATCCAACTAGGGTCCATGCAGGTAGCAAAGGCACTGTAAGTCCCCATGGTCCCTAGTATGGTGATCTACCTTCAGTTGTTGGCGATCTATAGCCCATTTTTACATTGTATTGTCTTCTTTATTTGGAATGTTTTAGCTTTGTTCGCTAGTTTTATATTGATAGCTGTGATTATCTAGTATTTTTACTGTCCTTCGTTGACAGGGTTTTATATATTATATGTCTGTATTACAAATTTAGAACTAGTTTTAGTCACGATATGGCTGAAATATTGCCGATGTGACTTTAAATCTTAACTCACTCACTCACTCATAGTAACATTAAAAGTGGTAATCATCATTATGATGTCAATGTGGTGGGGAATAATACCAGGTTATTGCGGATTGTGCAAATTTGAAAATGGACGCAGAAACACAGTTCACTGCATCCGGCGGGAAGCACAATGTCATTCATGGTACCCACAATACATCTACGACTTTGCTAAGTCTTTGTTTTTTTCATTCCGAGCAGTTACATGCATTGTTACATTTATCAGTCACATAATCAATGATTCATTCCAGACTCTGAAGAAATTATCAAAACGTACAGTTTACTACACCTTTACTTCACAATACCTCATATTGCCTGCAAGGACCCTTAAAACTAATGTCACGATATGGCTGAAATATTGCCGATGTGACATTAAAGAATAACTCACTTAAAACTAATAATTAGGGGACCACGGCACCTCCATGTTTGTAAGTGGAGGTAAAACCATGAATAACAATTATAAAGATTAACCGTAATTGGTGATTATGATGGTCTGTTGCAGATGTTAATGAATGTGATGCTGGCAATGGTGGATGTAACCAAGTGTGTGTAAATGAACCGGGCAGCTACAAATGTCAGTGTAACCAAGGCTATCAGCTCTTCACCACAAACGGACAACTTAACTACACCCTCCCCAACAACGAGGATGGCACCATGGCAGGCGACATTTACAGATACAACCATACATGTGTTCGTAAGTACATTGCAATCAATTTTCTCAGAAGACAAACATGAAATTTGACTGAATGAGTGAGTGAATATGGTTTTATGCCACTTTGAGCAATATTTCAGCAATATCACGGCGGGGGACACCAGAAATGGGCTTCACAAGTTGTGCCCACGTGAGGAATCAAACCCGGGTCTTCAGTGTGACGAGCGGACGCTTTAACCATTAGGCTACCCTACCGCCCCTGATGTTTGAAGATATGGTTTAATACGATACAAACTTCATGGATAACATATTCTTGTACTGTCATGCAGGAATGATGATTACTTGCTTGACAACGGTACAAGAATCTGTATCGAAATGTCACACTCACGTAATAAGAAGTTAGTTATCCATAAAGTTTGTCTATTTTATACTTCCCAACTTCTAAAATGACACTCAAAGAAGATATGGTCTTGATTGTTAAAGTATTTCTCATTTCAACTTGGCGTCTGCAGAGTGTTTTGTAATGTAGCCTCAGTAGCCTCTTTAGTTATACTAATGGAAGGTATAAATGACGTTTAACAATGTTGCATGTGGAGGAAAAGGAGATGAATGTGCTTGGTCTAGGTGATACAAGTAGTCACATGAACCAAAAGTCTACACGCTCAAATGTGACATATCACACATATATTTATCTTCCAGGAATCCAGTGCATGGACCCCCCCACCAGTAGCTAATGGCTACATCCTGAACAACCGCCAGTACCACCGATATCAAGATACCATCATCGTGTCTTGTAACATTGGGTTCAACTTGATTGGTCAGTCCCTTCGCATTTGCCAAGACAATGGACAATGGAATGGGACAGCACCCACCTGTAGTGGTAAGTTTAGAAAAAAGCCAAGACTTTGCTTGTTAAGAATTGCCAGTAATTGGTCTTTTATTACCTCTTTGTGCATTCACTGAATGATCAGGTAATGCAATTGTCATATATTGTTCAATAACTACTCTTGTATACAGATCCACAATTAAGATATGGATAAGGTCTTCAGTTTCATCCTTGTTGGACCTACAGATGATTGTTTGAATTGGTTTGGGCGAGGCATATTTCTCATCTCTGATTGTCAGAAATGGTTCCCAAGGCAGAAAATGGGTGGACAGGCTTGCTTAATTGTTAGCATCTACCCCTATGCATGTGATGCTGCTTATTTTATATATCCACAGTGTGATGTAATTACTACTATTATTTCAATGTCTTTTTTCAATGTCTATTACTTCAGCTGCTACATGTCCCGCTGTGACCATCCCTGGTGGCCTGAAGACCACACCCAGTGTAGCGCCATCTGGTAGTGTAAACTACCTTGGTGTCGTCAACATTTCCTGTAATGTGCCTGGCCGAGCTCCATTCCTAAAAACACGCCAGTGTCTGTTAGACCCCAGCTCTAAACAGTACAAACTGTTTGGTGCACAGTTAGAGTGTGGACGTGAGTGTCACATTTTGATGAATACACAAATTGTAAAGAAGGACTCTTCTATAGTAATTGTTGTTATGTTATTATGGATTTTGACAAACCAAGACCTTTTATAATACATTAAAGGTTTTGATTACATGCTGACTATCAAAGTGATTTTGAATACTGGAAATTGACCTTATCCTTGCCACCTTTCAAGGCCAAAATACAGTGTAAATATCAGTACCTACCAGTCCATTTGTCTGATTAACTGCATTATACCCCAAATAAGCTGAATGAAATATTGTTTTTTTAAAATTATTATCTATATACATTTGTTTCTTACAGTAATTGACTGTGGCACACCAACTGGTGTCCCAGGGGCTGTCATTCCTGCAGGCATTGGAACAACGTATGGCAGTCAGTTTGAGTTTGTCTGTAGGAACCAGTACACAAAGGAGGGAGCATCCAGTCTGAGTAATAACACAGTTCAGTGCAAGAGCAATGGTTACTGGGGATGGGGCACTCTTAGGTGTCTTGGTAAGTAACGGATTTATTACCTGGATAGGTAATATTGGGACTTAAACCTCATGGCTGATCTTTTTACGTTGGAAGATTGATCATACCTATTGCCATTTATGTTATATCTGTATTTACTATGATACACACTTTCGTCTTGGTCTGTATTTTGGTTTGATACGCATATGTAAGTTAATATTTTTGCCAGTCTTGTTTTCACTTACTTTTCTAAGTGACATTAAAGCATACTCACTAGCGTTGGGTATTGGTTAAAATCTCATAATTGATGCTTGGTTCATTACAAGGGATCAATCATTGAAAATAATTGAGTAGCGTCATTTATCAGATTTGCCTGTTGTGGTTGTTGAATGCACTAAAAAATATAGAAAAATATGTAGTTCTTTTGTCTTTTTTTGCAATTTGCACAAAATGCCCTTGCAGATTGCACATCTTTAAAGGATGACTAGTATGTTAAATATCTTTAAGATAAATTCAATCATGACTTGAAACAAGCTTGTAGTGCTTATGAAATATAAATTTAATGACATACAAAACCAACCTTGTGAAAAATATTGTTATTGCAAGCAAGAGTTCCAAAATTGTTTGTGTACGGGTATGAGAAAACATGATCAATTGCTTGGTCATTTAGTCACTGTGATCAATCATCAATTATTTCAATTAATCGGACCACCACTAATACTCACCCACTATCACTGTTTGCCATAGGTAACACTTGCAGTGATCCTGGTAGACCTAAGGATGGCACACAACATGCAACTTCCTATGAGGAGAATGCACAGGTCAACTATACATGTAACCGCCCAGGCTACACACTAGTAGGTGCCACACCTCTCACCTGTATACTCAACAATGGTGTTTTGCAGTGGGACCGAAATGTCCCCACATGCCTTGGTAAGTACTGTTAGGCTATTTGGTATATTACTGATTCAAGTTTTCCATAATGAGACAGTTAACCTTAAAAAGAAAAGAACTCAATATTATAATGTTCTTTATTGCTCACACGTTGAAGATATCACACTTTAATAAATCTACAATGTTATTACACATTGTGTAATAACATCACGTGCTGCCAGAACTATTTGCACTCGTCACATGACCAAAGTAACATGATCAAAACAAAATGTTGGCTGTAATTCACAACACATCTCAAAGTCGCGCTATTTCAGATGTTATATTTAAAACATGTTTTTACATAGCTAAGAGAATTCTTGGAATTCAAGGAGAGGCAAACCAAGACATGTACAGGTGTCGACATCAGAAATGTACGAACTGTCACTCATACCGCTTGGGCCTTCTGTGACTGACAAATGTTGACAATCATTAATGAAATGTATTAATACACTTGACCCATTTTATGATGCGTAAGGCACTAGTTCTGTAAGTTGAATTCTGATGTATTATTTTGCTAATGTTAGGTGAGAAATAAATGCAATACTAAATGATGTCCTATGTAATACCATATTTATGAAACTGGTGAATGGTATTGGTATCTAACTCACTTTTGCTCGTTAGATGCCAAACCATTCACATTGTTTAGTATTCTCTATATATTCATCTGTCCGTCTGTCCATCGATGTAAAAAAGCACTAACTATTATTGAAATGTCGAGTCTTAGTTTTAGATATGTTACGGCTTTGTGTGTGTGTCAGAGAGAGGGAGGGAGGGGGGAGGGTGGTGCGTGCAGGATTTGAGGTGGACTGCCATGTTGTCGATGTCATAGAGTTAGATCATGCACAATACTTCAGTGCTGCACAGGCATACATGTATTTTATTGTTATTTACGATTTTATCAATGATACCCATTTGTGATAGTGTCTCGTAGGCCTTATGGCCGGATGGTATACTTTTTAACTGTCTTTTCTGTGTGACACTTTTTAGTAATGTATATCATGTGGCACTCAAATAAAATAAAATATTATTTTATCTTATCTTATCTTACCTCATCTACATTACGTTGTTGGCTTACAGACACCCAGAAACCAACATTCAGCAACTGTGTGGCCGAAAAGACTGTCAGAAAATACACAACAGGGTTAAACGCTGTCACCCCTCCCACGCCGTCAGACAACACCGCCATCAAGTCAATGAACGTGACACCTACATGGCCTTCAGATAAGCTGCTCATTGCCAATGAGGAAGACTTCGTATTCACAGCTGAAGACTTCAATGGAAACAGGGAAATTTGCACAACCAAAGTCAAAGTATTAGGTATTAATCTTCTCATGTTATGATACATTAATAGTGGCATGTAGTGTATACAATTACTCATCACATCTTGGTGAATGTATGTGGTTATTATGATGAGGAAAGCATATGTATTCTTCATATGGCTGACACTTATGTTTGTTCTTTGGGTTAATTTTGAATTCTTTGACATTTAAATTTGAATGTCTGGAGTATATAATCATTTTTGGGATCCATGGTATGACTGCATGTACAGTGTTTTCTTTTGATTAATTCTTTCCTTTTGGTCCAACAGGTCTTAAACTATGTTGGCTAATGTAATATTCCTAATTTATTCATTTTCAAGTAAACTTTGTTTCTATTGATGGTATTTTCAAACTGTGTTTGATAGCAGGGTGTTTTCATAACGATTCAAATTAATTAAACTTATGAGTTATGGTATCAACACAAGAGCACAAGCACAATGTGATAGGACAGTGTTCATGTAGCCTAATGGTTAAGGCATCCGCTCGTCAATCCGAAGACATTTGTTCGAATCCCCACACAGGTACAATGTGATAGGACAGTGTTCATGTAGCCTAATGGTTAAGGCATCCGCTCGTCAATCCGAAGACATTTGTTCAAACCCCCACACAAGCACAATGTGTGAAGCCCGTTTCTAGTGTCCCACACCATGATATTGCTGGAATGTTGCTAAAAGCGGAATAAAACTCACTCACTTACTCCAACACTTTGTGCAGTAGTAATAGCATAGCAGACAATATCTAGACATATTTTTATAAGAAACATGCCGTCAATAAACAAACAAGTTCCGTCTGTCCATGTTAGACAATAATAGTAATGATGTCTGTTAGTTATAGTGTTGACGTCATAGTCTCAACTGTCAGTTCACCTGATGAAGGGATCTGTAATGGTCCTGAAACATGTGGGAAATAATAAAGAAGTTTAATCCATAAAGATATCTTGGACAAAAATAGTAATGTCTGTTTTATGACAAGTTTACTTACACATTTTCAATATCCGCATAACTGAATTTGGTTCCAGCTGAGGAGGAGCGGGGTGAGATATGACATGGAGTTATGGTGTTCACTTCAGATGTTCTGTTTATAAGTTTTAAAAATTGACAGCTGAGAAACAGTGTGTTGTGCCGTACTTTGATCCTCTCTACTAACTTGCTCTTCCTGATTGTTTCTTCTTAAATTACTTTAGAACGTTAATAAATAATGTTTTTGTTTGTTTGTTATTTAACACCGCACACAGCAATATTCCAGCTATATGGCTGCAGTATGTGAAAAACGACCCTGGACCAGACGATCAAGTGATTTAACAGCATAAACATTGATATACACAATTGGGTATGATGACAGTGAGCCTGACAGCCCAATCATGTTAGCCAACTCTTATGACAAGCGTGCTGAAGACTCATGAATAATGAACAGTTATTATGCCTAATTAGTTCAAAAGAAAAAATGCTAAAAGACATGGAACCATGGAGAAGTTTTAGATTTTTTTGCCTTACAAATGTTGTATGGGAGCTTTAAGTTACATTCTTATTTTCTTTATTTTTTGGTGTTTGTTGTCCACTTAATAATGTGTTGTTCCACTTCCAGTCTTTTCTGTTTTGTTTAGATGTGCATTTACTTTATATGCTGAATCCTGATAGGATTCACATGCAACTTGATTATGCTTTTTTAACTTTCATACAAATATCTCACACTTCCTGACCACAATAAACAAACTTGGGCTACCGGTATATCTCAATCACATCCGTCAAAAGTTGTCTAGATCACATTATTGGAGATGGTATGTCATATGTGTGATAGATAATATCATTTCTTAAACATTTTCATCCAAATTGAACAAAGATCGTTTGGGAGTAACATATATTCTGATATCATATTTATAATTAATCCTAAGGAAACAAGAACCTGAGTTATGACATCGAATATTATACAATTATAATTGTTTTATTATATAATGAAAGAGAAACGGGTTTTAACATAAACTTTTAATGCACACACTGTGCCATCTATCCGAGTGATCTGATTGGCTGAAAAGCTGGGGAAGCCCCTTTGTACGGGATTCCATGTCTATTTTTAGTAACCCAAGTCAATATCGTAATTTATCAGAAAACTCAAGTCAATATCGTGTTTTGTAGTCAATCATGTGACGGTCTTTTGACCAATCCTGGGACATGAAAAATACTACCTATATAATAAAACCTATTATTATGGCTTATTTTCAAATTGCATTTGAATCTTCAGTCTCTTACTGGTTAAATGGTTTATTATGGTCAGCCCTGTTTCTCTCCTTGTTGGATGACTCGGTCATACCATGGGTGAATAAAATACATCTTTCTATAAGACATACTTTGGGTATTTGCTGGTGTTTGTTAGTATATCCATGAGCTTCTCATGGCTGTAGGGCTGCTTAGTGGCAAATATATCGTATTGCAATATGTGGTGATGCAGGTATCCTATTGGGATATGTATTGTGATATATTGGAAGCGTATAGTCAGGTGTTTGACAGTGAGTGACACTGATTGTACTTGAAGGTCCTAGTTTGTATTTTGGCCATAAAAATAGTTGTTACGGTTCTGATAACAGGAATCTCAAAATTATTTTGGGTAGTTAGGGATTCTTTCTTTTTATACAATATATATTGTACAGTGTGCTGTTTGGTCAACAAATTATGAAAGGAAACAGGCAAGAATGGAATGGTATAAAATAGAGAAACTTGCTGTATTGTTATAGACCAAAATACCAGTACTCTGAAAAGATGTTGCATCATTTGAAAAGCGTATCCCAATGTTCTGATACACCTGTAAATCCATAGCTTTATTGTCTACTAGGATCCAATACCCATGCTTCAAACAGTTCAAAATTAAAGTTTAGGTGTTCGGTAAGATAAATACGTTGTTCACTGGTCCCTTGGGGCCCATGGGTTGATGTACCCTCTATGTGTGTTCAGGGGACATAAACATACATAGAGGGTACATCAACCCATGTCCCCCTCGTGACCAGTGAACAAGTTATAATGTGCCATTACAAGAGGAAAAGAGGTCACATGTCAGTGTTATTTTCCTCTTCAGCTAATGGATATGAATAATATCAAATTTACTCATTTTTTAAACAATACTGAGTCTTTGAATGCTTCTTGCAGTATATATCCGTACTATTTATCAAATGTTGCTTAGTTATACTATCTATTTTTTTCAGATGAAGTACCACCAACAATTAAGTGTCCAGATCCCATAGTAGAGGAATTCAAGGAGGAAAATGAGTACAAACTTCTTCAGTTTATGCCATCTTTATTATCTGAGTACAGTGACGACAGTGGTATAACACCCTCCGTGCTGTTCAACCCTCCGCAACTAAACATTTCTGCAGCCTTCATCAACCAAGCCAACTATGTTCAATGGATCATAGCCACTGCCAGAGATGCCGCAGGAAACTTGAATTCATGCAGATTCCAGGTCATGGCAAAAGGTGTGTAAATTTCATATAATTTTAACATCTTTCAGAAGCATTTAGAAGCTGGAGTCCTAAGTGATGGTAAGATATATGTGGATGAACAACTCATACTTCTATATTGGTATGACATATTCTCTTTTGTTAACGTATCCATTTGTCAATGAAAAAGTTAAGGTTTTAGGAAATCAGATTCTATTGTGGCAAACTGTATGGACCCCATAACCTCTTCTGGTTTAGATTTGATGGTATTAAGTTATACTGATTCTGAATTATTTCATTTTCATGATTTAATCCCTTTTTAATGTAGAATGTGGATTGATGCATTCATTAAAAAGCTAGGTTAAATATGTTTGTGTCAAATGTTGCATTCAATGATTCCTGTTTATTTGAAGCTGCCATTTGTTCACCAATGAACATCCCAAGGCCTGTGAATGGTCAGAAGTCCTGCAGAGCACTCAGCAATAGTGCAGGCTACACATGTAATCTGACTTGTGATGCTAACTACGCCTTTTATGACCATCCAAACCCAACATCTGTGACTACTTCCTGTCTCACTGGAAATCCATTCCCCCTTGCTCCGACTCCTGCTTGTTCTTTCACACGTAAGTCCTTAGGGTTCGTTGGTTGGTTTGTTGTTTAAAGCCTCATTCAGCAATATTCCAGCTATATGGCTGCAGTCTGTAAATAATCGAGTCTGGACCAGACAATCCAGTGGTCAACAGCATGAGCATTGATCTACACAATTGGGATACGATGGCGTGTCAACCAAGTCAGTGAGCCTGACCACCGATCCTTTTATTCGCCTCTTACAACAAGCACAGGTTCCTGAAGACTAGTGCTAACCCTTCACGAGTCAGTAGTCTGTCATAATAATCCTGAACAAACGTAATGTATATTGAATAAAGCCCATGCAAGTCTAGAATATGTTTCAAGTCTAGATTTCCACAGTTTCAGGACTCTGGGCTCCTTTTTATTATAAAGTTAAAGCACTTGCTCATCCTGCCGAAGGACCAGGTTTGATTTCCCACATAGGTGCAATGTGTGAAGCCCATTTCTGGTGTCCCCCGCCATGATATTGCTGGAATATTGCTAAAAGTGGCATAAAACCAAACGCACTCCCTCACTCCAAACCCATATTCATAGTAAACATGATACTGCGTTTTGTTTATTTCAGGATCGGAAACTGCCAAGTTCACACAGGTCATCAGATTTACCTATAACGCTAGTACAGCCAGCCCTCTGGCTGATACCTGTAAGCAGCAATATGCTACAATGATGACACCTGTACTTAATGGACAGCGAACAAGGCTCAACAGTTTGTGTTCGACCTTAGGACAAGTGCCTGATCTTACTTTCCTTATTGCCAACCCACAGAATGATATAAACATCAACACTGCTATAAACCAGGTAGGTCAATTACATGGACATAAAAAAAATAAAAATAAAAATAAATAAGTACAAGAAGTAAACAATGAAGCACTACTGCGAGGCAGATTAGGCTCCAGGTTACCCATGCTTGCCATGACAACCAACCAGAGAGCATCTGGTGGTTACAATACATGATTGGACTAGTTCTCAGTTAGTTGGTTTGTTGTTTAATGCCCACTCAATCGTATTTTGGATATATGGTGGCAGCCTGTAAATAATTGAGTCTGGACCAGACAATCCAGTGATCAACAAGCATGAACATCGACCTACCACATTGGGATGCGATGACATGAGTCGACAAAGTCTCGAGCCTGACCACATGTTCTCGTTAGTTTCTTACGACAAGCTTTGGTTTGGTCTCTTCATGGTTCTTTTGACTGGACATTGCTGCTTGTGTTGCCTGGCTCAGGCCTCACTACTTACAGGCACCTGTGATGACTGCAGTGTAATATGACACATGCTCACTAAGTAAGACAGCTTTTGAAGTTCAGCTTCATCTGTCTGGTTTTCAGTGACTTGACTTTTTGTGTAAGATGTCCAATCATGTTTTTATAACTTTGATGTTGTTATAGTGCACCTAGACTCACAAACGGTACACTTCATTAAGAATCTAAAACTGCAGTGTATGAAATAAGGCCCGTCCGACCGCCTGAGATTTACAGCTATCCAGCCCGATGGTCTGGTAAAAAGTTTAGATAACATGTTCCATACATCTGAGTAAGTTCACAATATCTTAAAATCTATTTTTCAAATTGAATGTTACTCTGACTACACCTCCTTCTTGATAATCTCCAGGGTATATGTTCTGATAAATCTCTACTATACCCTGGATGCAGCTATGGGTCGGCCCAATAATTTTATTACCTCCCTTTTCTGGCTCTACATTCTCACAGTAGCCAATCAGCTAAGCTGCCGTTACAACACAGCTTGCCAGTGTCAACAAAGATAGCTGCTGCAGCAACGAAAGTTTGTTCGCAGTGCAACTCAGATTTTGGGGCAAATCATACAGACAAATTGACAGGTCTGAAACTTTAAAAAAATATATGCAAGAACTCCTTCTACCTCTTCCAGAGTACCTCTGCATCAGTTGTGTTGCCAAGTTTAATCGGTTAGATAATTTAAGAAGCAAAAATGAGTTGTGATTGGTACGCTCAACTTCCCAGCGTAGACACCTGATTGGATAAAAAGCCAGCCAAGGGTGGTAATAAAATCATCGGTCCGAGCCGTAGATGCATCCAGGGATTAGTGGAGATTTATCGGAACATATACCCTGGAGATTATCGAGGATGACTACAACTCGGAGTCTGATTTCTCTGAAAATGACTGTTGTGAAACACTGGTAGACAACAAATACATGTCTCAGGTTCATTAAATTATGTATTGTAACCAAATATTGAATTATTTTCTTTGCATTGTCTGGTCTGGTTAAATCCATTTTGGGCTGGTAACATTTTGAAGTTACCCGCCCTGATATCTGTCTGGGTTTTTGGCTTATTCATACACTGAAGAGAGACATTAATGAAACTTATTCTTTGCTGCAGGTTGAGATCGACTACACCCTGATATATGAGGGATCAAACACAGGTTTGCTGTCATCATGTGCGACACTAGTGGACACAATACTGAAGGATTTCAACTTTAATCAGACCAAAATAATTGCTGGAATCTCCAGTCAGCTGATTCCAGTCTCTTGTCCCTCTATCAGTTCCTCTACTCCAGGAAAAGAAACCTTCCGGGATTTCAGTTGTGCTTCAAACAGAAAGAAACTTTCTCTTGGGAACCAAGTGTTTGCTTGCTGTAAGTACCATACTTATATCATTATGTATATGTTTATTTAAGGGATGTGTGTGTGTGTGTGTGTGCGTGCGCGTTGCGTGCGTGCGTGCGCGTGCGTGTGTTCGTTCATCCAATGTTTATTCATGAGCAATTTCAGAAAATCTGATTGAACTCGTAATGTTATATTATGTCAATCTCATGCTTGCATATCTCCTCTATTGACATGTACAGATGGAAAGAATTATATAATTCTGATCAAGTAAAAACATAATCAAACATAAAGTGTAATGTAAACAAATTTCAAAACTTTAAAACTTTACGTACCATGTACCATCAAATATTCATGGTGCTCAATTCAATTTACAAGCCACCTGAATATACCTATCAACAATCAAGTGATTTACACGCTCCAGGTCTGTCTTTAATGACAGCACAGAATGATTACAAGCCCGATATGTTTTTGAAAAGTACACGTTTCTTCTCTGAATTACATGTAAGTAATCAGCAATGCTAAAAACGTTTTGTGGTGGGTTTTGTGTACATTCAATATATCAATTCCATGGAAGCTTTTTTGTTTCTAGTGAGGTGTCCTGTGGGTACTTACAACTCCGGAGGAAACACATGTACTCCTTGTCCTGTTGGACAGTACAGTGACATAGAGGGAGCCACCTCGTGCAAGGACTGTTCAACGGCCCAATGGACATCCAGAGTTGGGGCTAGCTCTAACCTAATGTGTAGACGTAAGCATTAACACCTTCATCAGACCTGTTATGTTTTAGTTTGGTTTTAAGACAGTAATAACTGTACTGGTAATGGAGATTGTGAGCGACTTTATTTTAATGCCGTAATCAGCAATATTCCAGCTATGTGGCATGATCTAATTTAATGTTCATCATAGTTATAGGACTATAAACAGGTAAGTGCTGTGTTTTTTTTGTACCTCCTTTCACAAAGCTATCGTAGCACTACCACTGTTGTAAAAGCCTGTACTGTAACATAGACTTACAACACTTGTAGTGCGCTACGATAGCTTTGTGAAACGGGGCCCAGTGTCATAAGTGACAATCTCCATATTTCATTGCCTTATAGACACTACATTCCTCCATCAGGAACATAGTGCACGGGTATTCAATGTGGGAATATCTATATAGTTATTTATCTTACCTCACACATAAATGTCACTTTCTGATTGGCTGAGTGCTATTCTATTATTTTCAATGTACCCAGCTTACAAGCGAGGTACATTGTAATGTACCCTGCTGTCAATGGCAACTCATTTGGTACTTCGTGGTAGTAATTCTTTATCTCGAATAACATTGAATTGCGTATGATGTACGGAAATTACCGATGTTTTGCAAATGAAAATCGATGGAAGGGAGATAATCTGTTTTTGTTTTGTCAGCAAAATCTAGCGATGACTACAAAAGGATTTGTACCCGTGCTTCAAACAATTCAAAATTAACAATAAGGTGTTCGGTAAGATAAATACGTTGGGCTCAGGGAACATAAACAAACATCGAGGGTACATCAACCCATGCCCCCTTCGTGACCAGTGAACAACCTATAATGTGTGCTATAACAAGGCAATATTTCCACTGTACTCTTATTTCTGGTCCTGATTGTTTACAGCCCAGTGTATTTCTGGCAGTTTCTCTGCCACAAGACTGCCACCATGCCAAGTGTGTCCCTTAAATACCATTTGGGTTAACAGTACCTACTGTCGACCATGTGGTACCAACGAGATTACGCGTGTCTATGGAGCTACTGTATCTACTCAGTGCAAGGGTGAGTTTACATTGAGTGGAAATGGAATGTTTTCTGTTTGAGTAAGCAAGTGGGTTTCAAGACCCTTTAGTTATACCAATGTAAGTAAGCTTAATGTAGATGAAGTGAAGTGAACTGTGTTGTAAACTTGTGGTCAATGTTAGTGCTCATATATAGTGCTATGTGTCTATGTGTTTGTGTAAGTGAGTGAGTGAGTGAGTATGGTTTTACACCGCTTTAGCAATATTCCAGCAATATCACGACGAGGGTCACCACACAGTGGTGATTCCAAACACAGTAGTTTGCAGGTCCAAAATCATGCTGGACCACAGAAAAGTATTTGTGTGCATGTATTCTAGTATCTGTGTGTGTTTTCATGACTGTTCCTCTGTTGACAATGTATCTCTTCCAGAACCATTGGTCTGTGGTTTGAAGATGATGATGTGCGTGTGTTCTAGTATCTGTGTGTGGTTTTCATGACTGTTCCTCTGTTGACAATGTATCTCTTCCAGAACCATTGGTCTGTGGTTTGAAGATGATGATGTGCGTGTGTTCTAGTATCTGTGTGTGGTTTTCATGACTGTTCCTCTGTTGACAATGTATCTCTTCCAGAACCATTGGTCTGTGGTTTGAAGATGATGATGTGCGTGTGTTCCAGTATCTGTGTCTGTGTTTGTGCTTGTTTGTCTGTGTGTGTGTGAGTCTGTGCATGTGTGTATGTGTGTGTGTCTTTATAGTGCTGCACACATCAACATTTCAGCTGTGTGGCAGTAGCCTGGAATTTACATAATCGATACTGGACCTGACAATCCCATCAATGATATACTTGTTCAAAGGAAGTAACTCTGCATAGCAAATTGAGGCACCTTATCACCTGGGCCACCATTTTCAATGTTAGAATATCATAATATAATATTATTAGTGATTGAAAAAATATAATACAAGCCAAGGTTGTCAGTGTTTATTGATACAAGTTTTATCCTTCTTTTAGCCCGATGTCAAGCTGGAACATACAATGCTATTGATGGTTATGCTGAATGCACAACGTGTCCTAAAAACTTTTATCAAGACCAAGCTGGACAAAAGACCTGCAAGGCATGTTCAACCAATGAAGTGACGGCGGGACCAGGGTCAACATCACAGTCCAACTGCACTAGTGGAGGTAGGTGTCTCTTACCAAGATCGCGGCGAGTAGCTGGAAAATTGCTGATGTGGCATAAAGCATCTTCATTCATTCATTCATTCATTCATTCATTCATTCATTCATTCATTCATTCATTCATTCATTCATTCATTCATTCATTCATTCTTAGCAAGAGCTTTTACTTTGTGATGTAATACGATATCTTGGTCCTCTCTAGTTATGTTTTTTACAGTATCATAAAAAATCAATAACATCTAATCAATTTGTTACTTCATACAGCACTTATCTGAAAAATGATTTGAAGGTTAGAATGTAGACCAGACATGGCAGAAGTATAGGAGTACAGTTTTATTACAAATGCCAGTATTATGTATGCATCAGTGAATTATTGTTATCAGTATCCATGTGCAAACATGCATTCAGTGCATAGCATAATATTATTGTAAAGTTAAGACATTTTTCATCGTGAACTTTTTGTGCCTACAGCCTCGTCCGCAGAGTGCAACAGCTACTGTCAGAACGGAGGAACATGTAATTTTATCCGACACAGTCCTTCATGCACTTGTCCAAAAGGTGAGAGAGATTGCATTTGCCAGTCCTTACGATTGGGTTTCCTTTCATGTTAATGTCTCATATTAAATCTTTCGACAGCCTAATACTAGGGATGTCATGATTCACCAATACATCAGTGCATTGATAATAAGATCGATACTTAATTCTACACAATACACACATGCCTGTATTGATTCATATTTCTGTGGAACTTTTCAGTCATATTTAATTTGAAGTATTTTGTGAACAGGGAATTTGCAGTTGTATTTAATAGTAAAATAGTTTCTAATATTTTCTATAGTGTTCTTACCCTATGAAATGTAAAAAGTCACACTAGAAGCTTCTATACAGGATCATTCTGTTCTACAGGGTATTCAGGAGGGCGATGTGAGAACGGAGACAACCCATGTGCCTCTAGCCCTTGTTACAATGGAGGCACATGCAACGTACTAAATGTGACGACATACTCATGCAACTGCCCACCAGGTAAGACTCTAAAACTATAGCTCAAAAACTTCGGATCTAAGTGACCTTTCGTCATGATATAAAATGACAGTGTAATGCTGTGTAGTGAAGATTCATTTTTTATGATATATGAACTGAACACTGATGATTGTGTTGTATTGGTAAACTGTTCTTCTATAGACAATGTGTCAGAACCATTGGTCTGATGATATGAAAGAACCATATCAATGATGGTTGTTCATTAGACAATGTTTCTGTGTTTAGGCACCAGTGGAGCAAGATGTGAGACTGATCTGAATGACTGCACTTCAGGCACATTGTGTCAGAATGGAGGCATGTGTCAAGACCAGATCAACAGCTTTAAATGTCTCTGCAAAGATGGCTTCACAGGAACCTTGTAAGTGTTGAATTATATCCTTTTTTCGTAAAGAGTAACATACTGATTTTCAGTGTGGAAATAGAAGCAGGTTATAAGTAAGTTATGATAAGGTACTGTATGATATTTGGAATAATAGAGAAATTCATATTTGAAATGATTGAATGCAAAAATTGCTATGCATTGTTGCATAAGGAAATCATTTTCTGATGAACCAACACAATAATAAATCATTTGACAGTGTGTTTATTCTTTGTTGTAGTACATTTGTTTGGTATTAGAAGCTGACATTACTATTAATGTAATTAATTGAATTTATCTCTATTTAAAGGCACTATATCACACCACACTTCTCTAGAAATAAATAAATATTGCATTTCTCTCAATAATCCTAGCTCAGGGAAGCTACCATATAATTTATTCCCAAAAATAATTACATATTTAGATTACAATATCGATTAAATAGTTAGAATTAATTAATACAATGTTGCATTAAGGCGACCCTTGCCCTCTCTACCAACCAAATATTATTTCAAGTTAACTCCATAGAGTTATGTCCCTTGGAGCTGTCCTTACGAATATCCAATAACTCTTTGGAGTCTAAACTCAGTCCTAGACAAAAACATACATGCAACTTGTGATTGGAACCAGTTCAGCAAACAACGACAACACAGTGTTTACAATGTATGGAGCAATTGTTTACATTCCATATATGGCAAGTGTTCTCTGTTTGGAAGCTGTTTACCTCAAAGTTTCAATTATCGATTTCAGGCAAGTCGTAAGGGATAATAAGTCTTTCTACTGCATCAGTAGGAAGCTTAAGTGAGTGCATATGCCCCAGTTTTGATAATGTATCAGTAGGCCAAAATATTGCCAAAAATTTGTGAAATTGAGCCATTAAGTTACAACTTAATTTGCAAGAAACTCCTAGCATAACAATAAATTCCACAAGTCACGGTTGCTGCACACTATGATTACAGCAGGATATGCTAGATATTCCAAACAAAGCAAACCTAGGTTTTCATTCAGGCAAATATACACATACAGTGTTTCTCTGCATTGAGTGCAGCATGGAACAGGCTAAGCCCAGCATCATTATAACCCAGTCTTCTGCACATTATTCTTCACAAGTTTGGTTTTGTCTGTGTCATTAAATTTATATTTCATAATCACTACCAGCTCATTCCAAGTCCTGATTGAATTTATCTTAAAGACTCCAGGAAATTTATGTTCCTAACATACTAGTCCCCCTTTAAAGATGTAAGATTTGTAAAAGCATTTTGTACAATTGCCATAAAAAACAAAGAACTACGTGTATGTGTTTTTCAGTTTTTTGACACATTAACAAACATAACAGGAAACTTTGATAAATGACGCTAACCAATTATATTTGATGATTGATAGGTTGTAATGAACCAATCATCAATTATGAGATTTTAACCAATTCCCAACACTAGTAGACAGTTACTGCTGATGACAGTGGAACTCCTACGAACTATTACCTGTAATTCCTCAATTTGTAACATGTGTAAATTAATCTAAAAAATGATGATGCCTTACTTTACAAATGGATTTTCATATTAGCTAACATAACTGCATTGTTTTACAGTTTTAGGGGTTTACCAAGGTAAAAATAAGTTGTATGATATAGGGAGAGGTTACCTGTCTATCTGTGTGTCAGTCGCATGTAAAGATGATGAATGGTCTAAATGGTTGTTTCCCATCTATTTTCCTAGGTTGTGAGTTCCCAGAATTTCTGGTGTTTTCAGGATGCAGGTTTCTTTCCTTCTGAGAGTGCCTTTCATTGACTGACTGATTCTTTTGTTAGCTTCCTGTCATGCCAGTCATTATAGTTTGGGTTCAAGTTTTTATCTCTGCATGGTATTTTCTTAAGAAATTAATTAACATTTATGACATATATACTTGGGAATTTAAAATAATCAATACAATCAACATAATTTGCATGAGGTATGGCAAAATAAAAGGCTTATATTTTCATGCATGATGTGCAAAAATACCAAAAGGTGCATGTTTACTGTTTGTGCATAGTAACGCATGACCATTTTAAATTTTTCTTCAAGATAACATTTACTCTGTGTGTTTTTATTAAGAGATGTTAATAATTCCTTATGTGGATGCATTAAATATGTTATTTTTGCCTTTTTAGGATGCTTTTTGTGTTTATTCCTTTTTTTCTTTAATGAGTGAATTTTATGTGTCTGTATGATTTTTCCAAGAGTACAAGCCATTTTACATTTTGTATGTCTTCATATGTTAAATAGTTTATCAACTGACTTCAAATACATTACATGAAATCCTCAAGGTGTTAATACCCCTATTGTTTCTGTCATCAAAATTCATCCATTCTGTTCTCTACCCATGACTAACAAAGTGATTCTAGTAATTTCATGTTTAAACAGGCTTCATTTGAGATTTGTTCAAACACTCCTCAGGTGAAAATGGGAGACACATACCATTGGCGGGTTCAGGGGGTTCGAAACACACACACACACACACACCCCTTTGAAAATGACTTAAGACCACATTGAAGATTATTTTTTTTCGCATTGGCAGAGCCAATGGGGGTTTAGGGGTTCGAACTCCCACCCCCCACCCACCTTTTCAAAATTCCTGGATCCGCCCATGCATACTGTATACAATATTCAGTCTATTATAGTATGACCAACGTTTTGTTGCTGGTGATGGTGGTGGTTATATGAAAACACACTTAAAACGTACAAGACGAAAATGTGTTTTCACTCATATAACTTGAGAACTATTGAAAATTATGTACACATTATTTTGTTGACATTATTTTGAAATCAATACAGTTTTATTTTTAATATGACCTGCTGTTGTCTGTGTGTTCATGTGTTTGGGCTCTATGCGATAACTTTAGCTTTTCGTGTTTTATACATTTCTTAACTAACATAAGATTATCTCTTTCAGTGGTAGGATTCTTTATACATTATTTATTCCTTGTTTCATAAGATTGATTATTCTTAATGACGTAGAATTTCATTTAGAGAATGAATAGTTATTCACGTCAAAAATGCCATGAAGTTAACATCGTCATCACTGATATAATATGTGAATAAATGGAGAAAGAAATAATTCATTTTGTAATAAAAACATTCTTAATGAAATCTGAAATATTCACATGTTCATAATTTATTAAATTTTCAATTTGATTATTCCAGATGCACCAGCCCTCAGCCTATATGTAATTCCCAGCCTTGTACTAATGGTGTGTGTAATCCCATCGGCTCATTCCGTAGAGAGTGCTCATGTCTAGATGGCTATACCGGGAAAAACTGCGAAACTATCATTGGTATGTATTATCTTATCACAGTAATAATCCTCCAAATTTACTAAGTTGGAGATGATTATGATATCCTTTTTCGAGTGATAATTGTATTTAAAATACAATGTTAATGATAACAAGAAGTATGACAAAACAAGAATGGTATGTATCTGGTTGATCAAAGGTGATATTCAGTTATTTGTGTGTACTTTTGATACTCAGGCAAGACCTATATTTATTTCTTGATTTATAGATCAGCACATGTAAAAGTTTAATTGCTTATATTTAAAATGCTATGTTTTACTGACATTGTCATTTGGTGTTAAATTTAATGTTGTCTTGTTTGAAATAATATGTTTTTTTAAAAATTACCTGACATAAACCTGAGGTGCATGTATTGCAGTATTTTACAGTTGACTCTCAGTAATGAAACTAGAGCAGACATTAAGCTATGAGTTCATACTCTTGATATTTTTATGTTATGTTTTTAGGCCAAATAAAAAAAATGTTGTGGTTCCGATTACACCTCTTTCAAATTTAGGGTAGGTAGGTAGGAAGGAATATTTTTTGTACATTTACTTTTAGAAGTAAAGTACGAACTAATGTCACATTTATCAGTGTGTAATTGTTTATTAAATCAAAACTTGCGGCCATCATGGCGATTTTCTCTATCAGAATGACTGATTCCGTCGGTGCCTGGGAAAAAACAATGGTACCTGAAAGATTTTTTATTCATGGCTCTTAAAAAAATAGGGTCGTCTCCAGAATTCTAGGGTTGGTCGGGTAATCGGAACCACAACATTTTTTTTGTAGGCCTTATGTGTCTTTAAGATAAAGGTTGGCATTAGAAGTTTTAGAACCTGAATTAGTTCACTGCTTTTGTTCCTTACTTGATACTTCTTCTGTACTCTAGATTCTCTGTTTAAGGAGTGACCGAATCCTCCTCCACTCCCTCATTCACTCATGGCTTTTAATCGAAGACAATTCAAGCATGATACATATTATATACTGAGAGAAACAAATAAAGGAACACATGAAAATTCAAGCGTTTCTTTAATATTTTCCAGTTTTCATCACCAGCTTTGAATTGCGCTGTAGGAGGAAATCTGAGAATAAATAAAGGAACACTGCCATGAAGTGGTGTTCCTGTATTTCTTTCCCTCAGTATATGTTCAAACATTTGTGGCACCATCTATTTTCAGCTGTAAACATTGCTCTTCTTATACCTACAGATAACTGTGCAGACAACCCCTGTTTATATGGCGGAACGTGCACCAATGGTGTTAATTCATATACATGTCAGTGTCCTCTTGGGTTTACTGGTTCCCGGTGTGAAACACGATTAAACAAATGTGCTGGCGTGACATGCGGCAACCGTGGCCAATGTATAGAGGACCATGTGGAGAACACGTATCGATGCGTCTGTAGTCCAGAAGCTTCTTATGGTAAGAATTAATGCTTCACAGCATTGTATGTTTGATTATCACCAAGTCCTCTTATGCAAGAATGACAATACCTGTATTAAAGAACCACTAAACTTTGTTTTTTGTTACTCTTTTAACCATTACATATGAAAGATTTGTGGTTAGTCTTATGCGGAACACCAAATTTACTCTTTAAAAACTTGTGGTTAATTAATACCGAGCGATTAAAAGTGGCCAAAAAGTAGCCTGTTTCTCTCTCGCCCGCCAACGAAACCACAGACAGGTTACGTAACTCTGTCGCCAGAGCACTGCAGTGACGTCATATGAGGAACGATTTTCAGTTAGTTGTATAGAAAGTGTGTCGCATGCTCATCATTTTGATGATTTTCGACGTCAACTACGACATGCCTAATCGCTGCTTTGTCGCCAATTGCTCCTAGGGTCGGGGCGATGGTGTCACCATGCACAGATTTCCACAGGACCCCGCAGTTCGCGGCTAAATGGGTTATGTTTGTGAGAGCGAAGCGAAGCGCTGTGGAAGCCTGAAACGATATCTTACTTGTGTTCAGATCGCTTCACGGAAGTTAAAGAATCAAAACTACTTACTAGTTGTAGTAAAATATGTATATGATTGATGACCATAAAGATTTTCCATGACACAACTTGTAACATAACGATTTCTTCCTCGGAAGTGAGGTTGTGGTCAAGTAACAATAATATTGTAAGTAGTATTATATTGACACCCACCTCGCTGCCAGGGAGATTGTTATGTTATGTTATATGTCATGCAAAATCCTATTGGCTATCAATAAAATAAATATTTTACTACCAGTAGAAAGTAGTTTTGATTTTGTAACTCGGTGAAAACAAATTTAAATAGCATTTATCCACAGACTGGCGGATGTTTCCGACAGGGGCCACCATTTTGAAAATCGTAAAGTCTGTTAGAATTAATGAGATTATAGTTTGTTTTCATCAAGTTACAAAATCAAAACTACTTTCTACTCAGAAGTTAAATATGTATTGGAATCATAACCAAAAGGATTTTGCATGACACAACTTATAACATAACGATTTCTTCCACGGAAGCGAGGTGGGGTCAAGTCACAATACTGCGCGATAAATTTCTTGCTACATTCACATGGTTAATGTCCACTCACCAGTATGTAGATACTAGTCAATGTGCGTCTTTATATTTGGTCTTATAATCCTAATTAGTTTATTATCATACTTTTATGCATTTTGAAACTAAATAAAAGCTGACGATCTGCTGATACTTATAGTGAATTTATAACAGAACTGTAATATCTAGACATTTTATAGTTTGCCAATGTGAATCATAATTCGCACACACACCCTAGTGTATGTTGTCTGTCTCATTACACTTCACGGCGAAAACAATGATTCTGTTGAATGCTACGACAAATGATTAAAAACAAAATGCAAATATTAAAATTAAAACAGATTAAAGTTATAGGAACAATATCAGGCCATTACCTTGTTTGAGGAATGTATCCATCAATATCCACAAAACTGTTCCAAATGATGTGTCTTTTAACAGTTTAATATACGAAAAAGTGATAAATCTTTTTCAGGTATTGGTGTATAGTCTCATTGGTCACCCAAGATAGCACACCTGTCAACTAATTGCATAATGTCCGCCTTCTTCATTTAAAACAGTAATTTAGTTAGCCAATAATGGGCAATCAATCAATGTATTGCCAGTTAATCCTTTGAAAGAAGGACGTTGTTTTTACGCGAGACACCGACACGGCAGAGTGTATTCAGTATAGATTAGTAAATCTACATACATAAACACTACCTTTGACAAATCCGCTGTGTAAGATAAAAGTAATTAATCAATCAGCGTGTTATCGGTTAATCCTTTGATCGATGTTCATAATGTTGAATATTTACTCCAGACACAAGAAATGCCAAATGGGAACCTTTGTCGGGTAATCTAAGTGTGTTACCACTAATTATACCTGTTATAAATTCATTAACTGACCATCAAGTGAATGATGACAAATAACATGTGTAGGTTTATACCACCTAACACGGGTTACAACAAGGGAGTATTAATTGCTGTATTGCATGTGAAAACTTATGGGCCGACACTGTTTTGAGAATACAAACAGATTTTACATGACATGATTAAATATCGAGGTAAAAAAACACAGAAATGGGATCAATTTGGATCAGTCATTATACAAATAGGGCCTAACGACATCAATCAATTGTGACAGAAGCGTCTATGAAAACAAGTTGTAACTCGAAACTAGGCAAAGCAGGAGACAAAATTAAATGCCAGTAGATTGTGAGAACATATAGCTTTCATTTTCCACAACAATTGTCACGATTTCAGGTTTATACAAGCCTGTAAACAAGATAATTTAACCCCTAAAATGTAGATGAATTCTGCATCGGCCCTCAAAGCTATTCCTCATATGACGTCACAGAGTCGCGCCGCTCTGATTGGTTGAAATTTCGTTCGCGGGTGAGAATTGTGCACTGTTGTCAAAAAGGTCGATTTAAGTCAATTAAAGGTCGAAATGAGTAGTTTTAATGACGGGGTTTCAATTATAACGATGCCAGTTAGTGATTTAGGTATTTTTACCCCCTAGGGTTTATGTGACCTTTAAGTGTAAAATTTCTAATCAGCTCCAAGTTGATATGCTTTTCTTTCATCAGTATGTGAAATGTTACCAGGATTATACAGTAGTTGAAACCCGTGAGGATCTGGGTTAGAATTGATCTTCAGCAACCATGCTTGTTGTAAGAGGCGACTAACGGGATCAGGTGGTCAGGGTTGCTGACTTGGTTGACACATGTCATGGTATCCCAATTGTGTAGATCGATGTGCATGCTGTTGATCACTGGATTGTTTGGTCCAGACTCAATATTGCTGAGTGTGGCATTAAACAACCAACCAACCGAGACAGTGGTTGTATGCTAGAGATGAAATATCCTGAACCTTAAAACTTTAGAAACATGCCAGGGCATTTTGTCAAGACTGACATTGCAATCCAGTGTAGAATTGAGTTATCCAGTTTACTTCTACTACATATTTTCTCATTTTCAATAAAGAGTTGAGGAAAACATGAGGAAAAACAAGATTCGACTTTAGAAGATGTGAAAATATATTAAGTCTGTCAATTAGTTTTTCAGTCTGTGTTTGGGTGTTAGTGATGCTGAACAAAGAAAATAGTTCTTTGTGTGTGTGTTTTTGTGACCCATTGGTTACATATCTTCTGTACATGATAGTTATCTTAAACCTTATCTTCAGGATGATCAGTATGAAAAAGTTCTTTAAAACAGTCATGATTATGGTTATTGATTTAGATCTATGTTTCTGTTCATAAGTAACAATTCTAGGCTAAGTGAGTTTAATTATGAAATGTGAGTTAAACTTTTTGTATGTGTTCTTTAGTGATATTTAGATATGTATATCATTTGAGTATTTGCTTATTGGAAAATGTATTACATGTTGTAACTTCTTTGCTTTTTAGGAGAATACTGCGAGTACAGTCTATCATTAAACCAAAAGTTGGAGACACCAACATCCTCCAGTAATGACGTAGGGAAGACACTGATGGACTGTAGGGACACGTGCAACAGCCAAGGAGCTACCTGTCGAGCATTCTCATACTTCAAAACTGAGCAGAGGTGTATGCTACACTCCACACGAGCAGGCAACAATCTTCCTCTTGTTAATGAACAAGGGGCGTCCTACTATGTCAAGAAATGCAGCTATATCAAAGGTAGGTATTTGAGTGAATGAATGATGTTTTCTGCAGTAAATGTTAAGCGATATTCCTCCAGGCTCTAGATGTAATCTGGTCCAGACCTCTTGTTAATGAACAAGGCGCGTCCTGCTATGTCAAGAAATGCAGCTATATCAAAGGTAGGTATTTGAGTGAATGAATGATGTTTTCTGCAGCAAATGTTAAGCGATATTCCTCCAGGCTCTATGTAATCTGGTCCAGACCTCTTGTTAATGAACAAGGCGCATCCTACTATGTCAAGAAATGCAGCTATATCAGCTCCAGGCTCTATGTATCTGGTCCAGACCTCTTGTTAAAGTCTGCTATGTCAAGAAATGTATATCAAAGGTGAGTGAATGAATGATGTTTTCTGCAGCAAATGTTAAGCGATATTCCTCCAGGCTCTATGTAATCTGGTCCAGACCTCTTGTTAATGAACAAGCAAATGTTAGCGATCCTACTATGTCAAGAAATGCAGCTATATCAAAGGTAGGTATTTGAGTGAATGAATGATGTTTTCTGCAGCAAATGTTAAGCGATATTCCTCCAGGCTCTATGTAATCTGGTCCAGACCTCTTGTTAATGAACAAGGCGATCCTACTATGTCAAGAAATGCAGCTATATCAAAGGTAGGTATTTGAGTGAATGAATGATGTTTTCTGCAGCAAATGTTAAGCGATATTCCTCCAGGCTCTATGTAATCTGGTCCAGACCTCTTGTTAATGAACAAGGCGATCCTACTATGTCAAGAAATGCAGCTATATCAAAGGTAGGTATTTGAGTGAATGAATGATGTTTTCTGCAGCAAATGTAAGCGATATTCCTCCAGGCTCTATGTAATCTGGTCCAGACCTCTTGTTAATGAACAAGGCGCATCCTACTATGTCAAGAAATGCAGCTATATCAAAGGTAGGTATTTGAGTGAATGAATGATGTTTTCTGCAGCAAATGTTAAGCGATATTCCTCCAGGCTCTATGTAATCTGGTCCAGACCTCTTGTTAATGAACAAGGCGCATCCTACTATGTCAAGAAATGCAGCTATATCAAAGGTAGGTATTTGAGTGAATGAATGATGTTTTCTGCAGCAAATGTTAAGCGATATTCCTCCAGGCTCTATGTAATCTGGTCCAGACCTCTTGTGAATGATCAACGATATTCCTCCAGGCTCTATGTAATCTGGTCCAGACCTCTTGTTAATGAACAAGGATCCTACTATGTCAAGAAATGCAGCTATATCAAAGGTAGGTATTTGAGTGAATGAATGATGTTTTCTGCAGCAAATGTTAAGCGATATTCCTCCAGGCTCTATGTAATCTGGTCCAGACCATACAAATCATGACCTGAACATTTGTCTCACATTGTAATATTGCCACCCAATTTCTTTTTAGTCAGTTTTATTGGAATTGATTATCTGGGTTCTGTCCCAGATTCAAGAAAAGGTTTAACGTTGTATTTAAGAATATTTCGCTCATATGACAATGTGCATGGGTGTATATTGTACTAGCCCAGACTTAAGCTGGTGTTATAGTACTAGCTCATTCAGATACCAGGGCACAGTTAAGCATGAATACCCCACTCAGACACATTATACTGACTCCGAGCCGACCAGTCCTTGTTGTACCCATTAATGCCGAGTGCCAGGCAGGGACCAACAAGTACCATATTTTAATGTCTTTTGGTATGAGGCTCTCCGGGCGGACTCTCTAGCCTCTGTATATCATCTGACATTTTCATCTTAATGATGGGAACAAATTTGTATGATCTTCTCTGTTTGATACAGGAGGTATATAGTTAGTCTTCTAAATCCAAAATCAGTTATGCTTTTAAGACAGATATTTCCTTTTTTTTAAATTAGACGGTATATAGCAGGATTTTCTCTCTTGTTGCAGATAATTTCTACACAGAATGGTACAATACCCCAGACAACCGTACAACAGGGAACTATGTCCTGCTCAATGACATGAGAAACACTGTAAGTATAGGGAACTATGTCCTACTCTATGACATGTGAAACACTGTAAGTATAGGAAACTATGTCCTACTCAATGACATGAGAAACACTGTAAGTATAGGAAACTATGTCCTACTCAATGACATGAGAAACACTGTAAGTATAGGAAACTATGTCCTACTCAATGACATGAGAAACACTGTAAGTATAGGAAACTATGTCCTGCTCAATGACATGAGAAACACTGTAAGTATAGGGAACTATGTCCTACTCAATGACATGAAAAACACTGTAAGTATAGGAAACTATGTCCTACTCAATGACATGAGAAACACTGTAAGTATAGGAAACTATGTCCTACTCAATGACATGAGAAACACTGTAAGTATAGGAAACTATGTCCTACTCAATGACATGAGAAACACTGTAAGTATAGGGAACTATGTCCTACTCAATGACATGAGAAACACTGTAAGTATAGGAAACTATGTCCTACTCAATGACATGAGAAACACTGTAAGTATAGGAAACTATGTCCTACTCAATGACATGAGAAACACTGTAAGTATAGGAACTATGTCCTACTCAATGACATGAGAAACACTGTAAGTATAGGGAACTATGTCCTACTCAATGACATGAGAAACACTGTAAGTATAGGGAACTATTAGAATCACTGTTAAACAAGTACTTATGTCATGAAGGTACAACCTGACATATCCATGCTCTTTACAGCCCTTTAAAACATTATAATTATACATACATACAGACATACTAACATTTGTATAGCGCCGATATACAGCTCAGCTGCTCAAAGGCGCTTTGTTTTTCCCTCGATCACTGGATGTCAATCTCAGCGGCATGTCATATTATCAATCTCAACTCCCTGGGGAGGATACAACTTTTGCAGCCACTAGGCGCACTGAGTTAGTGTGGCTTTCCCATCCTTACGAGGTACCCATTCACAGCTGGGTGGACTGGAACACATAGTCACAGTACTTTGTCCAAGTTTTACTGCATCATTATATTGTTGGTTTTGACTTTCTCCCTCATGCAGCTCCAGCTGGACATCTGTGGAGGCAGCTTCCCTGTAGCTATAGAATGTCGAGATGCCACCACCAAGAAGATCTCAACCAATAGTGGAGCTCGGTGTATACTTAACCAAGGGTTCCTCTGTAGCAACAGTCAGCAACCACCTGGAAACACCTGTAACAGACATGAAATTCGTTTCAAATGTGGAGTAAGTCGAGGTAAGAATTTTTTCTGGTGAAATTTGGAAGAAAGAGGTACACTCAAAACATTATGCTGGATGGTGAATTCAGTTTAGTGCAGTTACTTCAACTCAGAAAATAGTTCTAATGTTGAAAAATAAAATAAAATAAAGGCTGCAATATAGCTGGAATATTGCTGAGTGCGGCATTGAACACCAAACCAAACAAGCCAACATTAAAAACATGGTATGGGTATTTCCTAAATATATTTCCGATTCTGATATTCAGTTGTAAGAAACACTTGGGTCAAGTGCCATCTATTGATGTCTTCCAGTATTCAAGGAGAAGACATGCACCATTCCACCATACTGTACCAGTTCCCCCTGCATGCATGGTGCCAGTTGTCGAGCAGTTGGTCTGACCTTTGTGTGTGACTGTGTGCCGGGATATGGAGGTTCCCTCTGCCAGAACAACCTGGACGACTGTGCCAGCACCCCCTGCTTGAATGGTGGTACCTGCACAGATGATGTGAACACCTTCAGCTGCAAGTGTGCCACTGGCTATGAAGGTAATGTATAGGAGGATGTTATTATTGTTATCATAACTGTTGTCTCGTACAGGTGACAGCCATCTATAGTTCTCCCAGGAACCAAGTACCTGAGTGAGTGAGTGTAATTGTACTGTGACCGCACTCAGCAATATTCCAGCTATATGGCAGCAGTCTGTAAATAATCAAATCTTGACCAGACAATCCAGTGATCAACAGCATGAGCATTGATCTACACAATTGGGATGTGATGACATGTGTCCACCAAGTCAGCGAGCCTGGCCAACTGACCCTATTAGTCGCCTCTAACAACAAACATGGGTTACTGAAGATTAATTCTAACCCAGATCTTCACGGGTACCAAGGACCTTCTTATGTTGATACAACCATGCATTTATTGCCAATGTAATCCAGAACTGACCTGTTTTGTTTGATTATGTTATTTTCATCATTTTACTTTCTGCCTCAGGGCCTACCTGTGCTGGAACTGTCAACTTCTGTAGCCCCAATCTCTGTAACGGCACCGGGAGTTCCCAGTGCACCAGCCTCACCACCGGACCACAGTGTCACTGCAAGCCAGGATATGACAATCCAGTCTGCAGTGTATGTGATTTTATTTCTCTTACTTTACATTAAGGATATTGAAAAATTAGATTATATACTCACGAATAAGGGAACACCTGAAAGTACAAGTGTTCCTTTTTTCTTTTCCAGGTTTCTTCACAAGCTTTGTATTGCACTGTGGGTGAAATTCTTGAAAAGAATAAAGGAATACTTGTACTTACATGTGTTCCCTTATTTTGTTCCATGAGTATGTTATTCTGCAGACTAATAAATGAAAGTTCCAAATCATATGAAAATATTTCCCACTGTGCAATATTTGTGAAAAAAAGAGTATTATTGCAAATACTGAACATGTATTATCTTGCTATAATATTCAATTATCATGTTCTCAGAACAACATTGACGAGTGTGCAAGCAGCCCATGTCTCCACAATGGTGTATGCACTGACGGCATCAATGACTTCACTTGTGGATGTAAGACTGGGTGGACTGGCAAACGCTGTGAGGTTCTCATTACCCCCTGCAGTGCCAATCCTTGTATCAACAGCGCAACCTGCTTCGACCTCTTCTCCAACTATTACTGCAGGTACATTAGACACCATTCAATTACACATGAGTGAGTGAGTTTAGTTTTATGCTACTTTTATATTTACACCGCTTTTGTCAGTATTCAAGCAATATCACAACAGGCTTCTCATATTGTACCCGTGTGAGGAATCAAACCTGGCCTGACAAGCAAACGCTTTAACCACTAGGCTACCCTACTACCCCAATTACACATGAATTTGGGGTCTCTTGATACATCTCTGAAGTAAAACACGATGGGTGAATTTCTTATTGTTTGCCAAACTCCTAACTAATTTACACTGAATTTGAACTTCACACAGCTGAGCCAATCTGATCAGGAACCCATCTTGTGTGTATGCAAAATGCGTAAAATTATAACTTGTCACTCTCATATCAAGCCTGGGCATTGATGCCATTGATTAGAATTTTGTCGGTTAACCATTTTGTTTCATAGGCTTACTTTAAAACGGGCAGCCGGGTAGCCTTGTAGTTCAAACGTTCGTTCATCACACTAAAAGACCTGGGTTCAAGTCCCCACATAGATACAATGTGTGAAGACCATTTCTGGTGTCCCCCACCATGGTGTTGGTGGAATATTGCTAAAAGCGGCGTAAAACCTAACTCACTCACTCAGTTACTTCAATACTGTTTAATATGTATTTCAGTGGAATTATGGTAAGTAACTGTTTACCTTGTGAAGTGTTCTATGATAGGAATTACAACAGTTGAGTCAGTAAGAGTTTGTAGTTCTTTTCAATGGTCTTTAATACGTTATTCATATTTTAATTTTCACCAATGAAGGATGTGTAAACAAAATGAATAGAAAGTTTTTCCAGCCTAGAATTATGTTCATGTTTTTTGACATTGTTATCACTTCCAGTTGCAAGGCCAACACCTATGGTCAGAACTGCCAGTACGCTCCTAGTGTATGCAGTAATGCCAACCCATGTGTCACTGGAATGTGTTCAGAAACAGCTGGGGTCACTAAATGTGCCTGTGGACAGAGTAAGTATAAACTGGTGTACAGAACTTTGCCCACAGGAGCGTTCCCCACCACAATTTTTACAGGGGAGTAATTTTGCCCGCAATATTAATATTATGCCCACCATAATAATACAACATTATTTAAAATAGGTATGTATTATTTTATTGAGCTACACAGAAACAGCAAAAATACAGCACATTAATAGAATAAAAAATGAATAGCGTGTAATTAGAAAAAGAAATACAAAGTAGCAGTTTAGCTCTGGTGAAGTGCCATTAATGTTTGATCTCTTTTAAAACTATATGTCCGGAGCAGTGTCAGTATTAAGGTGTGTGAGTATTAAAGTAGGCAATAATTTTTATCTTACCTCACACATAAATGTCGTTTTCTGATTGGCTGAGTGCTCTTCTATTATTTCATAGTACCCCGCTTACAAGCGAGTAACATTTTCTATGTACACCACTGGGAATGCTGAACTCATTTGGTACTTCGTAGTAGTATTTTTTATCTCGGATAACATTGAATTACGTATGATGTACGGAAATTACCGATGTTTTGCGAATGCAAATAGTGGAAGGGAGATAACTCTAAATTTGTATTTTCTTGTCGTCTGGTACTCCATACTAATTGCTAAGATCCGATCCCATGCTTCAAACAGTTCAAAATTACCATTGACGTGTTCGGTAAGATAAATACATTTTGTTCACTGGTCCTTCTGGGCCCATGGATTGATGTACCCTCAATGTTTCTTTATGTTCCGCTCGAGACCAGTGAACAACTTACAATGTAATGGGCAAATGTCCTGTACAAATTGTGCTTGGCAGAATTCCTTTTGTGGGCAAAGTTCCTGGATTTGTAAAAACTGACATATAGATAAAAAAACTATTGTATCAATCCAAGTAAATCCAAATTCAAACTCCTCATGTCATCATCAGATTGTAAACTGCTAGCTTTATCTATCATGCAATGTATCTAAGATGTTAAAATTATCAATTTATACTGTACACACCATGTTTTGCCATGCACAATGCAACCTATGTAGTTATGGGCCGATGGCCTACACTTCTGTAATAAAAGAATTGAACATATAGATATTACTCACTGGATTACGAGTAAACTACAGGCACCGTCAACAAATTGTGAACTGAAATATGTATTAATTGTTAACATTTCTTTTTCTACTATTAATTATACAACTTCACAGAGACTGCCAAGATGAGATTTGGGTTTGTTGTAAGTCTCAGTTATCTTATAAACTATTAGTATAAAATGAAGGTTAGTGACTTCTGAAAATATTTGTATCCTAAAATAATTGGTTTTCAGACTACACCGGCAGCGGCTGTGATGTGCAGGTTCAGCACTGTAAGGCTGGTACATGCAAGAACAAGGCTGGATGTAGTGTTCCTGCACTCGACGACTACAAGTGCTCTTGCCCCAAGGGTGGGTAACAATACACTGTTGTGGGGTAGGGGGTGGGAGGGATATGCCAGTTTCATTCCAGTATAAGGCCTATATAGCATGGATCGCGACTGGTAGTATATGATACCAGTTATATGTTATTGATGCTGACACACCACTGTCAATGCTGATCACATGAATGGACACAGTGCTCTGTTCTCATAAGTACTTTTATCTTACCTCACACAAATGTTGTTTTCTGATTGGCTGAGCTTCTATTATTTTAATTTACCCCGCTTACAAGGGAGTACTATTTTCTATGTTACCCACTGGGAATACTGAACTGTGGGAATTTATTTGGTACTTCAGGTTAGAAAGTCTTTATCTCGAATAATTGAGTCACGTGTGATGTATGGAAATTGCCGATGTTTTGCAAATGCAAATCGATGCAAGGGAGATAACTCTAGCGAGGGGAATATAAGCACACATGGAAGGTACATCTTGTCCCCCTTGTGACCATGAATCAACTTATAATGTCATATGGATGGAAACTCATATGGACTATTGTCATTAGCCCTTGTATCACATGGATGAGGACTACTGTCATTTGTGTATACATCAGGGTTGATTGGCACAGATACAATACTGTCATTAGTGCGTATGTTGGCTGGATGGTACATGTCGATCATTAGTCATGTTGATACTCATGCCAGGATGGGCACCAGGGCCTAGATTTTCGAGGTTTTGAGCTCTAAGATAGTTGTAAGTTCATGTTACTGTATGGCACCTACGACTATCTTAGCGCGAAGAGAGCTTTGAAAATCTAGGCCCAGTACAATACTGCAATGAAAGAAAGTGTTATCACCTGGAGTGCTGTGATTGGTCATATATGTTAGTTCAGTTTGACAATGTTGTGATGTGTGATCTATATGATTTAGAAGCCTTCCAATATGTTTTACATTCATACCAGAAACAGTTTATCAGTGTAATTCTCAGCTGGTTGACATTAAGATGTGTCAATGTTCTCAGGTTTCACTGGGACAAACTGTGACGTCAACATCAACAACTGTTTGGGTGTGACATGCCAAGGAACAGCCACATGTATTGATGGAGTGGACGAATATTTCTGTCGCTGTCCCATTGGCAAAAGTGGAACAGGCTGTACCCAAGGTATGTCTAAATCAAATTTATTTTTCAGGGGGGTGGGGTAGCCTAGTGGTTAAAGTGTATCTCAATATTTTGTTAAGCTGTTTTTTTCATTTATGTAGAAAGTATCTAAACAACAATGATTTATACTAGTCTCCTAGTGAGTGCACAACTCTTTTCTTCACAAACCAGTTTAAAATTAGCACCCTTAGCATATTTAACGTAACATATCTGGCAAACAATATTGTAATACATCTGGCCGTTTGTTCAATTTTCCATTTTAAACATTTGTGCATATAGATGGATATTTTCTTTTTCACAGATCTGGACCGCAACTATGACATGCTGTTTAATCTGCCTCAGAAGACTGGCTATGCTTCCCTTCCCTACCCAATCCGACTCACCGCTAACAAGTTCAGTGTTAGTCTGTGGGTCAGATTCTTGGAGCCAAGTGGAACTGGAACATTCTTCACTATGTATTCAGTCGAGTCAGTATATTTCCTTTTTCCTAACTTAGTATAAATGTATGCTTTGTTAACAAGGAATTAATGTCAAACGTTTCATGTAGTTAGTTAAAGTCACAGAGCAAATTGAAAGGGGAAAAAAAGTTTTGTCAATGGCAAGTGGTGTTTAAACTAATGATTCAATTAGTTTATTCCCAGTCAAACACAATGAGCCATGCTTTAAAATCATTTAAAAAGTGTGCTATTTTGTTGTAACAATTGAGGTGAATTTTTTTTATCCAGTGTTATCATTCAAAGTTAAACGCCATTTTGTTTGCTCCTATCTTAGGTGTCTGCATTTGTCATAATTACCAATCGTATGACCTTGAAACCTTTTCCCACTTTTAGTGGTCCAAACAGCTTGGCTGGCAAGAAGGAACTGATACGCATCGACCATTCCGGACTGACCATTTCTGTGAATGGTACCAGTACCAATGTAAGGTTGCAATACTTCAATTTTAACAATGGTAAATGGAACCAGATTACAGTTACATGGAATGGTGTGACTGGACTCCTCAACTTTGTCGTCAACACTATTGCCCAGGATGTTCAAGATTATGCAAAGGGCATGACGATTGATAAATAGTGAGTGAAATATTGTTCTATTCACTTTTTTATTATATAATTAACCATGGGAATTTTCTTACATATCAGTTTCTTTTTCAAATTGCAATAGTTTATATTCATTTCAACATGTGGAATGTGATTATTTGAAGTTTGTTGTAATCCTTTGTCAAGGGAAGTTGATGTTGTTGTTTTTTTCGAAATGCTCTTGATTTTCAAACAGGTGTTACAATGTGTGAAGCCCATTTCTGGTGTACCCCACCCCGATGTTGCTGGAATATTGCTAAAAGCGGCGTAAAACCAAACTCAGTCAGTCAAACAGGTCTTATAAATAGACAACCTTTTCTAGTCAAGACAAGACGCATGTTGAACCCTGCATGCTCTTCACCTTAAGGACTCTTGCTCATTTCTTCCCATGTAGGATGTGTGTGGTGGTGTGTTTCTGTGCATAGAGCTCAGGTCACAGAGCTTCAACATCAGTTGAAGTTAAGCAATATTGGGCATAGAGAGGCCTTGGATGGATGACCGTGATTAACAGCTTGACTCCTGAGAATTTCTAGAACTTCTAGAAACTTATACAAATGACTTTGTTAAAAATTGCGTCTGTTCAACCAGCAGAAAATCCCGGTGGGACAAGTCATGTGACTAATAACTTAGTGCCTCACTGTCAGGTTGGTTTTTTTTTCGGGTAATAATTGTCAGATTGTTAGCAATGAGCATCCACCTAGTGAATGGAGTTCAGTGCATTATATATGCACTTATTATTATTATTACTATTATTATTATTATTACTATTATTATTATTTATGTCTTCCTCATGATAGAGCTGTAATGTGGTTCATTGTTTGTCTCCAGTATCTGGATGGTTCTTGGGAGCAAGTACAACCCGGTGACGGAGATGCCTGTACCGAACGAAGGTTTCAATGGCTGGTTGAGTCAGGTGTCACTCTACAACAGAGATCTCACCTTTACACATGAAATACCTCTGAAACTTGAGAACCCACGCCAGTTCTTTGCTGATGAGATCTTTGCATGGAATGAGTTCCGCAGAACCCAGGGTGTGTCTCTTGTCATTCCATCAACTGCTTCGTCCACATCGTGCCCCAGGGGTACTTCGGAGGGAACTGTGAAGTAACTAACGAGAGTAAGTAGAAGTAATATTTTAATGAGTTTGGTTGCTTGGTTTGTTGTTAAATGCCACACTCAGCAGTATTCCAGCTATATGGCGGCGGTATGTAAATAATAGAGTCTGGACCAGACAATTCAGTGATCAACAGTATGAGCATCGATCTGTCCAGTTGGGATACAATGACATGTGTCAACCAAGTCAGCGAGCCTGACCACCTGATCCTGTTAGTCGCCTCTTACGACAAGCATGGGTTGCTGAAGTCCAATTCTCGACCCGGATCTTCATGGGTGTATTTTAATGAGTCATGATGGTGACTCATGGTACTTATGAAAAAGAAGTTTCTTTTCTATTTTGTATAATTAGTCTCCAGTTGTCATTTGAAAGTTTTCATGTTAATTTTCCTTCAAGAGAAAAAGACAATAAATGTTACAGGTAGAGCAACTCTAATTTTGTTTCAGTGCCTTCATCACATGCTATTAAGTCTTAACTAGAACTCATGCCAGCATTGGCTTTATTGCCAGTTATAATTAACAACGAACCTCTTGAAACCGTTAATGAATACAAGTATCTTGGTACATATATTGATAACAAACTGAATTTTAATGAAAACACAGATGCTATATTCAAGAAGTGTCAACAAAGGTTACACTTCTTGCGCAAATTGAGATCTTTCAATGTTAATCAATCAATTATGTGTCTTTTCTATCAGTGCTTTATACAGAGTGTTCTGTCTTTTTCTGTACTATGCTGGTATGGAACCTTGTCCCTTAAAAACAGAAACCGTCTCACCAGAATAGTTTTATTAGCCCCCAAAATTGCAGGTGTATCTTTTGCTAACCTAAATGAAATATATGAAGAAAGAGTTCTCAAGTCAGCCTGCAAGATTATATCTGATCCAGAACATCCCATCCACTATGAATATAAATTACTGCCTTCTGGGCCGTTATAAATTACCCTGTTTTGAATCCAATCGTGCCATGAAATCCTTTGTTCTCTCCAGTATTAATCTTTTAAATGATTCCTAGTGTTTGTCTTAACTTGTTCACGTGTTTTATGTGTGTTATTTATTGTATGGAAATAGTTTAATCATTTTATCAATGTTTGAGCTCTGTACTTTTCACAAGAATTCCCTCACGGGTAATAAAGTATTGTCATTATCATTGTCTGTTATCATCCAAAACAGAATATGGTCATGGCAAAGATTTTTCATTTTATTTCTCATCACCATGTGAACTATACAAGGACCCCTGTTTGGATCCCACCTGTATAAGGTACATCAAGTTGATACATTTTTTGACATTACATCATGGACAGAAGGTTGAAACAAACCCAAAACATTGAAAACATTCGTGCGAACGTACCACTTGTATAAGGTGCTGGAGAGCCATGTATGACTCATGTGCTGCATGCACAGAGTCATTAAAGACTTCCACAGCTTAACACATCATTTAATTGTATCATGATAATTTCAGGAAAGCTCCTTGTGTCTCCCACTAAGTGTCCAAGTGACATCGTCAAACTGGGAACATCTCGTATTACTGAAGTCACCTGGCTGGACCCTGAATTTGCGGGCAAAGATTCCACCATCATTTCCACTCACAAGTCAGGTAACACAATCTACATTTCATTAGTTCATTAACAACTATTTGTTTGTTAACAAGCACTAGATATTTTGAAATATACTTAACATCAAAAGTTTAGACTCACTAGTGTAAATGTAGCCACTTACTTAATAATCAACTCTTCTGAACTAGATTTTGCTAAATTTTCCATACTGTTTAATGGTACTGTTTACACATGAACTGATGTATTGTAAAACAAATTCATAATGTTGAAAAGATTATTGTCATGGGTTAAAAAAATGATGAAACTGAGTGAAAATTGGCGAATTTTTAACAAAATTTTACACCACAACACAGCTATTCACATGCACGATATTTGCACATGCTTTTTAGCAATTTAATGCATGATCCTCGTGCAATTCATCTGCATAATGTTTGCAGTTGGTTCCCCAAAGTTAGTGGAGATATTCATCTTCGATGTAACCACACATATATGCATAACATATAGTGATCGCTTTAAGTGAGTCCAAACTTTTGATGGGTAGTATATAACTGCTCCTTTTGGTGTAGGACATAAAAAGCTAAACATGTCTTGAGAACTAGATTTACTTAGTGAATCATAACTTGATGCAATGACGACCAGTTCTACTGACAGAAGAATAGATTTGATTTAAGACTGTTCCTGCTTTAAATTTGTTAATGTTTAACACTTGATTTTGGTTTGGTTGTTGTTTAACGCTGCATTCAGCAATATTTCAAATAATCCAGTCTAGACCAGAGAATCTAGTGCTCAACATCATGAGCATGGATCTACACAGTTGGGATATGATGACATGTGTCAACCAAGTCAACGATCCTGACCAACCGATCTTGTTAGTCGCCTCTTACAACAAGCATGGGATGCTGAAGATGACCGGGATGTTCACAGGTTGTTTAACACTTGTACTTCCAGGTGATGTGTTTTTATGGGGCCGCTATCAGGTTGTCTATCTTGCCAGCAACTCAGCAGGTAACAAGGGACTCTGCACCTTCAAGATCTTCGTCCAGTGTAAGTGCAAAACCAGGCTAGTGGGAAAACATAAGCGAAGACAACACGTTGCATTCAGTGTTATGCAATGTTATGAAATAGGACTCTGAATTGTTAATATGGGATGCATTATTATCTCGATGTTATCTTCTTTATATATACAGCATATTATACTGCCCTTTCAAAATGTTCCATTACTTCTTGCCATTAGTATATTTTGGCAGGTAGAAAGGGAAGGAGGAAAAGGTAGATTTCTCACTATCAGAATGTATTAGGATTTTCAAGATGACAAGCAATCATCTACAATGTGTCTTCATGTATATGTGGAAAAATGTGTATTTACCTAAATTGGGTTCAGTATAAGAAAACTAGAAACTTTGTGCCTTGTGACGTCTGTGTGGCATTTTAGAAGTTGGGAAATACTATACAGTTTTGACAAATCTTTTGGATAGCAACTTCTTTTATTTCAAAATAAAAAGAAGCCTGATAGGTTGCAAAGCTTTATATTTAGATAGTATTGAGGGCTTGCCCAACCTTTTTAACAACAATCAAGTGTAAGCCCGGGGCTTTTTCCATAATGGTAGCTAGTTGTTATCTATAAAGTTTGTCAATATGGAATTGCCATGTGGATAAAACTTTCTTTTGACTGTAACACCTTTGTACACTTAACTTTGTCAAGAAAGTCATAAGGCACTCCTATTTTCATTGGCACTAGATCATGTATTTTTTCACAGATTCCAGCTGCACGCCTCTACAGAATCCGATCCGTGGAAATGCACAAAGGAGTACTAACAATGACCCACTGATTACAACAAGCATCGACTGTGATTCGGGCTACTCTATTGTACACCCAGTCCCCAGACTCTACACATGTCCAAGGATTGGGAGTTACAACCCACCAATGATGTACAACACATTCCGACTACCACCTTGTGGAGGTAAATCCTTAACATGTGTTCCTTCTATCTGTTCAACTTTGTTGTTGAATTCCTGGAGCTCAGTTGATGTTATCTGGGGCCCTAAATCTTGTATACATGCAGCAAAGATTATGTCTTGATGAACCAAATTTCACCTTAGGATTTTCTTGTAAATTACATAATACTAAGTAACAGATCTGCATTTTATGTAGTTAAACAAAGGCACATTAAAAATATTATGGAAATTATGCAGCCTTATTTATCATCAGCAGCTTAAAACAAACCAATGATGGTGGTGGATAGGACTTACCTGTGTATCTTGTTTGTCATGGAAAAATGAAAATGCAAATTTTAAATTTGGATAATCCATTAAGATAGTGTATTGTTTTATGTGGGTTTTAAGAAACTGACTGAACTTTAAATTGCTTTTTTTTTTTCAGTAATTGTTAACAACAATCTGTATCAAGTGATAATACAGCTTTTCTACACTATTACTTCCACCTTCCCCTCTGGTATTGAGACCAGCATGAGGACCGAGATACTTCGTGCACTAACAACACTCAATGCTGAGTGGGGTAATGGACTATGTGATAAAACCGACTGCTCTGATGCCGTCATCAACATTAGGAGTGGAGTGACTTCTGGACGAAGGAAGAGGCAGTCAACACTGGACACAAACGTCAACATCACCCTCCCAATGGCAAAGTGAGATTTTATTGCCCAATTAGACAAATATGAGTGTGTGAGTTTAGTTTTACACCACTTTTAGCAAGATTCCAGTAATATCACAACAGGATGACCCCAGAAATGGGCTTCACACATTGTAACCATGTGGGAAATCGAACCCAGGTCTTTAGCTTGAAGAGTCCTGTGAAGATCCAGGTTAGAATTGATCTTCAGCAACCCATGCTTGTCGTAAGAGGCGATTAACGGGATCGGGTGGTCAAGTTCGCTGGGTTGACACATTTCATTGGTTCCCAATTGCGCAGATCGATGCTCATGCTGTTGAACCCTGGCATGTCTGGTCCAGACTCGATTATTTACTGACTGCCTCCATATAGCTGGAATATTGCTGAGCGCGGCGTAAAAATAAACTCACTCACTCACTTCAGCGTGTAGAGCTAACGCTTTAACTTCAAGGCTACCCCACCGCCGAGTCAGACAAATGTGACCCTCATTACCACATACTATGTCATTGTTAACAGTAAATAGTGAGTGAGTTTAGATTTAGGCCACACTCAGCAATATTCCAGCTATATGGCAGCGGTCTGTACATAATCGAGTCTGGACCAGACAATCCAGTGATCAACAACATGAGCATCGTACTACGTAATTGGGATGTGATGACATGTGTCCACCAAGTCCAAGCCTGATCACCTGATCCCGTTAGTTGCCTCTCACGCCAAGCTTGGGTTATTGAAGATCATTTCTAACCCGGATCTTTTAGAGGTTGTTGATAGTAAATAAGAATAACTGTTGTATTATAACATTCAGTGAACACTAATCAATGCAGCTAATTGAAAGTATTCTATCCTCAGAGCCTTATCAACCAGTGGGTCTTTAAGTCTTTCGCCTGGCGACATACTCCGGCTGGCTGTGCTCAACCAGGATAGGTTTGACTTCTCAGTAAGTAAACTCCATTTGCTCCTTTGTGAAAGAATAGCCAGTAGTTTCAAATGTTTCTTCTTCTTTGTTAAAGAAAGCGACCTGGTGTAATCCATTTAGGTAACTGGCCAATTTCGTTCTAACAGTAGAACAACTGGTTTCAATACAAATAATTTACTTTCTGAATTGAACCCTCTAATGGATCCCATTCAGACAATTAGGGTTCTGTTCAGACTTCTCAATCACATTATACCATTCAGTCCACATGGAACCACCAGAATCCAAGAGACAATTACACCACTGTATTCTGTTCAGACAATTGAACAATGGGAATCAAGTGAATGTTGATTTCATTCAGACAATTAAACACCTAGATTGCATTCAGATCGTATACAATACTAGAATTCATGAGGCAATTAAACAACTGAAATATGTTCAGACAACTTAACAATTGGATTCCATTCAGTTTGTTATATCTGTCAGTTCATTATAACTTGTGCATTATAACCATTGTATACTGTGTTGTATACATTGAAGCATCATGTTATTGATTCATATTACCTGTTTAGCGTAAAAGCAACTTGCCCTGAGATGAACTTCTTCATAGTAAATGAAAGTCTCAGAAAGCAGAGATTATTTGTAACGCTCATGTTTTATTTACTCCCTGTGTATTGGTTCTGTGAGTTCTTGTAAAATGTTGTCTTTGTTTTCCTCAGCGGAACATCCCTAATGCAATTCCTAAGAGGGATCTCCTTAAGATACTACTTTCCATCTCCTGTGAATCGGGGCAGGCAGTTGTTAATGGCAAATGCGGTATGTAGCAAAATCAGACAATGTTAGTATGCATTCACTTTGGAAGTAGGCATCAGAAATATGTACACACAGTTGTTCTAATGTGTCTCATTCTGACAGTTATTATAATTATTGGTTATTGTACCAAATTTACACAAGAACAATGTCTCACTTTTACATGTGCACTGATTACAGTAAATATACTTTGACTGGAAATTGACACTGTAGTCGTAAGAGTGTACTCCTGTCATCTAGATAGCCAGGTTAGCTAGATAGGTTAGAATTAATCTCTGACAGTAACCCATGTTTGTCGTAAGAGGGATCGGGTCGTCAAGCTCGCTGACTTAGTTGACACATGTCATCGTATCCCAATTGCGTAGATTGATGGTCATGCTGTTGATCACTGGATTGTCTTTTCAAGATTCAATTATTTACAGGCTGCTGCCATATTGCTTGAATATTGCTGAGTGCAGCATAAAACTATACTCACTCACTCTGTACAGCCAGACACAGAACATGCTACCATGGAAATCTCCATAGGTCACCCATAAATCTGCTCACAGCATTTGTGTAAGCATTAAATGGAAGAATGTCTGTTTATTTCAGTGAAATGTGCTCCTGGCACTTACTATAATGCTGCCACAAGGACATGCAACCTTTGTCCAGTTGGTCAGTATCAGCCCAATGAGGGTCAGTCTGGCTGCGTGACCTGTGGAACCAAAACAACAGAACTTGCTGGGTCAGCTAATGCAAATGACTGCAAAGGTGAGTATTAAAAGGGGTGTCATTCCTCCATCAGCTCACCTGTCATTCCCAACGTCAGCACAACAGTGTAAAGTTCCCTCAAGGGGCCATATGTTATCATCATGCTGGTATATTGCATATACAATGGAAACCGCCTAAGTAAAGACCGCTTAACTAAACAGACCTGATAAGTAAACACTTTTCTTTGGTCCCGGCAACTTTCTTCATTAATTATCACTATTAGAGTCCGGTTAACTAAGCAATACCGCTTAACTAAACGTCTTCTCACCGTCCGTGGAAGTAAAGTACTTAACAAAAGAGACGGGATAACTAAATTAGCGATCACCACATAATCCGACATGAGGGGCAATTGTGTCAGTCTCCAGCTAAACACTCATCCTACTTACAGCTCGCTGGCGTCAAGCAGTTGACAATACACTGCCAACCCTGATAAGTTGTTCATTGTTACATATGCATACATATACATGCATATGGTTGTCATTTGCAGGTTTTTATAAGTTTGGATAAGTAAAATACCTGATAAGTAAACAATTTTGGCGAGTCCCTTGAAATTTTACTTATCAGGTTTCCACTGTAGTAGCTTTATTCGGAATGCAACTAACAGGATTGGGTGGTCTTGGTTTACTCATGTCATTGTTTCCCAATTGCATAGACTGATGCTCGAGCTGTTGATCACTGGATTGTCAGGTCCAGACTCGATGATTTTACAAGCCACAGTCATATAGCTGTAATATTGCTGAGTGTGGCGTAAAACTATACTCATTCACTCACTCACTCATTATTCTGAACACACCCTTCATTCATTGGAAATGTGTGATTCAGTTTATAAGTCACAGCAACTCACTTGGTCTGTTTCTGGACCCTGAGAGGATAATTTAAAGAAATGCAACTTAAGTCCATAATAATTGGGAAAGTCTAAACTGCCTCAGCTCTAGGCCTGACGTAAAGCATTACTCCTGGTTTGTATATTTTGTAGATATATACTTTTAAGTATGACAGCTTTATTTTTCGGACTAAATGTTAGTCGAGCTTTGGTCCTACATTTTGTTATGAGTTCTTTGATGTGACTGAGAATCTGCTCAAAGCAGCATTACAGTGGTGCTGTCATGCAGTTTTAGTAGAAGATGCCATACTGGTAGAACTATACGACAGAGCCAGGAAATATGCATCATACTGTCGTGCATCATACATGGCAATTATTTTTCTGGTGTTAAAAAGCACTAAGATTAATCCACCAGTTCAACTATAAATGTTCAACCACATCATTAGCATACTTTGAATTTGTGTCTTGTAAGTTAGCCATGTTATAAGATCAGATTAACTATTATTTATGTATCTTTATACTTACAGTTACTTGAGCAACTGGTTACAAGTTTGACTCTACCAGCGACAAATGCATGTTGTGTCCAATTGGGTTCTATCAAAACATGACAGGCCAGTTCTTCTGTTACCCCTGCTCTGTGGAGAAAACAACAAGAGGAACAGGCTCCATAGCTGAGGCTCAGTGCTATGGTAAAATATGTGATAGCTCAGTCTAGCCATATTCTCCTGGAATAATGTTATTTGTACATGTATTATCTTTGTGGAAATGTAACACAGTAGGTTTGACATGACTGACTGTCAAATTGCGTAATTCTGCATCTTGTTTAAAGATGTTAGTTATATTTACTAAGTTTCTGAACAACAACTTCAACACCTTCATTCTTGTGACTGTTTAATTACAAATTGTTGATTTATGATCTTTGTAAACATTTATCTATTTTTCAGTTGGGTGTACAAAGGGTAATCAGCTGGCGCCAAATGGAACCTGCCAAGCATGCCCCCTGGGCAAGTACCGCAGTGCAACCATGACCCAGTGCGAAGACTGTGTTTCTGGCCTGACAACTAATTCAACTGGAGCAGATGATGTTTCGTTGTGCAATGTCGGTGAGTGCTTCACCCAATGTATGAATATATCTGTGGCTTGAAAATCTTTATTCTGTATTATTTCCTTAATTTCCAATGTTCAGATATGGATTGATACTAAACAACAATTTGAAATCTATTCAATGAAGCATAAACATAACTTCTTTGAGTGACATTTTTAGAAGTTGGAGAGTCAGATAAGGACAAACTTTATGGATGAACAATTTCTTTATTCCATTTATCTCAAGCATAAACATGGCTCACTCAACTTCAAATCCTTCTTTTTCTCCAGGGGACTGTCAAGCTGGGTTTTACCGGAACATTTCGAAACAGACCGAATGCCTGAAATGTCCACGTGGAACCTATCAGGATCTAAAGCAGCAGTACAGCTGCAAGCCTTGTGGTGCCAGTCCTGAGTACACCACAGCAGGAGATGGATCAACATCTTCAGCAGAGTGTAGATGTAGGTATCTAGGGTCGTGCTTGGTGTGTCCACATGTTGAGTGAGTGAGTGAGTTACATCACAGCAGGAGATGGATCAACATCTTCAGCAGAGTGTAGATGTAGGTATCTAGGGCCGTGCTTGGTGTGTCCACATGTTGAGTGAGTGAGTTACATCACAGCAGGAGATGGATCAACATCTTCAGCAGAGTGTAGATGTAGGTATCTAGGGCCGTGCTTGGTGTGTCCACATGTTGAGTGAGTGAGTGAGTTACATCACAGCAGGAGATGGATCAACATCTTCAGCAGAGTGTAGATGTAGGTATCTAGGGCCGTGCTTGGTGTGTCCACATGTTGAGTGAGTGAGTGAGTTACATCACAGCAGGAGATGGATCAACATCTTCAGCAGAGTGTAGATGTAGGTATCTAGGGCCGTGCTTGGTGTGTCCACATGTTGAGTGAGTGAGTGAGTTACATCACAGCAGTGAGTTACATCACAGCAGGAGATGGATCAACATCTTCAGCAGAGTGCAGAGTGTAGATGTAGGTATCTAGGGCCGTGCTTGGTGTGTCCACATGTTGAGTGAGTGAGTGAGTTACATCACAGCAGGAGATGGATCAACATCTTCAGCAGAGTGTAGATGTAGGTATCTAGGGCCGTGCTTGGTGTGTCCACATGTTGAGTGAGTGAGTGAGTTACATCACAGCAGGAGATGGATCAACATCTTCAGCAGAGTGTAGATGTAGGTATCTAGGGCCGTGCTTGGTGTGTCCACATGTTGAGTGAGTGAGTGAGTTACATCACAGCAGGAGATGGATCAACATCTTCAGCAGAGTGTAGATGTAGGTATCTAGGGCTGTGCTTGGTGTGTCCACATGTTGAGTGAGTGAGTGAGTTACATCACAGCAGGAGATGGATCAACATCTTCAGCAGAGTGTAGATGTAGGTATCTAGGGCCGTGCTTGGTGTGTCCACATGTTGAGTGAGTTACATCACAGCAGGAGATGGATCAACATCTTCAGCAGAGAGTAGATGTAGGTATCTAGGGTCGTGCTTTGGTGTGTCCACATGTTGAGTGAGTGAGTGAGTTACATCACAGCAGGAGATGGATCAACATCTTCAGCAGAGTGTAGATGTAGGTATCTAGGGTCGTGCTTTGGTGTGTCCACATGTTGAGTGAGTGAGTGAGTCCCAGCAGGAGATGGTTCAGCAGAGTGTAGATGTGTTACACCACAGCAGGAGAGAGTGTAGATGTAGGTAAGTTTAGTTTTACACGCTTTTACCAATATTCGAGCAATATTACAGCTTTGACACCAGAAATGGGAATTACACATTGTAACCTTGTTGGTGTGACAAGTGAACACTTTAATCACTAGGCTATGTCCACATGCTGATACATTGTAGGTTTAACATATTCCAAATAGGAGGTCAGCCAATTCCTTTTATGGTTTTTCTTTTTAAATTTTGACATTGACATTGATTTCATTGTTCTCATGACCAAGGACAATGAAGTCCTCACTTCACTATTTCTTTAAAGTATGCAGTTATCAGTTAGTGAATATGAATATTGCTTCTTCTGTCAGCATTTCACTTAAATACAGTAGCATTTTAATTGACTATATGGCTTAATTCCTAAAACCACAAATGGTGTATTTGTACATATCTGCCTTGCAAACTGATGATAGGACATGTTTGTTTAGTTGTTTTATTGATTATGAATGTGATTGATTTTAAATCGGATTGGGTGTGTTTTTAGTTGTCTGTGGAGATGGATTGCAAAGGTTTGTACAGCAAAACATGGACACATGCATCCCATGCCCGGTAGGATTCTATCGGAATATGACACTGCTACCATATGACGTATGTGCATCATGTGGTCTTGGACGCAGCACTCCATCGACCAACTCCAAGTCATTTAGTGATTGTTCTATCTGTGAGTACCCGAATTATATTATTATTATTATTATTATTATAGGATATTCATGTTGTGCACATATTCACGCTCACGCAACTAGTACATGCTCAAGGCACTGGTTTTTCCCTCGATCATTGGATGTCAATCTCAACAGCAAGTCATATTATCAATCTCAACTCCTTGTGGAGTATACAACTCTTGCAGCCACTAGACGCACCAAATTAATGTGACTTTCCCATCCTTACGAGGTACCCATTCACAGCTGGGTGGACTGGGACAAATATTCACAGTACTTTTTCCAAGTTTACTGCAAGTTGCTGTACTCGTAACAAGGCAAATTGATAACAATAGCTGACAAAATTCTGAAATATTGCAAATGAGTTGATTCAAGTTGTAGTCATGTTTATGTTTTGTGTTTTAAGACTTCATCTAAAATTAGATTAAATGTTTATGCGCATACTTTATTTGCATGAAATAACATGAAAATCCAACAGATGAGTGAAGTAATTTTTCTTTTTGCCCAAGTCATATCATTTCAAAAGATATTTTGTTATTTTTTTTCAGTGAAGTGCTCAGTTGGACAACAACCGGACACAAGCAATTCCCAGTGTGTTAACTGTCCTCTAGGGACATATCAAAATCAGGCAAACCAACCAAACTGTATCCTATGTACAGGCCAAACCAGCACTCGGCAGAATGGCTCAACAAGCAGCACACAATGTGAAGGTCAGTCCCACTGACATTCATCACCTCAAATGATTATCTCTCTCTGTGCTTGCTTTGAATAGATATTGCAGGTAGTTTTATTTACAACCTCCGATGATAGTCTGTCTCACAGTCCCTGAACCACATTATTTTCCCCACTGCCTAGCCCTCTCTGCAGTGCTAAAGCAAGTCTAGATTTCCTCAGGTTCAGGATCTCTGGTCTCCCTAGGGCTCCTTTTCAATTTAAATGGGCTTGTTTGTTACTATCAAAATTATATATATTCAGAGACTAAGCGTTAGTCTACCTCCGGTGAATGCTATTGTATTTAAGTCTCCCATTTTGTATTACTGTTACCTTAATTATTGTATTACAGTAATTTAATCATTGTATTACCTTGATTTTCATATTTCTTTGATTATCTTTTCAGAAGTACTAGTTCTTCAGGAAAATTATTATTATTAAACATTGGGTAAACTTAGGTTTTAGTAAACAATTCATATATTCAGACCAACTGATAATATCCTTTGAATATATTACTTTTAACTGATTATAAAGTTCTTTGCTCTTGAAAATGATTCCTAATTCATGCATCAATGGATAAAATTGTCACAATCAGTTTGTATTGAGTACACTGTTTTATCTTCTGCAGCTTTTTGCAATGGTGGTCAAGAAAAGCTGCGCGGATGGTTCATGTCGGACATGTCCTTTGGGCTACTACAAGGACAATAGTGTCTATAAGTTCACGTCTTGTCAAATGTGTCCAGCTAACTTTGTCACATCAGCACCAGGTGCTGACTCGATGTCAAAGTGTAATGTATGTAAGTAAAACCAATTTTCAGTCCATAAAACCATTTTATCACTTTTGATGTTCAAGACGATTTAAGATGTTGTTAATTATTTTCATGTATGAGTGTTTCATTTTACAAAAGAATGCCTACTAAAGGTACACACTATGCCAGTCAAAAGTGTTGACTAAAAGTGAGTGAGTTTAGTTTTAGCCGCACTCAGCAATATTCCAGCTATATGGCGGCGGTCTGTAAATAATCGAGTCTGGACCAGACAATCCAGTGATCAGCAGCATGAGCATGGGTCTGCGCAATGGGTAACCAATGACATGTGTCAATCAAACCAGTGAGCCTGACCACCCGATCCTGTTAGTCGCCTCTTACGACAAGCATGCGTTACTGAAGGCCAATTCTAACCCGCATCTTCACAGGTGTTGACTAACATGTATGTTATTGTCATAACAAGAATGTTACAGACTGCCGAGTAATAAGTGTTTTATCAGGGAAGAACTCCCCATCAGTAGTTCAGTTGTAACACTACGTTTGTTTGGTTTCTAGACCAGTGCCAAGCTGGCTTCAAGATTATAAGCAGTGGATGTGAAGCATGCCCTCTGGGCTACTTTCAACCAGAACCATATAAGAGTTCCTGTAGGAAATGCCCTGACAATACCTCCACTCGACAGAATGCTACAGTAAATGCCACACAATGTGAAGGTGAGTGGAATTCATGTCTTGTGTTATTTATTATTTACTTTAAATACATAAGTATAAATATAATCTTTGGCATCAATTTTCAAAGTGACTTATTCATCCTTTTCCAAATTCTACCTTTTCTGTCTATTCTTTCTGACACATCTTTCTGTTTCTTCTTCTGATCTCTTTTCACTCTCCATCATTCCCTGGAGTTTTTCAGAGACTACTTCCTCAGGATTTGACATGCTATGTGTTTGAGAGATAGGTTCTATTGAACTTTTCTTTGAAATGTAATGTTTATGAATACCAAAGTTTCACTTTGCAGATATAGGGAAGTATACATGTATAATTTTTAGTGAGTTCAACATTACATCATTCATATTTGTTCTCTAATGTCGTTCCTGTAATACATAGAATGTTTGATGTTTTCAGCATATTGTCAGTCTGGTTCCGAGAAGGATGCAACCACAGGCCTATGTACACCATGCAAGAGGGGTTTCTATAAGGCAAACAGTGATGGTGTGTTCAACCAGTGTGTTATGTGTGCATCTAACTTCATCACTGCATCAAATGGATCTACATCTGCTGCTGCCTGTTCAGTTGGTAAGTCAAGGACACATTTCTCAGCAGGGTGAGTGAGTGAGTTGGGATTTACGACACTTTTAACAAAATTTCAGCAATATCACATGGGGGACACCAGAAATTGGCTTCACACAATGTACCCTTGTGGGGAATCAAACCCGGGTCTTTGGCGTGATGAGCGAACGCTTTAACCACAGGCCACCTCACCGTCCCTGTCAGCAGGATCAGTATCATTACATTCTCATGATGAAATAGACTGCTATAAGAACTGTGAATATTCACATCAGATGCATCTTGTTGGCATAGAACCTTTTTTGAAATGAGAGATTGATCCACTTTTAAATGGATCTAAATTAAATGATAATAATAATAATAGTGGGTATTTGTAACTGCGCCTGTATCCGTGCATTCAATGCTCGCTCAATGCGCTACAAAAAGGGTAAGTCTATGTACAATGTAGACAGGAGATTACAAACAGTTGTAGTTGAAAAGGAAGAAAAGATCTAAGAGAAGGCTCTGGAGAAGTAATGTGTTTTTAGAAGGGACTTGAAAGAGTTCAGTGATTCGGCACATTTGATGTCAGCTGGCAGTGAATTCCAAAGCAATGCTGCAGTGTAGGCAAAGGTCCTCTGACCATAGGAGACAAGTCTGACTTTAGGGACTGTAAGTAAGTGCTGATTCTGGGATCTTAGACATCTTGCCAGGTGTACAGTGTAAGAAGTTCAGATAGATAACTGTCTGTTTGTCTTGCAAAAAGCCAGCATAAAACGTTTGATATTCAACTCTTCAGGAATAAGAGCACATTTTCCTTGGTCATGACAAAATCATCTTGTGCAACTCTGGCCTCAACAGTCATTGAAATTGCCAGTTTCATGTCACATTTGTCCACTGTTTTTTGCTGAAAGTTTGGGCTCCTTTGAACCGAACACCATATTGCCTTTCGCATTTGTATTAAAATTAAGCCTTGGTTTCCCAGCTAACTGCACTGCTGGCCAGAAGACAACAAGCACAGGGTGTGTGGACTGTCCCAAAGGATCATACCAGCCAAACAAGTGGCAGCCAGACTGCATCTCATGTACAACAGACAAGACCACAACCAGCACTGGGTCCAAATCAGGGACTGACTGTATCTGTGAGTACATGGGTCAATTGGCAGATTGTGTGCAGGTTAACTTAAGGACAAGCATGGTTTTAGCCAAAGCTATGTGTTAAGAGTGAGTGAGTGAGTCAGTTTAGTTTTATTGCCACACTCAGCAATATTCCAGCTGTATGGCGGTGGTCTGTAAATAACTGAGTCTGGACCAGACAATTCAGTGATGTACAACATGAGCATCGATCTACACAATTGGGAACCAATGACATGTGTCAATCAAGTTAGCAAGCCTGCCCACCCGATCACGTTAGTCGCCTCTGAAGACAAGCAAGGGTTTCTGAAGATTAGTTCTAACCCCGGATCTTCACGGGTCTATTGTGTTAAGAGTCTTTTTTGGAGATATAGTTGAATGAGGGTCCAAATTAAAAAATGAAATAAAGATAAAGAGAAATGACATCTTGCCAAGGATAAAACATCATGGCACATTATGAGGGATTGTAAATAATCGAATCTGGACCAGACAATCCAGTGATCATCATCATGAGCATCATTCTACACAATTGGGATACGATGACATGTGTCAACCAAGTCAGCAAACCTGACCACCCGATCCCGTTAATCGCCTCTTACGACAAGCATGGGTTCCTGAAGACGAATTTCAACCCACATCTTCAAGGGTAGAGAGTGTTAATGTGCAATTTTTATGTCATGTAGACAGTATTAGAACCAATATTTCAGTATAAAGGGCATGTACTGTAATGTGAGACTCATGATTTTGGAAACAAAAAATCATGAGTCTCATGAACAAAAAATGTATTTCAATTTCTTTTGTGTTTCAGTGAGTTGTCCTCCAGGCAAGGAAGACATTGCCGGGGTGTGTGTAGAGTGCAAGCAGGGATTCTACAAGAGTGAACAGAAGGCTTCTCAGTGTACTGCATGTCCAGCAAACACAACTACAGCAGGCAATGGGTCCACTGTCTCAACAGCCTGTAACCTAAGTAAGATTCTTGGAAATGGTTAGACCACCATATTCAACTTATTTGCAAGAACCCTTTTTTATCAAGCTGACAGTATTCAAGATTGTTTTATATTAAAAATGAGTCAATGTCTAAATGGGAAAACAATTTTGGCTCTCATCATGATTGGTCTTTCATTGGTATGAATCTATTTAAAACTACACAAGAAACAAAGATAAGATTGTTCCAGTACAGAATATGTTCTTGCATATGATCAAGGTTCTGTATGGGTAAGGCTGCTCATTCTGTAATGAACAGCAAGAAACTATATCCCATTATTTATGGGAATGTGACAACAATTCAGAAAATTGGGAATGAATTCATGGACTAGATATCTAATGGATGTACTCATATATATGACTTGAACTTATCGCCCGAACTGGTGATTTTTGAGAATGTAAAGAAGACATCACTGACTCTTTATTTTTCCTCATCCTGGTACGTATTTCATATATAGATACAAGGTTTCTGTCTCTCACTTAAGTTTTACACATTTTAGGAGGGAGTTTAATTTTTAGATATATTATCGAAATGATTATTCAGTATAGTGACAGTTCCATGAATGAGTTTAATACTAAATGGATGATGTACATCTTGCTGTTTGATGAGAATTAATCTCTACATGTCGGTTGTCTAGTCATAATATATGTGTCAATGTGTGTGGAAATGGTGTGCATACAATCTGTCTCTGTTCATGAAAGATCTACCTGCCACCTAGCTCAGTGTTTGTTGCATTTTGTAAGTTGTGTTTGGTTTCTGTTAACCTAAATTGCAAGTTACAGGTAATGTTCTCGTAATTGTTTATTGTAATACTCTGCCAGATTTCTTTGATACGAGCAAGGTGTCTTGTTCTTTATTATAAACTGTTTGTTTTGTCACCTCTAGCTTGATTAACTGTTGTGTGCTCTAATGTTATGTTTTCAGTCATTTATCATCAATTTCAAGCTTACTTAACTTACTTTTATTGTTAATATTTATAAGATAACTGCATTTTAGTTATAGCATTGTTGTAATGTACTATTTAATGTGTCATGATGATGTAGGTTTGGTTGAAAGTTCATTTACAAACATCCGACAGAACCCATAGACAAAATGAAATGCTCCCTGACTAGGTTTCCTCAGAAGCTTTTATGGCAGCACCTCTCCATAAAACCATAAGAATCTGCCCCAATCCTCCTTGGATGCCATATGAGTGTCACTGGTTACACTTGTAGCTTATTGTTCAGGTTGGACAGGTAAATGCAACATTCTAAGCTCACTTGTGACTGCATAAGTGAGTTACAGTTGCCCACATGTCCGTGAGACAGTTGTCTTGAATAATGACTACATGCTGCAGACATTATTTTATTACCTATGAGGGCGAACATATATCGGGGGTTCATATTTTTCATACGATGACCTAGGGCAAATGATCACTTTGTCATGATGACGTGACGTAATGAACAAGGCTATGACGTCACGTTTCATCTGTGACGTCGCGTTCTACATGCGGCGCCGGCGGATAGCCAGCCTGTTTTTGAAAGTAGATTTGGGTTTATTTTCCTCAATCTGACGACTTCGGTAATAAACAGAATATTATATTCGTGCCAATATCATACTATGTTTACGACACTCGTGCGTAAATATTGGCATATCCCTCGCTCTCGCTCGGGAAATCCCAACATATAGGCACTCGTGTCGTAAACATAGTATGACATGGGCACTCATATAATATCCTCTATTTAGATTAATATAATAAAGCAGTGTAAGACATCAAAACCAGACCATCATACCTTACCGTACCAGGTTTAAAACAGTTGTTTCACTTGGGCACCAATGATTAACCTGGTCTTTCTATCCTTACAGCTGCATGCTTACCAGGAGCATATTGTAAATGGTTAGACCACCATATTCAACCTATTTGCTAGATATCCTTGTTTGTCAATCTTACAGTTTTCAAGATTGTTATATATTATTTTATATTGAAAATGAAGATAAGTCTCAGAACTATTGAAAGATTTTCAAACAATTAACACCATGATAGAAGATGTAAATGAATCCAAGAATATGTCAACAGTCATGTGAAATATTTTGTATTTTCAGTTGGTTGTCCAGTTGGGCATTACCAGGACTCATCCACATCCTGCAAACCATGTGGATATGGCTTTTACCAACCAGAGAAGTGGCAGTCACTCTGCAGAAAGTGTGACACTGGGAGCACAACATATCGTATTGGAGCAACGTCTGTAACAGACTGTGTTTGTAAGTAGTTTTTGCTGTTAATTTGTCTTATGGTCTGGCTACCCGTAAAGATCCAGGTTAGAATTGATCTTCAGTAACCCATGCTTGTCGTACGAGGCGACTAATGGGATTGGGTGGTCAGACTCACTGACTTGGTTGACACATGTCATTGTATCTCAGTTGTGTAGATCAATGGTCATGCTGTTAATCACTGGATTGTCTGGTCCAGACTCGATTATTTACATACTGCTGCCATATAGCTGGAATATTGCTGGGTGCGGCGTAAAACTGAACTCACTCACTCACTATGTTCTGGCTTATAAGATATGTGACACCAAAGTTATAGACAACAAAGTATTTGTTTCTTTGATCATATTATTGTAATCATACAGAACCAGAGTTACATTTGGTATATTTCCTCCCACGTACCCTGTTACTATAAACTGCAAATCATACCTTCCTTGCAGTGGAATGTCCAACGGGAACTCAGTTTAACGCTGGCACAGGTAGATGTGATCCTTGTCCGCAGGGCTACTTTCAGGACAAGCTCAATCCCACAGTGTTTGAGTGTATCAAGTGTGGTGACCCTTCTGTCATCACTGCTGGCCCTGGTGCCACATCGGCTGCAAACTGTACTGTCAGTAAGTAATTGTGATATCAATAAGTCTGTCTCTCATACAATTCTTCTTCTCCAAAAAGGGGTGGTGGTTAAAGTGTTCGCTCGTCATGACGAAGACCCGAGTTCGATTCCCCACATGGGTACAAAGTGTGAAGCCCATTTCTTTTTTTGTGTGTGTAATTGATATTTTATTACTGAAGGGACAAAAGGACCAGGGAATTCCCTGCCCTCTTGGAGAATTAAAAAAAATCAGCATGATGAAGGATTCAGAGTTTTAACAAGATACACATGTAAAACTGTCACACACAGTATAAACACACAATACAAAAGATCCACATGAATAGTGATAAGTTGCTGGTGTGAATACACAGGTGCATATCAAGCAAAGCTAAGATAGAATTAGTTCACAACTTTCATTCACACTTGACCAAGAAATATGGTAAATATACCAATCATCATAATATAACATTATAAAGGATGGACATGGCTGGACTCATAGTGAAAAGAAAAGAACATTCAGTATTCTGAAATCAGTTAGCTGGAGTCTTGAAACAATGAGTGGTAGGACATCCGCTGCGAATAAAATTTATTTCGTTCACATTTATCAGTAAAGATATATTTTTCTATTGTATATGTGTGTTTTTTTAATTCATATTGGAAATTCTTGAGAGATAGGTTTACCATTTTTAATTTACATTTATAAATAAAAAACTTTGAAAGAATGAAAATCAAGTCAAAAACCCTATCAGTTATTACATTTTCCTTTATACCAAATACAATGAGTTCTGCACTTAAACTCATGTTATAAATATGGTCACAGCTAGTAGTTATCCAAAGAAGTAACTTACTCCAAAAAGCCTTCACTTCATGACACTCCCAAAAAAACATGCAAAATACTTTCTTGTTCAGAATTACAGAAACTGCAAAGAGGACTCACAGCCTTACCAATTTTAAATAAATATACATTTGTTGCAATTATTCTGTGCAGCAGTCTATATTGAAACCATCGTAAATTTGTGTCTTGTGTAGCCTTGAAAGGTTTAAGATAAATGTTTGGCCAGTCAAAAGTTTGGAATAAGCCATTTAAGTTGTGATTTAATGAAACTTTTGGAAGAAAGGAATATAAAGTAAAATCTTTTTGAACCGTTTTTAACAGATGCAATTTCCTTTAAAACTGAATTTTCACTAGTGGCAACATGATCACTTGGAAAGCTCTGTGAAGCCCATTTCTGGTGTCCACGCCGTGTTATTACTGGTATATTGCTAAAAGCGGCATGAAAACTCACTCACTCACTCAAATATATTTGCCCTGATATATATTCCTACGCCAACACCATACCTATCATCATGTGTTTCAACAAAGGATTAAACAATTAACACCTGCGTCACTTCAGACTTTCCACCGTTCTCTGTTTCACTGCAACACTGTTCAAAGTGGTGGTAAACCAATTTCATTCATGGACTTGGTATTTTATAAAGGATGCTCAAGAGATTTTTCTGCGTGCAAGTCTTCATTTTAAAAGTCATAATTTTTTTCTCACTTGCTGAAATGCAAAATAATTTTCATCTCTTCATGTTCTCTTTTAAGGAAACTGCACAACCCTTGGACAGTTCCGAAACAGCACTACCAACCTCTGTCAAGACTGCCGTATTGGAACCTACCAGGACACTAAATGGCAGGATTCTTGCAAACCGTGCCTAACAGGTTACACCACACGCAACACAAAAACTCCGAGTTCAGCTGGCTGTCTTCGTAAGTGTCAACATGTATCTCTTGAAACACAACAGAGTGGGACAATTACAGTTTTAGACAGTGGAATTTACAATAGAAAAATCACTGTCACTTTTTCAAACCTCTAAATAATAGGGGCGGTGGGGGGCCTAGCGGTTAAAGCTATTGTTTGTCACGCCGAAGACCCGGGTTCGATTCCCCACATGGGCAAAATGTGTGAAGCCCATTCTTGGCATCCCCCACCATGACATTGCTGGAATATTGCTAAAAGCGGCACAAAACAACTCACTCACTCTAAACAATGTTCCAACAGAGTCACAACATTTGTTCTGTTAAAAGCAAACCACACAGTGTGACATTGGATATTTTATCACGAGGGTAGTTTCACTCATCTTCCAGACCACCACAATTTAAAAACATTCTAATCCTTCGGACTCTTTTGTGCTGGAAATTTAGTTATGGCCTAGCATAGTTGGCAAACCAACAATGTGACAGAAACACAGGTTCATCTGGACCTGGAATAAACATATGTTTCCTCTTCATTCAAAGAATTAGATGTGATCTAAATCAATTTGTTTTTCATGTTAAATTAGGTATTTTCCATAAAAGAGGGTGTCACAAAATGTCATACTTTTATGTTGAATTTATTACACATGTGAATAAAACATGAATCAATATTTATGTACAGGACATTACAAATACACACACACGCACTCACACATTGGTTGGTTGGTTGGTTTGTTGTTTAACGCAGCACTCAGCTATATGGCAGTGGTCTGTAAAAATCGTGTCTGGACCAGACAATCCAGTGATCAACTGCATGAGCATCGATCTACACAATAGGAATATGATGACGTGTGTCAACCAAATCAGTGAGTCTGACCACCTGATCCTGTTAGTTGCCTCTTACGACAAGCATGGGTTGCTGAAGATCAATTCTAACCCTGATCTTCACGGGTCACACACACACGTTGGAAATACCTCTTACCTCATGACCATTATGCCAAGACTTCCTTTGTTTATGACTGGAGATGATATATTCCCTACAGGTGACTGTGACGCAGGCAAGACTCAGGTTGGAGATGGTTGTACAGACTGCCCTGTAGACACCTACAGAAGCAAGACTACCTGGACTTGTCAGGCCTGTCCCACAGGCCTCAAGACAGTGAAAGTCGGGGGCTGCGTCAGTCAGTGAATGTAATGTGTGTAAGTATTTCCCAGTTATTACCATTGTTTTCTGTGGACCTACATCAAGAAATTGACTCACAGTCCTTCGAGTAATTGGAAAAACTAAAGGGTATTAGATCCCGCATGCTGCAGACATTATATTAAATTGATCAGAGACCTATTATATGGTCTCTGGATTGATATAATAAAACAGTGTAAGACATCAAAACCAGACCATCATACCTTACCGTACCAGGTTTAAAACAGGTGTTTCACTTGGGCACCAATGATTAACCTGGTCTTTCTATCCTTACAGCTGCATGCTTACCAGGAACATACTTTAACAGAAATGACAGTAGATGTGCGGACTGCCCTATCAATACCTATCAAGACTCAACATCCACATTTGGCTGTAAGGAATGTCCTTCTCTCAAGTTTACCAGAACTGTGGGCAGCAGAAGTCCATCGGATTGTATCGGTAAGTTGCACATAGGACCTTGTAGTACAGGAAGTGGTGTAGCAGTGGTGTTGTTGACAGTTATAAACTGCACAGTTTATATCAAAGTGAGATGTCTAGCATCCATCATGCAGTGTGGTTTATAGGATTTTTACTGAAACATTGATTAAGTGTTGTTTTTGATAATTCCAGTTGGATATTCATTCAAATTAATTATGGGGTGGTGGGGTAGCCTAGTGGTTAAAGCATCCGCTCGTCACGCTGAAGACCCGGGTTCGATTCCCCGCATGGGTACAATGTGTGAAGCCAATTTCACGTGTCCCCCGCCGTGATGTTGCTGGAATATTGCTAAAAGCGGCGTAAAACTAAACTCAGTCAGTCAGTCTTTCAAATCATTTTGTAGATCAGACACTTCACCAGGGCTTTCTACAAAGTCTCAGCAATCATACCTCACATACTTTATCACAGACATGTGAGAGTTAGAAATGGGCCTGGCCACCATTCCTTTTAATGGGTTGCAAGGTGATAACTTTGTCAAAACTAAATGGCCTTCAACAAGATTCATTTTGAAGAAAAATCTTGTTGACATTTGTCAAGTTAACTATAATCAAGCAGAAAGACCTCTTTGGTCACGTGAACAACACGTCTGACCATAGACCAGAGGGACCATAATTCCAATTCCATCATCAGATTCACAAAAGTTGTGGCCGCTACACTTGGATCGCTGATCATTGGTTTGAATCTCAGAGTTAATACGATTCCTGGTTTTGTGGGGGTGGTGGGGTAGCCTAATGGTTAAATCATCTGCTCGTCATGCTGAAGAGCCAGGTTCAATTCCCCACATGGGTACAATGTGTTGGTATTAAACAAAATATAGGCTCATTCAGTGTCATTCGATCAGGCATTAAACTCAATATGGGCTTATTCAGAGATGAAATGTTTCTTTGTAGGTTTCTGCGACACAAGTAACAACTGTTCAGCTAATGCCAAATGTGTGGAAGATCGCATTACCAAGTACAAGTGTGAATGTAATTCTGACTACCGAGGCAACGGTTTGACCTGCACCCGTAAGTATACACATGCACACACAGATAATTTCCTGACAACAAATAATTCTGGGGTATCCAGGCACTGACTGTGGCTCTAAAATGCTTGAAAAGTGAATGTGAATCACTATTCAGACAGCAGCAATATCTTTATCCAGAGTGATGTCCGGATGGAGGTTTTCAGAAAAAGTAGGCCTGTTTCTTTGTTACAAGATTTCGGTAGAAACTTTTGGCTGGTAGATGGTTGTGTTCTCGTTAGTTGAAGCAAATTAGCATCATATGTGTTTTTTGTGTGTGATCAGCTGCCTTCTGAAAAAGTGTTACCAAGTGTAAAGTTTGTAATGAATGCACTGTTTTCATAGACAAGTATTTTGTCAATTTTTTCCTGTTTACCCTCCTGTGTATTACTGTTAGAGGTAAATGTGTTTGAATGAGCTTGAATGTGCATGACAGGGGAAAGTGACATGAGTTCTCTAGTGTGCCTACATTAAACTGTATGGTGAAAGGAAATAATGAAGAAGCTAACATGTAGTCAACAACATTGCATTGGCCACATAAATCATTACCTAATCTAACATTTAAGGCCAAAAGTGCAACATAAGTCTGCCAGTTCTTTAAGGAAGAGAATCTGCCCATCCTTTCTGCAAACAACCCTTGTCTTTTCGTGTCAAAGCTCTCTCAATGCTAGTCTTATCAGTAAATGTTTGGTAACACTTCAGATGGAACTTAGCTGTGCTTTAAGAAGCTGTATTTACTTTCTCAGAGACAGATTTTTCAATGCCATCTAGTTATTTCCATATTGCAACAGATTCACTCACTTTTGCTCATGCTATATCCGTATTTGGATGTAAATCACCGATTTTATTGTCAGTAATGAGACAAAATACCTTGCAACCATGGTGATTCAATGCTTTAGAATTTTTCATTTAAAGGCTTCTAAATAACTAATGTGCAAGTGATTTAACAAGAAAGGCTTTTTAATAGGCTTTAAAAATAACAGCCTTAATTATAAAACACTAACTTTGTATTCACCAGATATGTTGAAGCACTTTGACACAATTTGGGGCTTTGGCCCACGGCCTAATAAGGAATAATGCATAATGGGTTTTTTATGTGTTGGGTTAAAAAACTAAGTATGTTTTTTTACCATGTATTAACAAACAATTTATAGTTAAATGGGATTGAAATAGTGTTTAATTTGCAGATGTGTTTAAATATTGAAATTATCAAAATAATACTCACCATGTGGACAAATCAAAAGCTATTTTGCATCCCATCAAACTGTTTATCAGTGGCACTTTCAATCTCAAAGCTTAACGTGGGTGTGACCATTTTCAATGTGTAATTTGTAGAGTTACTGAAATTGAAAAGACATAATTGTTGTTAGGTTTTAAGTTTAGATGGATTATCAAAAGATATGGACACACTTATTTACACAAAGTCACACCTAAACTATTTGTCTGTGCCTACTGGCACAATTTGAAAAAACTGAATATCTATTCCTGGTCAACTTTCTCCATGCAACTTTTATTTGTGGTTACAGATTTGTGTGACACTGACTACTGTCAGCATGGGAGCACCTGTAGCCGTGGCCCGCCAGCACAGTGCCTGTGTTCAGAGTTCTACATTGGTGACCAGTGTGATATCAGACGAGGTGAGTTGACCACTGGGCAGAATGGTCTGCTGGTGTGTCACATGCTGCTATAATGTGAATTGCAGAGCCACCATGGCTGGAGTCCTGGTAGCTCTGACCTGGATGACTTTGTTGTACCCGAGTGCATGTCTGATATCTGATGGTCACAGTGAATAAGGGCACCTTGTTTAACTGTGAAATATGAATGAGTGTTGGTTATTTAACCAGATATATGTTCAGTGTCTTCAAGGATTCCCATTGATCATACAGGTGACCTTAAGACACAGGCCTGAATGTTCTTTCTGCCTTTGTATAAAGATGTCATTTCTAGCAAGAAACCTGGATGACTGTCTGTTATTTTACCCATATAATATTCTATGTCTTGTAATGATTTCTGATGATCTATCAAAGATGGGGATTTAGTCTAAATGAAAATAGGTTGATCATTGCTTTGAGTCCTGTTGTTTGAATCTGTTAAAAAACCCATAAAATCTGAAAAGTGCTGCCTCAGAATAGCTCATACTGATGGCTCAGCAATGGAAGAAGGGTCTGTCTCCAACAATTGATGAAATTTTTGTTATTTTGACGGCCATAATTGTAACAAAATAGTGTATTTGTTGCCTTAAATCTCTTATGATAAATCAATCAGACATATTTTCTGTTTCATTTCAGCGGCTGAACTGGTATCAAACCAGGAGACATTAACAATCGTGGGTCTTGTCATCGGCATCTTAGGCTTTATATTGCTGCTCATCCTAATCGCAGCTTGTCTGTATCGCCGACGAAGGTAAGATCATTTTACTATTATTTTTCTGGGACAAACCTATTTAGAATGGGGGTGGGTGGGGTAGCCTAGTGGTTAAAGCGTTCGCTCATCATGCCAAAGACATGGGTACAATGTGTGAAGCCCATTTCCTGTGTCCCATGCCATGATATTGCTAGAATATACTAAAAGTGACATAAAACTAAACTCTCACTCACTCACTGTTCAGAATGATACAAGTTGTCCACGTTTTTAAGATCCTTGAGTTTGCATTATTTGTAAAATAAACTCTCTCACAAATATGACCAAATTTGTGTATGTTATTGTAATAGTTATTGTTCTCATTATCGCAGACCAACGCCTCCAAGACAGGCTGCTAGTGATTATGACGACAGAGCCAGCCTTGCATCCCCAAGAGGACCCTATGACTACCCTCTGGCCTATGTCCCATCTAAAGCAGCATCAGTTATCAGCGGACCCAGATATATGCTGCCACAAAATGTGGAAAAGAGTTTTGATAATCCACAGTTTATTATTTCAGGTAAGTTTGAACAAATAGTTCCTTCTCTTTAAATAGACATGTACAATGTATTGTTCCTTTCAGAAGTGATTGTAAATGTTGCGACAGTTTACGTTATCCATTGACAATGCTAACACTCTGGGCTATGCAAGTTGCACAACTAATCAAAGAAATTAATCTTATGATGCATTAACACATGTAGAATATAAAAATAAATAGGCGCAAATGTACTTAAGTTAAATGATATATCTAAAAGATGAATAACATAAATCTTTGCTTTCTTGCTTGTAGTTCTATAAAAATTAATCTGTCACTGAAGATTTCTGTACTCAATATAACTGAAAGATACACCATGTTTAAATGTATCCACCTATCATGGGTTTGAATACCCCAATAATCCTTGGTTTGTCACCACCATACCCAGGCCTACCAAAGAAAACATTCCCACTGTGCAGAAAAACGGAGAAAAGCCCACAATAATCGTGGAAATAGCAACATATACACATTACCTCGCTACTGAAACAGTAAAAACGGCAACGAAAAACTATGAAACTGTAACATTTTTATATCAGCGAACTTTGACCTCTACTGCTCATGTGCATTACGATCTGGGCTTCTTTCCAATTTCCGAGCAACCGTGAATCGCCTCGCGTAGAAAAAGTATTAGATATGTCGAAATAATTGCTGTCGATCGTTTCATCGAATGGAAAGTAAACTAAACAAGTGTGCACTCAAGTATCATGATGATAAATGCCAAATAACACAACAGAAATACTTAAAAAGGAATGTAACTTTTGTCCAAGCTGGAAAATGTCAACATGTGGTCGAGACTTCCTCTTCCATGTGCGCATGCGCAAAATCGAAGTTGCGGGCTCCTCGTTTTATGATGCAGTGTTAGCGATTTAAAGTTGCCGTTTTTACTGTTTCAGTAGCAAGGTATTATGTTTTAGTTGCTATTTCCACGATTAATGTGGGCTTTTCTGCGTTTTTCTGCACAGTGGGAAAGTTTTCTTTGGTAGGCCTGATACCCATGATTGTAGGTTCTATCAAAGTGGTAAAAGCCTACAACTTTCGTTACCCCAGGCTCTGTGAAATACTGTTCAAACAGGTGCCATGTTAACAAAGGTTACTACGTTTTTTCCACTTTAATATTACAAAAATGAAAAGATGCTAAACATATATTTCCTGACCTTTTGAAGCCCAAGCTAGTATCAACCAATCTGTGAGGTCCAAGGTTACCCGACACGAAGTTGATTATACAAGTATCATATGACCTTGATGGGAAGGTAACCACGTGATTTCAGTCACGTCATTGTTTGTTTCCCGTGTCCCATACTAACTCAATACCTCTTCTAGCTGCCTAGTCTTTTAAGTCATTGCTTAAACATTTTTCATATAATACCCGAAAACAGGAACTGAACACAAGTCTATGTAGGGTAGTATGAGTCATTCAAGCCTATGTTGCATTGAATTGCTGGAGTATGGTAAATTTGACTAGCTTATATCTGCTGTTCCTGCTTCTAACAGTTTATATTTACTCATGTAATACTTGTCTGCAAACCTTTTTTGTGAATGTCTGCTACCATGGAATGTTACCCCCTGTAAATATGATTTATGATAGACTCTTGACTAACAAGAATTATTACATAATCAGTGGAAACTATGAATTACTGCATGATGTAAAATAACATACCAGATGAAGTATACAGCTTTGCTAGTCTAGTTATAGTATCTGTCATCTTTCCCATCTATTCTCAAATTGTAATAACACTGTATATATTTTTCTGCTATATTTTTTAAATAGATACTTGGGTGGTGTGTGTGTTTAACTATTTAAACTTATATAGAATGTTCATCTTTTGAATGAAATTTTGACTATTTTATGCAGGCAGGTGATCAAACGGTCTATCAACTCTGAAGGTATTCAATGATAAAATCATATGCCTAAGTTTTAAGATATCTAATAATAATCTTATTCCTCACCACTTTTTCAGTCCTGGCAAATGTGTATGTCGAAATTCTAGATATCAAATCCACACACCTGTGGCCTATATTTATGCACAGAGTTAACATATGAAAAAATGACTGGAGAGACTTTACAACAAAATGACATTATTTAGCACAGGTGTGTGAATTTGTAACAAAATGACATATTCAAATGCAGTTGTCAGTCTATGTATTGCAGTGGTAACCTGTATCAAGCACGGGTGTTTGAATGTATATACCACAAAATGACATATTCCAGCACATGGCATACTCTGTAGTGGTCTACAGGGAGTCTAAATTTCCTTTAAGATGACCTAATTCAGCACAAGTGTGTGAATTTACTTCAGAATGACCTAATTCAGCACAAGTGTGTGAATTTTCTTCTGAATTGACCTAATTCAGCACAAGTGCTTGAATATACTTCAGAATGACCTAATTCAGCACAAGTGTGTGAATTTTCTTCAGAATGACCTAATTCAGCACAAGTGTGTGAATTTTCTTCAGAATGACCTAATTCAGCACAAGTGATTGAATTTACTTCAGAATAACCTAATTCAGCACAAGTGATTGAATTTACTTTAGAATGACCTAATTCAGCACAAGTGTGTGAATTTACTTTAGAATGACCTAATTCAGCACAAGTGAGTGAATTTTCTTCAGAATTGACCTAATTCAGCACAAGTGAGTGAATTTACTTTAGAATGACCTAATTCAGCACAAGTGCATGAATTTACTTCAGAATGACCTAATTCAGCACAAGTGAGTGAATTTACTTCAGAATGACCTAATTCAGCACAAGTGCGTGAATTTACTTCAGAATGACCTAATTCAGCACAAGTGAGTGAATTTACTTCAGAATGACCTAATTCAGCACAAGTGTGTGAATTTACTATAAATAGACATGAATTATCACAGTTGTATTAATTTACCACATATTGTATTCTTTACCATATGTGTGAATTTAAATATTTATGACATATGTAAGCACAGTTGTGATGATTTAAGTGAGCAGAGGTGTGTGGATTAACTCCAGTAATGACATATTTTGTCTTGTTTAATACAAAATATTTGAAGTTGGTTTCAAGAAAACATTGTTCCATGCCGTGTGTCATTATCCTTATGAATCTGTGAGTTTAACAGGGGCGGTAGGGTAACCTAGTGGTTAAAGCGCTCACTTGTCACGCCAAAGGCCCGGGTTTGATTCCCCACATGGGTTCAATGTATGAAGCCCATATCCGGTGTCCCTGCTGTTATATTGCTGGAATATTGCTAAAAGCGTCATAAAGCCTTACTCAGTCACTCATTCACTAACTGTCAGTACATCACACTGTACACTGATACACATGTTGTTGTTACTGGTGAGGATGAAGTAACTAACACATCACAAAATGCCTGGAGTTAAATCTACTGAAGCTTTCATACCTGTCTCTTTCTCATAATATACTTACCTGTGTGTCACTTTCCATCTTTGTATTTATAAACTATCCACAAAAATTAAGAATAAATATGATGACTATTCCTAGGATTTCTTCTTATGTTGTTTTCAAATGTTAATAAAGGACTTTTTTTAAACATCAATACGTTTAGCATAGTTTGTAAAGGAACTGCATCATTCTTGACAAATACTGAAAGTTCTTTAAACAAATACTAAAGTAAGCGGTATTTACCTACATATGTGTTGAAATCACTTTTTTTAAGCTTATTCACCTCAAATTTGTGGCATACTAAACAGAAATATTGCAATTAGAAATGATTATTTTCATTTTAATAGATTACTTTTGTGTATCATGTTTCTGATTATTTTATATTCTCTAAAATAAGTACACTGTAGAATGAAGTGGACTCAGTAATCAGGACACACATATTCTGTTCATAATTAATGTTACTACCTATAGACTTGTTCAGAATATATATACATTTTGTTGTTGATGTAATTATTTGGGCATAAACCTTTACCTGCCACTTAAATTTCTCATAAATGAATTTTGTACTATATATTTTGTGTTTTTCTTTCAGATGACGACCCTGCTGTGTACAAAGCTTAGCAATAACTGAGACAAGACTTGCAAGGTCACAGTCACCTTTCATCACACTATTTTGTTCACCTTTACACAGCATTTGTCTGTAGTTATATACAATCTCTTTTTTTCTTCAAAAAGACACTTTTCAAGATTTGATGCAACTAAATTCTTTAGAAATGTTTATAATTAGTTCCTCATGCCGCATGTTGAGAGAGATTAATTGATTAATTTGTCTGTCATTTTGAGAAACAATGTTATATATTTCTATTGTAAACCCATTTTTTTCACCTTGTTTACACCTAGTATTGTAATTTAGAAATCCATGCTGATGTTATGAATCTGAATGAATGTACTAATAGCGTATGTTATGCTCTCAGAACTTTGTGGCATCACATTCTCTGTACACAGCATGCCAGACGTGCATGATATGTACATAGCTTTGCTACAGTCAAATGAATTTCTTTTATATGATCTGTGTTCATCAAATTTAATTTAAAATACTCACTACTTAAGGAGCCTTGCAAATATCACTTACATCAACTTTGGATGAACCAACAAATGTTTTATATTTAATTTTTTATACAAATGAATTGTCTTGGTTTGTACTTTTCTATTACAAAAGAGGAATCTATTAAAATGAAATATCATGTTGCCCATTTCCATGAATCAAAGACCCCATTGAATTCAGAGGTGATGGTTGATGCCACAGGTTTGTGATATTACTTTTTGGTGTAAGATTTGTATATATTGTGAATACTCTAAACAGAAGAGATTATACCATGCACATAAAATGTCAGAAATAATATTAGTGTGATATAAAAGCTCACTGTATAAACTGTACAATGTAGAATTGCCTAGCTAAGGTGATATTCTAGCTGCAATATCATGGACCTTCTCAAATGTATTACTAACATTTAGAAACTACAAACCCATGGTTGAACTTAATGTTAAGTAAAATTTTGTGGAAATTAATTTTGTTGTACAGTGTATTTCTGATCATGGATCTGAATTGACAAAAAGCAAGTCAGCTTGATGAGACTGAAAAACCTTTGTTCTTTATTGAGAGAGATACTGGACTTAAAATCATACTAACAGTTTGCTATAAGAGCAACCAGAGACTAATGCCTCACATTAATATCATTGTTTATTAGACTTCACTCATATCACCAAACTCATGCATTGTTAACCAAGTATTATGGATTATATTTTATATATTGAATAAATAATCTATGTAATATACCCTGGGGTTTTTTCATATTTTTTGTTCCATGGACATGTTGCAGACCAGGGTCCTGTTTCACAATGCGATCTTAGCACTGGGATGGTCATAATTCTCTGTTAAAGTAAGGGAAATAGGAGAGTCATAGTGCTATGATTGCAACCCAGCATTCAATCAGTGAGCATCAGATTCAGCTGTATGTTGATGAACAACTTCTTTATTACAGTGGGAACAACGTTCTAACACCTTTATCAAGCAAGTGATACATTTTGACCACAATCAATTTTTATTTGCCATTCGCCAGTGACAACAAGGGCTAGCTTAAGTCACAAGTAACATCACCAGTTCTTGATGGTGACATAGCACATAGGAAATAAGAGGTCATTATGTAGGGAAGCCTGCACTTATTGCAATGAAAATCACATCCACTGTAGTTACAATGAAACACATCCAGCAAAACTAGTTTGATGACAGGATGGAATCGAAAGAAAAAACCCAGACAATCCAGTGGTTAATATCATCAGCAACAATCCACAATAACAAGCACCAACCAAGAGTCTGACCACCCGATTCTGTTAGTCACATTTTACGACAGGCATTGGATGCTGAAGACCAATTCTGTCCTGGATCTTCAAACGTTTAAAATCATAAAAGATGGGTTTCCCGCCCACAATCTTACAGTTTCTCAAACTCTGGCTCCAGGACATTCTCTACAAGCAGTTCCACCATGTTTCTCCAAACAACTGGCTGATGTGTAGTTTTGGATGCTGAGCAATATTCAATCCATAGGGATGAAGCCAAAGAAACATCAGGGATGACATTCCGGTTACTAGGATATGTACATAATGGATATATATAGACACTGTGTGGCATCACCAGTGTGCAAAATAGCCACTGGCCTGGTAGCCCGTGGTTAGTAAAAATCCATTCAGGCCAGTAAATCTCCACAGTCACTGGCCCAACTGGCCAGTGAATTTTCATGGGGTCATTTTGTAAATATATCACTCTCTCCGACTTTATAAGTTAGAACACACTTTTAAATCATGCAAGATTATGGCCCGATAAAAATGTTCATCATATTAGCAGCTTAATGATGAAACCTGTGTCATGTCGACAATATCTTATTCTCATCTATTTTATAATCTTTTACTTAGTTTCTACATTCAAATTTTGGCTAGTGAATTATTTTGTGAACAAGTAACTTTTAGGCATAGCTAGCCGGACTGGCTAGCAAATTTGGAAACCATTTCGCTTGGTTTAACATCATGTGGTAGCATTACCTCCAGACTCCCTGAGGTGCCTGTGACTTGCAACAACCCACAGTTGGCAAGGGTCCATAACATCTGATTAGATTGTATATAGAAGGTCGCTGGGGTAGGCTGGGATTAATGAGTGTATGGACATTTTTTAGTTATGTCCCTGTCACTATATACAGGCATTCACAGAAGTAATTGTCCAAAATGTTGGTTAATGAAGGATGGTTTGAGAAGTTTTCTCTGTCCATATTCATAGTTCCCTATATCTTTACTATCTCCCAGTAGTTGACGCTGATTGCTTGTAACTGCACTACTTGACCGCAATGGAAACAACAGTCAGAATGGAACATCAACAAGGCAAAAAACTTTATTGAAAAATAACAGTACAAAAATCAACAGATGTATAGTAATGACAACAAGTAAAAATACTTCTATAGTATATATAACATGCATCATATTGTACAGACAGTTCACATGTTTGTTTATTTATGAGGTAGAGCTATTCTGCTAAACAGCATTTTCATATACACATTACTAGGATATATATTAAGTCCATGTTGAAAAATATCAATATGTTTATCAATAAATTTAATAACAAATGTATAACAAGTACTATTCGTATTACTGCATGACTTTAATATATGCATAACAAACTAGATTTTAACATACAGGTTTCTGGCATTACTTATTTACACCTGTTCCAACAGACTGCATATACATCCATAGATATACATTCACATGTTAAGTAGGTTTATGGTAGACAAGGTTTTGAACTCTTGGATAATGTAACTGTATTAGTGTTTAGGAAAACGAGCCAGCTATGTAGGCACCATATGCATTACCTATAAAAAAAGTAAGGGAACTAATCATTTAAATATCTCAATCACTTAGGTGTACATTTACCATGGTGTGGGGTTTGAACACAACATCTACATTGAATTTGTATGCCATGCTGGGGTTGGTCGAAAGTATGATTTCATGAAATCGTATGTACTTCACGACTCCAGTTTAGGGGTTTCCATAAAACTTATAAAAGTCTGTAAAGCTGATTGGAACAGCAATGCAACAACTATGGGATGGAGCATGGGTCATGAACAAATATAAAGTTTGAATGTGAACATTATATAAAGACTATGTCTTCAATTACAGAGAAGGTAGAAGGCCCCCTTTTAATAATCCGGTTCTGAAATGGTTTATGAACTTCTGTCATTCAATATTGCATGTAGGCGACCAGCTAATGCACATTCCAACTTACCAAGATTTAAAAGATAGTTATAGCTATTTGATCATAAATATTGATATTAACAGAAATTGAATTTATCACCATGTTCATTATTCAAAATGAATGAAGCAGCAATACTTAGAACAAATAGGCACTGGGACACAGTTGCAGCAATCACACCTGAAATGTGACCACAGTAAAGCAGGTAACATGCAAATATTTTTTTTGAATGATTCATGAGTAAATTCATGGAAATCCGTAACCGTATTGAATTTTCCGTGTCATGAACGTTTCTTCTTGTTTTTCGCGACAGTCCATCCGTCCGCGTGCTAGAGTAACTGCCCTTCATCAAAGGGAAGTTACTCTAACCCACCATTCGGCATTCGTCACCACTCGCCCCTTTCCGTAAACTCCAAGAAGGTCACGGAAAGATTCGAGTAGTTTCGAATGAATTCGGCGAAGTGATGACTTAGCATAATGTTCCGCATGGAACTGTGGGTAGGAGAGTGACTCTGACCGTCGTACGTTTCTGTAGAGTTGCGTTTGGTTTCTGTCATAACGTTACGAAGACGGAAGAGCACATCTGCACACAGCGACAAATTAAGAAAGATAATGATTTGGACAAATCTGTCTTTTTAAAACCGGTGAAAATACCCAAGCGGCAGAGGTCTGCAAGCACTGATATGGAAACGATATATCTATATGTATTCACTAACATTGGGAGGTGTATTCTAAAGGTAAGCCAAAACTTGAGGTGTTTGAGTAGATTCTACCGTTTGTTAGAGCAGGGAGACTATATATATGTTGTAGAGTATCCCTGGTTAGAGATGACAAAATATTATTTCGAGAATTTAAGAATGACTGTATACCATAAACAGATTTCTCCGCCTGTGTCTATTGCTGATACAGAATGTCATCTAAAACCCACCCGTAATAATCTCCATTTATACTTACAACAGATAAACACATGAATGAAGCCCATATTACCAACATTTGCTCGTTTCCAATTTGTTTAAGATACCATTGGATTGGAAACGTTCTTCCGCCTGACTATGATTGGGCCCACGGGGTAGCCTAGTAGTTGTAGCGTTCGCTAGTCACGTCGAAAAACCCGGTTCGATTCGCCACACGGGTTCAGGGTACAACATGTGTAGCTCATTTCTGGTTTCCCCCGCCGTGATATTGCTGGAATATTGCTAACATAAGCGTAAACCCATACTCAAGCACTGTGGCTTGTTTGTCCAAGAGGTGCTGATTAGATCCCAGACAGCTGCTGCATATGAATCATCCGAGGTGCGTAACATTGCAGTAATAGGTGCTGCCAAGCATGAAACACTGAATACTAACCGCACACATTTACATGGCAGTTCCTTAAATATGACTGATGGGAACACTGAAACCCTGTAAATCCTGGCAGCCCAGTTCCCCATGAAAGAATCGGGATTAAATGTCTTTGGTCTACTGTATATATAGTAATGTCCCTGCAACAAATTACAGGAATCCCTGACTGCAAGTGCCCCAGAAAGACTAACTCCAGATTGACGGTTTGCAGGTATCTAGGTTCGTAATGCTTATAATAATTGTTAGAGTGTGTACAGGTTACTTCCAGGTTGCAGCTGATTGCTTGTAAGTGCACCAAAACCTCTCCACAATGGAAACAGTCAGACAAAAACACCAAGGATGCAAAAATCTTTATTAAAAAACAATGCAAAAATCAACAGATGTATAATAATAGCAATGAGAAACAACAGCACTGTATTTTATATCACACTACATTCAATATTAAAGAAATTGCACACATTTTGTATGAGTTAAAGAAATATATGAATAGTCATTATAAACACGTATAACAATTGCACTATTTAAAAGTCAGATGCATGATATTTTAAAGAATATCTGCACGTTTTAATGAAATTCCTGGGGTATTTTATGAAGTAAAACGTTTATGATAATCTGCTTATATACAGATACTAATATACATTCACATGTTATATAGGAAGCATTAATTGAAAGACACATATAGACAAATTTGTATCAACAATGTAACATTAGCAAGATCACAGACACCTTATTCTATTGAAAGAAAACTCTATGTTCTTTTTGTAAATGGCTGTGGTTATGTGGCAACACTGTTCCGCTCAACAGCCAATACATATACATATATGTAAAAGTATATGTTAAATACTACATTAATATAAAATTATATCTTTATGATTTGTGAGAAATGTATTCATGGAAAGTGCTGTCTGTATCAGGGATACTCAATTATAGTGAGTGAGTATGGTTTTAGGCCACTTTTAGGAATATTCCTGCAATATCACTAGACACGAGAACACCTTTTTCGCAGACTGTGCCCATGTGGCAAATCGAACCTGCATGACGAGCATACGCTTTCACCATTAGTCTAGTCCAAAGCCCAATATATATTTTGATGCATAGGTATGTGTATATAATATGTAACAATATAGCCTAGTTGCGACAGAGCCGAAATATTCCGGATGTCAATTATATTTTCCTCTGATCACTCACTACTCGATCAGACACACCAGGTGTCATTTCGGCCGATCTCTTATCCTAGCCAAACCTAACAAATTTAGTTGTAAGAACTTAGTCCATCATTCCTGTTCACTCCTAACCCATCCACCTTTATCTTCCTTCACATCACGCTGATCCTTTCAGAACCATTCACTCCAACATCATTCCTACATAAAATGAGCAGACACTGCAATTCCCAATAACAACACACAACTGTATCATTCAGAGATGAAGGAAAAGGATACAATGTTCCACCTAAGTAGATCATCTATACACCACGCCGGTTTACAGGCATACACCTATACCTAAGACGATACCCTGGGTAATGGTTCCAACGCATAACTCCATACCCAGACACCAAAGATCTGTGTCAAGGTCCATCCCTGCAGATGCATCCTGCTCTGAAGTTATGAAGGTGAGCTTCAGTGCCCTGTCTATAGGATGTGGTTTAGATTCATGGTACGAAAAGTACCCGTCACGTTCTTCCAACTCTGGATCTGAAGAGCTGAAATACCAACAGGTGATTGAACATGTCCTCTAGTTCAAGATGGTATTTGGTTTAGTCATGTTTTATATTGGAAATAAATAACAACCTTAATGTCAAGTAAATTGAAGAGTTGATATGTCAACACAACAATTCAGTAGGTGGAGGGTGTCTTTTAGCTGAGTATGTACATTTGTTAAAGCCAGAAGCATTACGGCCCAGTTTAGATTTACAGTTTCTTACCTTGGCAAAGATGCTAAACTGTGCAGGTCCTGCTGCAGGAAGAGTGTCCATGTCATTGTCCTGAAGTAAACAAACAAGTAAACACTGTAATACGATCCATGTGACCCGTGTCATGTTTATTCAGTGCTGATATAAATGTTCATGTTCCTACTGTCAGATTATGTAATTGGAAAATGACAATGAAAACAACTTATGTTACCTACCGAGAATATACTGAACTGACTGTGTCCTGTGGCGGGTTGTGTGTCCATTGTGTTTTCCTGAAGTTAGAATCCATGTGTAACAAGAGTAACCTCTCCCCCAACTTAATACAAGGCATGTCAATAAGGTACCCAACATATCCATGGTCAGTGTGTGCTAAAACACATAGTCATGAACAACATAGAAGCCTAATAACTTCTTGCTTACATAGTTGACACACGTCATCGTATCCCGGTTGCGTAGATCGATCACGCTGGTCGAGACTATACAAGGCATAGGGAAGACAATACGGTACCGCATATCCACGGTAAGTGTGGTAACACGTAGTCCTGAACAACATCCTGCCTGCTCGTCTGTATGGGTATTACTACAGGAATCCAGAGTTCTGATTGAAATATCAGAACTCCTCCCCCTTCTTGATACCATGCCATTTCTCCATGCTTATACCATGACAATCCATTCATGTCGAATGAGGCGGATCATATGACGGTTGATCCTTGATCGGTTTATCGTCAGTGTCAAGTTTGGCTAATCCAGACTCAAGTATTAGGGACCTTTCATAATTTATGGCTAGGGGGGTAGAGGATGATTTTTATGGAGAAGCATGTACAATGTTAATGTGTGCCCCCAATAAATAAATAATTTTTTTGTACAAAGTAAGTGCCCCCTGCATGTCATGTACAAAGTCAATACCCCCTCCCCTTTCCATATTTTTAAGCATATTTTAAAAATATCTTTATGTGCAAAATTGCTGACCCCCCTAGAAACGTGTACAAAATTGATGACGCCCCTACCTCCCCAGAAACTAAATGGGTGACCCCCCCTTAAAAGCATCATCATCATCATCACACACACACACACACACAGCCATAAATTATGAACTGTCCCTCTAATAGAGCCTGACGTCATGTTGCCGAGGCCGACGTTAAAAAACAACATGTATCATCTAATCCAACCCAAATGGGATCATAAAACACTTGAAAATTGTATTATTAACATAGTATATAATCTTCTTTCTCGATGGATATTTTTGTAACCCCAAACGTAACTCACAAAGACAGTGGTTCATGCTTTAAAAATCGTAACCACTAAGTTTTACAGTCATTTAGAAGTGTAAACACGACATTACATTTCTTAAATTATGTTTTATGCACTACTTAAAACAGTGTTGAACAGAAAGAAATCTTACCCCGAAGATGCTGCCCTGGCCCAGCCCAAAGGCTGGCAGCGTATCCATTGCTTCATACATCTGTTATGAAAAAACAACAACCGAAAGACGTTCGAGGAGCAAGTTGAAATATATAAGAAATAATTTTAGTCAGAAGCGACTAACGGGATCGGGTGGTCAGGCTCGCTGGCTTGGTTGACACATGTCATCGGTTCCCAATTGAGCAGATCGATGCTCATGCTGTTGATCACTGGATTGTCTGGTCCAGACTCGATTATTTACAGACCGCCGCCATATAACTGGAATATTGCTGAGTGCGGCGTAAATCTAAACTCACTCACTCCTGTTTGTTTGAATCAGTTATTATCTACGCCTATATTTTATGAGAAATATACCAAATATCTAACCCCACGGGCTTGTTTCATTACTGCCTTTTTACCAGTTGAATATTAATGTTAATCTCTGCCTAATTTTCTGCTACATTTACTTCTTCCGTATCTGAACAAAACTTTGCGTGTTTCATATACTAAATTTACAGACTTTTGTAAAGAAGAACAGATATGTAAAACAGTTACCTGTTGGGCGGCGTGTCCGGCGATGGTAGATGGGAGTTTCGTAAGCCACTGGCTGGTCTGATGTCGTTTAAGACCTGTGGTGAGGCGACAAAGAAAGACTAATACAATTATTTAATAAACTAATAAATTGCAATATCTACTTACTATTTTACATAAATTTATCCAGCCTCATAAGAATGTATTGAGTGGCTGATACAATACCATGTCACACGTCACGATCCGCGAAATACAAAGATATTAACTGACCACGCGAAGTGAGAAAAGCGTGCACATAAGGTGCGCTGCACTGAGGTCAATCGATCAGCTGTTGTCAACAACTCACATAAATAAAAACAAACTAATAGTAAAAATTGCAATATCTACGGGTTTTTACTCCCGAGTAATTTTACATAAAAATCGACACGATGTGATAACTTATAGTATAAACGATTGGTCGTACGGAAATGATAAATTAGATCTGACTGATATTTCAAATATTTTCTTCACTGGAATCCACGATTCCAATCCCAATTACGTCTACTCCAATATGACTGGCTGATGTCGACAGGTAGGGGACAAGACCAAGTTTAACGCCTGCCAGTGGTGTGGAAAAATTATTAAGTGACGTAAAGACGTGATAAACAATAAATTGCAACATTTATTTGATATTGTAAAAAAATTCTTCACGAAAATACATGAAGAATTTCCAAGTAGATCTATTCCAACTGCCGTAATTTATACATCGGAAGACAGCGGTGGTCTGGGTTCGATTCTCCTCATTAACAACACGTGTGAAGCCCATTTCTGGTGTCGCCGGCGGTGATATTGCACGGATATTGCTTAAGGCGTTACAACTCAACTCACTAAAGCAAAACACATCCTAATACAAATCATTCTAGATCATGAGGAAAAAATATCATCTAAAACCATTTCACAGCTTGATAACAGCGTTACAGTTTATATAAGACAAATTTATATACATTTACTTGTAACTCTAAAAATACTACCCACAAGACATGATCCCGTTGGTACCTTTGAATACAATTACAAAAATGAAAAATATAACTTTAGAATACCTGACAAAGTTTAACTCTCTGTGTACCAAATTTCTGAAAGGAAAAGTCAACTGAACTACAACATGAGAAAGTATGAGAATTTAATTTATATAATACCGTATCAACACGTTTTTAAGGATAACAAGTTCATGCTAAATTCAAATTACTACCTACCAGACATTATCCACAGTTTGGGAAGAGTTTAAGAAGTACCGATAATGTATAAGATGATATATTAGAAACAAAAGCAGAGACAATGTCGTTTGCACGTGCACATTCGCCGATCGTCGATGAGGAATGAAAACGTCGCCATAGTGACGTTGTCTGTTCAAAGGGACGTTACTCTGCAAGTTACGAAGCGCGATTTTTCAAACCCGTTATATAATTCTCAGTGGTTTGAAAGTTGTTGGGGTTTTGCCTTGATTTCCCCATAATGTATTTCAAGTCGTGGTATTTCAGTTGTTTAGGTGTCTTTGCATCTGGTATTATTACATACACACATGTATAAATAATGAAAGTTATCGGAAAAACACAACTTTTATTGGTCGCCATTTGTTGATTATTTTCTTTGGTTAAGCACTCATCGCTTTAAAACAAATCTATGGCAAGCATTTCATTCTATTTGATTCTAAATTAAATGTATGTATAAAATGAGTTTAAAATACATGTATATATTGCCTTGACAAATGGTTTACTCGGTATGTGGATATTTTCTTATTCATATTCTGCTTGAGAAACATTGGCGTGAGATGCGTTTTGGGATTGTAGGGTAAGAACCCTTTTCTGTTAAACAAGGTACTACGGCAAAGTGGAGTCCATCGCGCTCAGATATTTTCCATCTGTATAACTGAGTCTGGTGGTCAGCGACCCGATCCCGTTAGTCGCCTTTCTCGACAAAGGTGTTGCTGGGGATCATTTCTAACCGGTATATTCACATGTAAGGTCCCTCATTTATGTGTATCAGTGCTTCACACCGACTCCTTACAAAGCTGTACCACGCAAACCTTTCCCTCTTCCCCTATTCAGAGCAAATAATCAGAGAGGAAACCTGATTATTTCGAGTGACATTTGAAGTTCCTGCGTAAAGTAAGTCTTTCTTTATCATGAAACAACGGATTGTTTCTCACTTGCGATGTTTATAGTTGAAGACGGTTTCCATGGTCGTGCAGACACTAAAATACAATTATTTTTGTTTGTTTGTTGTTTAACGCCACTGGTCTGTAAATAATCGAGTCTGGACGACCAATGATCAACATCATGAGCATCGACCTACACAATTAGGAACCGATGACACGTCAGCGAGCCTGACCACCCGATCCCGTTAGTCGCCTCTTACGACAAGCATGGGTGCTGAAGACCAATTCTAACCTGGAACTTCACATAATGAAGCCCTCTGTTAAGAGTCAGAGTCATCAATGATATTTTGATAAGGGTCTTCCGTGTTTACGTGTTCTGATGTGTCTGAGAAAATCATAAAAGTTTGTTTGCTTACATGCTGTGTATAGCACTCAGCTATGTGACGGTCACCTGCATGCAGTCTAAGTAAACTGCTATACTGAGTCTAACAAAACCTTGTAGAAGGTCCTGTCAGCTAACCTTTTGGACTGACCAATCAGATCACAGCTTACCAAATCGCGAAAGTTAACATTCGCACAAACCGTGTGAACCTTTACCTCAAAAACTCGAACGATTCCGAATGCTATTTTCCGCACGATCGCTTCCGAGTGATACACGCAATGAGTAAACAGTCGCAGAAAATAGCGTTTTTGTCAATATTCAAGGATGGCATCTTGCTAAAATATTAGCAAATAATAACCATATCATTAGAAACCCATAAGCGTATATACTGCTGGTCAAATATATGTGTTTTATGCGGATTTTCGTTTGTTGATAGATCAGTGTCTGCGACCAGGGAAGAGAACATCCCCAAACCGTTTTGTAAGTCCCGCCGAACCCTAACAAGTAGTCGTTGTCTGATTGGCCAAATGTTATCTGACGCGACTTTCAACTAGGTTTTGTTAGACTCAGTATAGCAGTGTAACGAATAATACTGAGTCTAAAGCCTTGTTTACATGCACCCCTTTGCCCCCGGGGGTAAAATACCCCTGAGAGGCAAATTTTGTCGTATAAACGGGTCTTACGGGTGTGTGTGTGTGTGTGTGTGTGTGTGTGTGTGTGTGTGTAAAATTATACCCCAAGGGGGGTATTCTGCCCCTGGTCAAGAGGTGGAGCAAATTCATTTACCCCCTTGGGGTAAAAGTGTCATGTAAACGGTCTATCAAGCTAAATACAACCAGGGGTACATTTGTAGAACCATCCATCCCTGCTTATAATGGAATGGTTTTCCAGGAAATCTAGACATGCATTTTGTTGGTATGTATGTTGTTGGTATGCACTACCCACCCTGTCATTAATCTGTAGCTCTACACTGGAAACAACATGCCTCCTATAACGTTACAACGTGGTTAAGCCTGGACAGATGATGAGACAAAGGGTCTGCTCTGTATCTGCGGAGACATGCCCATCCAATCCCTTCTGGGCAGCCCCTCAAAAGCTGATACAGCTGTTTATTCAAAGGTGAACAAAGTAATGCATGAACTGGGCTTTGAGAAAACGGCCATACAATGCACAGAACGAACGAAAACACTTAAAAAAATCATATGGACAGTGTAGGGATTCACTTAAGAGGAGTGGACATACCCGAAAACTCTGCACATTTTATGAACAGCTAAATGAAATTTTGCGACTTCACCTGGAAAGGGCATTCAAAGTCTCCAGCAGTCAGTTGCATCAGATACAGACATATCTGATCTTGAAGTTACTGATGATCATTTTACCGACAACATTGCTGATGATGTCGAACTTGCTGAGCCAGGAGATTATGAATATGTTAAAAATGGCCAACAAAATGGTCATATGAAAAGAAACAAAACGGAAAACAAAGAAAACCCAAACTGCAAACAACTTTGAAAACTGTCATGGACTAGTTTGCTAAACCTAATGAAGATATTGAAGCAAGGCAGATCGAGTTGGAAAAGAAACAAATTGAGCTTGAAATGAGAAAAATGACGAGAGAAAGAAAATAGAGAGTTTGCACTTGGGAAACTGGATAAAGGAGAAAGACAGAAAGCTTCTGACGGAGAACACCAATTACGTATGCTACAGTTCATCATGAACACTCCTCAACCATATGCCAATCCATCATCCATCCAATGTCCAACATTCTTGTCCAGTGGTATCAACTTGACCTTGTGGTCCTTGGTCGCCATCATGTATCTCAACCTCATCCAGCCAGTCAGGGTTGAACATGTGGTCTGATTCACACATGCTATGCGCCTACATCTTCCTTTGAAGCGTCCAAATGTATTTTCAATGACCATCCGGGCACTGCTGAAGTGGAAGTTGAAGTATGACTTCTCATCTGGTTGGGTTCCTCCGTTGCCGTAAGGTGTTAAGAGCTAGTGAGACATATGATAGGCCGGATCTGCAATGGTGACGACAGGCATGTCACCATCATTGTTAGCAGTACCCACTCTTTTCTTCCAGTCTGGGGACTGTGGTAAGATGGGACACCATCTGCTGAAGCTTTCCTCGCATATAGGAAACTTCACAACATCTGGAAACACGTGTGTACAAGTGGCATAACACACTTCATGTACCACACAACAAACTGTTGACCTGTGAATCCCAAACAGATTACCAACAAAGCGATATTCTACTGTTGTGGCCAAGTAGTATATTGCCACTGCTACTCGAATCGTTTTGAATGTGAAGATGGAACTATTCACAGAGGCGCTGGAACATGTCCCTTGACATTCTGACGTTTTCTTTACACTGAGTTACTTCCGACCAATATCTACTCCTTTCCTTTTCCAAAACAAGGCGTTCTCTAGTGATGAACCCACGCACAAAGTTTGGACGAATCTCTTCCGTTTTCTAGATTTGGACAAACGTCTATATTTATCCATGGTTATGGAGAAGTGACAAGAAATATCAATACCTCCCACCATGTAAACGCAGGCACAATTTTGCCATTTGCCCCTGCGGGTAAATTTACGCCCAGGGGCAAAATACCCATGGGGGGTAAAAGTGGTGCATGTAAACAAGGCTTTAGTAAATTCTTTTGCCCTTTGCCCCTGGGGGTAAATTAGCCCACGGGGGGTAAAATACCCCGGGGGCAAATTAGTGTCATGTAAACGCAGCTTAAAGCTTTGCGTTTACATGGGTTTTAAGACAGGGGGTGGGTATTCATCATTCTCATTTCAATCTGACCATGGACAGGTACAGGCGGCTGTCAAAGAAAAGGAGAAGAAACAGATTTTTGCAAGTTATGGTGTTATGTGTGACATCCACATTTACACACACATATTCCCAGCTGTGGTCACGTTCCCTCAAGATGAAGAACTTAAAAGAGTTATTTCAGGGTTCCAACAGAAATGGAACTTTCCAAATTGTGGAGGTGCTATAGATTCAACACACATTCCAATTGTGGCCCTGCAGCAATTCCACTCTGATTATGTGAATATAAAAGGGTTATATTTAATTATCATGCAAGCTGTTTGCGATGATAAGTACAGGTTCACTGATGTCTGCATAGGCTGGCCAGGTCGAGTTCACGATGCGCGGGTGTTCTCAAACTCTAAGCTGAGGGCTTTGGCAGATAGTGGTGAGATATTACCGCAGACAGCACAGTATTTTCCCAATTCAGTCAAACAATGGATAGGTAAAGACGACTTTCGCAGCTTGAAACATAAGAATTCCTTGTTTACCAGAATTCAATCTATAGCTAAATTAAGTTGTGATCCAAACATTACTTCAGCCTTCATTTGAAAACAAGAGTTAAGTTGCATTAGGGACAAACAGAAATAAAATCTAACTTGCATAAACACACTGCATTCTTAGCAGTTTTCTAAAAATTCACACTCAGTGAGCAAGTCAGTCACAGGTTATAAAGACTGCTGCCATCAGTGTTGTGGGTAACACTACCACGGCTTCTCCTGGGACCTTGGATGGGGGTTATGTCTACCTCTGAGTAATCTGATATGCTGTCGCCTGGTGGAGTTGCAGTGCTTGTGCTGGGCACTGGCTGCTTGTAGTCATCCGAACCCTGGCTGTAAGATGGCACTGGGTGGACTGAAGCTTGACCTGGAAGCATAGCTGCCTGCAGAGGAAACTGTGGTCTGCTACTCATGATCAGTTGGAGCATTCGCAGTTGGTGGTCTCTGTCTGCTGTTCGCTGTTTCTCCTCTCTATCAAGTTTCTTCAGTTCAAACTCTCTCCTGTGGGCCTCGTCATGTATTTTCTTCATTTCAAGTTCAATCCTTTTCTTTTCTAATTCAACTTGACTTGCTTCAATACTTTCATTTGACTTAGTGAATCTGTCCATTACAGTCTCTATAGATGCTTGAAAGCGGCTTTTTCTTTGTTTTCCCCTCTGCTTTGTTGTTTTAGTTTCGATTATTGCCTCTTCTTTTGTTTGTGGTTCAGCATATGATTTATCATCCTTGTTTTCGATTCCTGAGACATCTATGTCCAAATCCTCACCCTCGAGCAGAGGTATGACATCCTCCATCTCCTCAGAAGCAGGATCACCACCATCAGCAGCAGCATCAGAGTCTTCTGCATCTGATACTGGTGGTTTAAGACTCTGGATCACCTTTCCAGGAGAGGTGGCTGGCCTTACCTCCAGTATTTCATTCATTTCCTTGTAGAATTTACACGTTCTGTGTGATTGTCCACTTTTCTTCAGTGCATTACGGCATTGTTTGTACGACTTTTTGAGAGTTTTCATCCTCTCCTTACACTGAAACCTCGTTCTCTCATAACCCATGTCATGTAAAGCATTGCTGATTTTGCTGTATACAGCATTGTCTGCTTTCGAGGGACTATCCAGTTGGGATTGTGCTTTCAAATCACTCCAAATACTTAGAAGGCACTTTGTGCTATCATCGCACCACGAATTACCCCGCGAGCACTTCTTCTGTGGGGGCATTTTCACTTCCTCAAAGTGCACAAGAGTGTTGGTAATGAAGCAACCTATTGCATAAGTGCTAAATATAGATTTCCAAGCAAAAAAGAGTCCATTTTCTGTACAGGGGTGTTAGATATTTGTCATTTGCCCCCCGTGAAAAAATATAAAAAGCGTTTAAATGACACGTTTGCCGGGGGTATATTTACCCCCGGAGGTAAACAGATTTGCCCTACCTTTTGACCTGGGGCAAATTTTGCCTCAATACCCCCCATGGGGTAAATATTTACCCCTGCATGTACCGTTTACATGACCAAATTTGCCCCCTGGAGGCACATTTGCCCCTGGGGGTATTTTACCCCCGGGGGTAAACGGTGCATGTAAACGCGGCTTAGACTGCGGTCACCTGTAAACAGTCGGATCTGGACCAAAGTAGAGATTGATAGCAGGAGCGATGATACACCCCCTTGATGTACGAGGACACACATTCAAACAGTCATCCAACCTGACAATACCATCCATTATGCCTCCTCTTGCGGCCAGCATCGTCTGGTCCGTGACAAATCATCCGTGAAGATCTGGGTTAGAATTGGTCTTCAGCAACCCGCACCTGTCGTAGGAGGCGACTAACGGGATCGGGTGGCGCTGACTTGGTTGACACACGTCAATGTATCCCAATTGCGCAGATCGATGCTCATGCTGTTGATCACTGGATTGTCTGGTCCAGTTAATCAACAACCAACCGACCTACCGTGACAAATCCTGACTTTGGATCACTATTGGGGAATTTGCTCAAGCCAAACGCACACTCACTTCTAACTTGAGGTAACTATTGTTGTCCCTTGTTTGATAAGTAATTGTTCGCGATTTGTTTTATGATTTTGATCCATCTCTGAGTCATAAGGACCGCCTCCGTGGTGTAGTGGTTAGAGCGTCCGCCCGGAGTGCGGAAGGTCGCGGGTTCGATCCCCGACCGCGTCATACCAAAAGACGTTAAAATACGGTACTTGTTGGTTCCTGCCTGGCGCTCGGCATTAATGGGTACAACAAGGACTGGTCGCCTCGGAGTCAGTATAATGTGTCTGAGTGGGGTATTCATGCTTCACTGCGGCATGGTATCTCAGTGGGCTAGCACTATAAAACCAGCTTCAGTCTGGGCTAGTACAAGCAGCCGGACATACACATACACGCGCATGCACGTCGTCATATGAGCGAAATATTCTCAAGTACGACGTTAAACCCAATTCACCTCACCTCACCTGAGTCATAAGATGACAGTAGAATATAAAATTATAGGCTTCAGTCTAATCTACCAGTATATACCACAGTCAGAAAAACATCAACAATGTAAAATCTTTATTGAAAAATAAAAGTACATAAATCAACAAATGTATAGCAATAATAACAATGTGTAACAATAATACTATGTTACAGAAATTGTACACACAAGTGTTTTGAGGTAGAACTGCTAAATATCATTATGCACATATATATTCAGATTGTGTTAGAAGTTGTTTTTTCAAAGATATGAATACATGTATATTAATCAATAAATGTTCAGCAATGATAAACATGTTTAACAACAGTACCATTTGTAGAAAACAAGCACAATATTTTTTAGAAGTTATGTACATAGGATTCTAGTATAAATTATGTGGTAAATCTGCATTAACATATACAAAATACAATAACATGTTATACAGGAAGCGTTTATAGAAAGATATAAATACATATAACTATATCAATAAATGAAAAGCAATAATGTGTAACAATAGTAAATATAGATCACATAATGAAATTTGGTCTAAATGCATGTGTATAGACCATTTTTGTTTTTAATATACAGCATTGGTCATGTAATAAAACTGGTATACTCAAGAGCAAATACTTGTACTGCTATAAATACAAATTTACAGTTCATAGGAAATCTATGCATACAGCTATGTCTATATCGCGTATACCCAGTTACAATATATTTATATAAAGGATATGATATTGACGACATATAATGGAACAGCAATACTCCAAAGGATCACTTTTTTAATTACTTTATTTAATTACTTCCGCCGAATGTTCAGCTTTGTTAATTTTTTTACGGAATCACTCATTATCCAAAGGCAGTCAGAGACCCCCCTCCTACATAGATATCACCTTCCTTTCATACCAACACTGTTACACACGCTGCACACTTCCAGTCACATTTTCTCCCCTCTTGTTATCCCAAGTTATCCAAACACTCTTTGCTTCCACGTCCCAACATGCTGTACTTCCCCGTCCTGACCTCGTGTACCCTTCCTGTATAACCTGACCCATCAACACTTCTCGAATCGCCTCATCCCTGCACAACATTCCCTCCTACGTTATCCCCCGTGATATGGCCAGACACTACAATTACCCCAAACGAGCACACAATTCCATTCACTCGTTGAAAATGAGTAGCACATCTTTCAACATCGATAAAGAGGTGTACAGTCGTATACCCACAAAGATCATCTATCGGCCAAAGTATCGGTCCTATACGCCAGTCCGTGGACCAAGGATCTGTGGCAAGGTCCATCCCTGCAGATCCACCTTGATTTTGAGTTATGAAGGTGAGCTTCAGTGCCCTGTCTTCAGGATGTGGCTTAGATTCATGGTACCAAAAGTACCGGTCACGTTCCTCCAGCTTGGAGGCTGAAGTGGGAAACACCATCTGGTAAGTAATTGAACATGTCCGCAAGTTCAATATAGTATTTGGTTTAGGTGTGTTTAGTATTTGGTTTAGGTGTGTATAGTATTTGGTTTAGTTGTGTATAGTATTTGGTTTAGCTGTGTATAGTATTTGGTTTAGGTGTGTATAGTATTTGGTTAAGTGTGTATAGTATTCGAAAGAAGCAACAACCTTGAGATAGAAGCATGTCAAGTAAAATGAAGAGTCAACACAACAATTCAGTTAGTGGAGGGTGTCTTTAAGCTGATTTGTTAAAGCCAGAAACATTACAATACATTCCTACCTTGGCAAAGATGCTAAACTGTGCAGGTCCTGTTGCAGGAAGAGTGTCCATGTCATTGTCCTGAAGTAAACAAACAAGTAAACACTGTAATACGATCCATGTGACCCGTGTCATGTTTATTCAGTGATGATATAAATATTCATGTTCCTACTGTCAGATTATGTAATTGGAAAATGACAATGAAAACAACTTACGTTACCTACCGAGAATATACTGAACTGACTGTGTCCTGTGGCGGGCTGTGTGTCCATTGTGTTTTCCTGAAGTTAGAATCCATGTGTAACAAGAGTAACCTCTCCGCCATCTTAATACAAGGCATGTCAATAAGGTACCTAACATATCCATGCTCAGTGTGTGCTGAAACACATAGTCATGAACAACATAGAAGCCTAATAACTTCTTGCTTACATAGTTGACACACGTCATCGTATCCAGGTTGCGTAGATCGATCACGCTGGTCGAGACTATACAAGGCATAGGGAAGACAATACGGTACCGCATATCCACGGTAAGTGTGGTAACACGTAGTCCTGAACAACATCCTGCCTGCTCGTCTGTATGGGTATTACTACAGGAATCCAGAGTTCTGATTGAAATATCAGAACTCCTCCCCCTTCTTGATACCATGCCATTTCTCCATGCTTATACCATGACAATCCATTCATGTCGAATGAGGCGGATCATATAGCTAGTTTCATTGACGGTTGTTCCTTGATCGGTTTATCGTCAGTGTCATGGTGCCTCGATGATGTGGATTGTTTATCAAGTTTGGCTAATCCAGACTCAAGTATTAGGGATCTTTCATAATTTATGGCTAGGGGGGTAGATGATGATTTTTATGTGAATGACCCCCCCTAAAATGTATGTACAAAGTAAGTGGACCCCCCCGGTGCATGTCATGTACAAAGTCAATGACCCCCCTCCCCTTTCCATATTTTTAAGCATATTTTTAAAATATTTTTATGTGCAAAATTGCTGACCCCTTAGAAACGTGTACAAAATTGATGACCCCCCTACCTCCCCAGAACAAAATGGGTGACCCCCCCTTAAAATCATCATATCACTCACTCACTCGCACACACACACACACACACACACACACACACACACACAAAGAGCCATAATTTATGAACGGTCCCTCTAATAGAGCCTGACGTCATGTTGCCGAGGCCACGCTTAAAAACAACATGTATATTTAATCCAACCCAAATGGGATCATAAAACACTTGAAAATTGTATTATTAACATAGTATATAATCTTCTTTCTCGATGGATATTTTTGTAACCCCAAACGTAACTCACAAAGACAGTGGTTCATGCTTTAAAAATCGTAACCACTAAGTTTTACAGTCATTTAGAAGTGTAAACACGACATTACATTTAATCATAGTTGTATTAGCATTTCTTAAATTATGTTTTATGCACTACTTAAAACAGTGTTGAACAGAAAGAAATCTTACCCTGAAGATGCTGCCCTGGCCCAGACCAAAGGCTGGCAGCGTATCCATTGCTTCAAACATCTGTTATGAACAAACAACAACCGAAAGACGTTCTAGGAGCAAGTTGAAATATATAAGAAATAATTAATGTCTTCCTTCCTGTTTGTTTGACCCGTGAAGGTCCAAGTTAGAATGTACCTTCAGCAACCCATGCTTGTCGTCAGAGGCGACTAACGGGATCGGGTGGTCAGGCTCGCTGGCTTGATTGACACATGTCATCGGTTCCCAATTGCGCAGATCGATGCTCATGTTGTTGATCACTGAATTGTCTGGTCCAGACTCGATTATTTACAGACCGCCGCCATATAACTGGAATATTGCTGAGTGCGGCGTAAACTAAACTCACTCCTGTTTGTTTGAATCAGTTATTATCTACGCCTCTATTTTATGAGAAATATACCAAATATCTAACCCCACGGGCTTGTTTCATTACTGCCTTTTTACCAGTTGAATATTAATCTCTGCCAATTCTCTGCTACATTTACCTCTTCCGTATCTGAACAAAACTTTGCTTGTTTCATATACTAAATTTACAGACTTTTGTAAAGAAGAACAGATATGAAAAACAGTTACCTGTTGGGCGGCATGTCCGGCGATGGTAGGTGGGAGTTTCCGTAAGCCACTGGCTGATGTCGAGAGGTAGGCGACAAGACCAAGTTTAAGACCTGTGGAAATATTATTGAGTGGCGTGTCACAAAGAAATGATAACTAATACATAAATTATACCTAAACTATAAATAAACTAATAAATTGCAATATCTACTTACTATTTTACATAATAATATTTATCAACGATTGGTCGTACGGAAATGATAAATTAGATCTGACTGATATTTCAAATATTTTCTTCACTGGAATCCACGATTCCAATACTCCAATATGACTGGCTGATGTCGACAGGTAGGGGACAAGACCAAGTTTAAAACCTGCCAGTGGTGTGGAAAAATTATTAAGTGACGTAAAGACGTGATAAACAATAAATTGCAACATTTATTTGATATTGTAAAAATATTCTTCATGAAAATACATGAAGAATTTCCAAGTAGATCTATTCCAACTGCCGTAACTTTATACATCGGAAGACAGCTGTGGTCTGGGTTCGATTCTCCTCATTAACAACACGTGTGAAGCCCATTTCTGGTGTCGCCGGCGGTGATATTGCACGGATATTGCTTAAGCCGTTACAACTCAACTCACTAAAGCAAAACACATCCTAATACAAATCATTCTAGATCATGAGGAAAAAATATCATCTAAAACCATTTCACAGCTTGATAACAGCGTTACAGTTTATATAAGACAAATTTATATACATTTACTTGTAACTCTAAAAATACTACCCACAAGACATGATCCCGTTGGTACCTTTGAATACAATTACAAAAATGAAAAATATAACTTTAGAATACCTGACAAAGTTTAACTCTCTGTGTACCAAATTTCTGAAAGGAAAAGTCAACTGAACTACAACATGAGAAAGTATGAGAATTTAATTTATATAATACCGTATCAACACGTTTTTAAGGATAACAAGTTCATGCTAAATTCAAATTACTACCTACCAGACATTATCCACAGTTTGGGAAGAGTTTAAGAAGTACCGATAATGTATAAGATGATATATTAGAAACAAAAGCAGAGACAATGTCGTTTGCACGTGCACATTCGCCGATCGTCGATGAGGAATGAAAACGTCGCCATAGTGACGTTGTCTGTTCAAAGGGACGTTACTCTGCAAGTTACGAAGCGCGATTTTTCAAACCCGTTATATAATTCTCAGTGGTTTGAAAGTTGTTGGGGTTTTGCCTTGATTTCCCCATAATGTATTTCAAGTCGTGGTATTTCAGTTGTTTAGGTGTCTTTGCATCTGGTATTATTACATACACACATGTATAAATAATGAAAGTTATCGGAAAAACACAACTTTTATTGGTCGCCATTTGTTGATTATTTTCTTTGGTTAAGCACTCATCGCTTAAAACAAATCTATGGCAAGCATTTCATTCTATTTGATTCTAAATTAAATGTATGTATAAAATGAGTTTAAAATACATGTATATATTGCCTTGACAAATGGTTTACTCGGTATGTGGATATTTTCTTATTCATATTCTGCTTGAGAAACATTGGCGTGAGATGCGTTTTGGGATTGTAGGGTAAGAACCCTTTTCTGTTAAACAAGGTACTACGGCAAAGTGGAGTCCATCGCGCTCAGATATTTTCCATCTGTATAACTGAGTCTGGTGGTCAGCGACCCGATCCCGTTAGTCGCCTTTCTCGACAAAGGTGTTGCTGAGGATCATTTCTAACCGGTATATTCACATGTAAGGTCCCTCATTTATGTGTATCAGTGCTTCACACCGACTCCTTACAAAGCTGTACCACGCAAACCTTTCCCTCTTCCCCTATTCAGAGCAAATAATCAGAGAGGAAACCTCCCTATTCAGAGCAAATAATCAGAAATTATCATGAAACAACGGATTGTTTCTCACTTGTGATGTTTATAGTTGAAGACGGTTTCCATGGTCGTGCAGACACTAAAATACAATTATTTTTGTTTGTTTGTTGTTTAACGCCACTGGTCTGTAAATAATTGAGTCTGGACGACACACTCCAATGATCAACATCATGAGCATCGACCTACACAATTAGGAACCGATGACACGTCAGCGAGCCTGACCACCCGATCCCGTTAGTCGCCTCTTACGACAAGCATGGGTGCTGAAGACCAATTCTAACCTGGAACTTCACATAATGAAGCCCTCTGTTAAGAGTCGGAGTCATCAATGATATTTTGATAAGGGTCTTCCGTGTTTACGTGTTCTGATGTGTCTGAGAAAATCATAAAAGTTTGTTTGCTTACATGCTGTGTATAGCACTCAGCTATGTGACGGTCACCTGCATGCAGTCTAAGTAAACTGCTATACTGAGTCTAACAAAACCTTGTAGAAGGTCCTGTCAGCTAACCTTTTGGACTGACCAATCAGATCACAGCTTACCAAATCGCGAAAGTTAACATTCGCACAAACCGTGTGAACCTTTACCTCAAAAACTCGAACGATTCCGAATGCTATTTTCCGCACGATCGCTTCCGAGTGATACACGCAATGAGTAAACAGTCGCAGAAAATAGCGTTTTTGTCAATATTCAAGGATGGCATCTTGCGAAAATATAAGCAAATAATAACCATATCATTAGAAACCCATAAGCGTATATACTGCTGGTCAAATATATGTGTTTTATGCGGATTTTCGTTTGTTGATAGATCAGTGTCTGCGACCAGGGAAGAGAACATCCCCAAACCGTTTTGTAAGTCCCGCCGAACCCTAACAAGTAGTCGTTGTCTGATTGACCAAAGGTTATCTGACGCGACTTTCAACTAGGTTTTGTTAGACTCAGTATAGCAGTGTAACGAATAATACTGAGTCTAAAGCCTTGTTTACATGCACCCCTTTGCCCCTGGGGGTAAAATACCCCTGAGAGGCAAATTTTGTCGTATAAACGGGTCTAACAGGGGGGGTAAATTATACCCCAAGGGGGGTATTCTGCCCCTGGTCAAGAGGTGGAGCAAATTCATTTACCCCTGGGGTAAAAGTGTCATGTAAACGGTCTATCAAGCTAAATACAACCAGGGGTACATTTGTAGAACCATCCATCCCTGCTTATAATGGAATGGTTTTCCAGGAAATCTAGACATGCATTTTGTTGGTATGTATGTTGTTGGTATGCACTACCCACCCTGTCATTAATCTGTAGCTCTACACTGGAAACAACATGCCTCCTATAACGTTACAACGTGGTTAAGCCTGGACAGATGATGAGACAAAGGGTCTGCTCTGTATCTGCGGAGACATGCCCATCCAATCCCTTCTGGGCAGCCCCTCAAAAGCTGATACAGCTGTTTATTCAAAGGTGAACAAAGTAATGCATGAACTGGGCTTTGAGAAAACGGCCATACAATGCACAGAACGAACGAAAACACTTAAAAATCATATGGACAGTGTAGGGATTCACTTAAGAGGAGTGGACATACCCGAAAACTCTGCACATTTTATGAACAGCTAAATGAAATTTTGCGACTTCACCTGGAAAGGGCATTCAAAGTCTCCAGCAGTCAGTTGCATCAGATACAGACATATCTGATCTTGAAGTTACTGATGATCATTTTACCGACAACATTGCTGATGATGTCGAACTTGCTGAGCCAGGAGATTATGAATATGTTAAAAATGGCCAACAAAATGGTCATATGAAAAGAAACAAAACGGAAAACAAAGAAAACCCAAACTGCAAACAACTTTGAAAACTGTCATGGACTAGTTTGCTAAACCTAATGAAGATATTGAAGCAAGGCAGATCGAGTTGGAAAAGAAACAAATTGAGCTGGAAATGAGAAAAATGACGAGAGAAAGAAAATAGAGAGTTTGCAAACTGGATAAAGGAGAAAGACAGAAAGCTTCTGACGGAGAACACCAATTGCGTATGCTACAGTTCATCATGAACACTCCTCAACCATATGCCAATCCATCATCCATCCAATGTCCAACATTCTTGTCCAGTGGTATCAACTTGACCTTGTGGTCCTTGGTCGCCATCATGTATCTCAACCTCATCCAGCCAGTCAGGGTTGAACATGTGGTCTGATTCACACATGTTATGCGCCTACATCTTCCTTTGAAGCGTCCAAATGTATTTTCAATGACCATCCGGGCACTGCTGAAGTGGAAGTTGAAGTATGACTTCTCATCTGGTTGGGTTCCTCCGTTGCCGTAAGGTGTTAAGAGCTAGTGAGACATATGATAGGCCGGATCTGCAATGGTGACGACAGGCATGTCACCATCATTGTTAGCAGTACCCACTCTTTTCTTCCAGTCTGGGGACTGTGGTAAGATGGGACACCATCTGCTGAAGCTTTGAAGCTTTCCTCGCATATAGGAAACTTCACAACATCTGGAAACACGTGTGTACAAATGGCATAACACACTTCATGTACTACACAACAAACTGTTGACCTGTGAATCCCAAACAGATTACCAACAAAGCGATATTCTACTGTTGTGGCCAAGTAGTATATTGCCACTGCTACTCGAATCGTTTTGAATGTGAAGATGGAACTATTCACAGAGGCGCTGGAACATGTCCCTTGACATTCTGACGTTTTCTTTACACTGAGTTTCATCAGAACGTGGTACAGTTACTTCCGACAAATATCTACTCCTTTCCTTTTCCAAAACAAGGCGTTCTCTAGTGATGAACCCACGCACAAAGTTTGGACGAATCTCTTCCGTTTTCTAGATTTGGACAAACGTCTATATTTATCCATGGTTATGGAGAAGTGACAAGAAATATCAATACCTCCCACAATGTAAACGCAGGCACAATTTTGCCATTTGCCCCTGCGGGTAAATTTACGCCCAGGGGCAAAATACCCATGGGGGTAAAAGTGGTGCATGTAAACAAGGCTTTAGTCTACTTAGACTGCGGTCACCTGTAAACAGTCGGATCTGGACCAAAGTAGAGATTGATAGCAGGAGCGATGATACACCCCCTTGATGTACGAGGACACACATTCAAACAGTCATCCAACCTGACAATACCATCCATTATGCCTCCTCTTGCGGCCAGCATCGTCTGGTCCGTGACAAATCATCCGTGAAGATCCGGGTTAGAATTGGTCTTCAGCAGCCCGCACCTGTCGTAGGAGGCGACTAACGGGATCGGGTGGCGCTGACTTGGTTGACACACGCTAATGTATCCCAATTGCGCAGATCGATGCTCATGCTGTTGATCACTGGATTGTCTGGTCCAGTTAATCAACAACCAACCTACCTACCGTGACAAATCCTGACTTTGGATCACTATTGGGGAATTTGCTCAACCCGAACGCACACTCACTTCTAAGTTGAGGTAACTATTGTTGTCTCTTGTTTGATAAGTAATTGTTCGCGATTTGTTTTATGATTTTGATCCATCTCTGAGTCATAAGATGACAGTAGAATATAAAATTATAGGCTTCAGTCTAATCTACCAGTATATACCACAGTCAGAAAATCATCAACAATGTAAAATCTTTATTGAAAAATAAAAGTACATAAATCAACAAATGTATAGCAATAATAACAACGTGTAACAATAATACTATGTTACAGAAATTGTACACACAAGTGTTTTGAGGTAGAACTGCTAAATATCATTATGCACATATATATTCAGATTGTGTTAGAAGTTGTTTTTTCAAAGATATGAATACATGTATATTAATCAATAAATGTTCAGCAATGATAAACATGTTTAACAACAGTACCATTTGTAGAAAACAAGCACAATATTTTTTAGAAGTTATGTACATAGGATTCTAGTATAAATTATGAGGTAAATCTGCATTAACATATACAAAATACAATTACATGTTATACAGGAAGCGTTTATAGAAAGATATAAATACATATAACTATATCAATAAATGAATAGCAATAATGTGTAACAATAGTAAATATAGATCACATAATGAAATTTGGTCTAAATGCATGTGTATAGACCATTTTTGTTTTTAATATACAGCATTGGTCATGTAATAAAACTGGTATACTCAAGAGCAAATACTTGTACTGCTATAAATACAAATTTACAGTTCATAGGAAATCTATGCATACAGCTATGTCTATATCGCGTATACCCAGTTACAATATATTTATATAAAGGATATGATATTGACGACATATAATGGAACAGCAATACTCCAAAGGATCACTTTTTTAATTACTTTATTTAATTACTTCCGCCGAATGTTCAGCTTTGTTAATTTTTTTACGGAATCACTCATTATCCAAAGGCAGTCAGAGACCCCCCTCCTACATAGATATCACCTTCCTTTCATACCAACACTGTTACACACGCTGCACACTTCCAGTCACATTTTCTCCCCTCTTGTTATCCCAAGTTATCCAAACACTCTTTGCTTCCACGTCCCAACATGCTGTACTTCCCCGTCCTGACCTGACCCATCAACACTTCTCGAATCGCCTCATCCCTGCACAACATTCCCTCCTACGTTATCCCCCGTGACATGGCCAGACACTACAATTACCCCAAACGAGCACACAATTCCATTCACTCGTTGAAAATGAGTAGCACATCTTTCAAAATCGATAAAGAGGTGTACAGTCGTATACCCACAAAGATCATCTATCGGCCAAAGTATCGGTCCTATACGCCAGTCCGTGGACCAAGGATCTGTGGCAAGGTCCATCCCTCCAGATCCACCTTGATCTTGAGTTATGAAGGTGAGCTTCAGTGCCCTGTCTTCAGGATGTGGCTTAGATTCATGGTACCAAAAGTACCGGTCACGTTCCTCCAGCTTGGAGGCTGAAGTGGGAAACACCATCTGGTAAGTAATTGAACATGTCCCCAAGTTCAATATAGTATTTGGTTAGTTGTGTATAGTATTTGGTTTAGGTGTGTATAGTATTGGAAAGAAGCAACAGCCTAGAGATAGAAGCATGTCAAGTAAAATGAAGAGTCAACACAACAATTCAGTTAGTGGAGAGTGTCTTTAAGCTGATTTGTTAAAGCCAGAAACATTACAATACATTCCTACCTTGGCAAAGATGCTAAACTGTGCAGGTCCTGTTGCAGGAAGAGTGTCCATGTCATTGTCCTGAAGTAAACAAACAAGTAAACACTGTAATACGATCCATGTGACCCAGGTCATGTTTATTCAGTGATGATATAAATGTTCATGTTCCTACTGTCAGATTATGTAATTGGAAAATGACAATGAAAACAACTTACGTTACCTACCGAGAATATACTGAACTGACTGTGTCCTGTGGCGGGCTGTGTGTCCATTGCGTCTTCCTGAAGTTAGAATCCATGTATCTCACGTGCGTCGATCTTATAATATTACAAGGGACAGAAGTAATGTACCCAACGTACATAATTTGTTCATGCATGTAACACATGCAATCTCAAGACACATTTGTGCTTTCAACAGATAGGATCTGGATATTGCTATAAAACCGCCTCATGTTCTTTTGGAAATAAGGGAAACCGTACCTCAAAATTCTTACTAAGAAAACGTCCCCATCTATACCTGTGTTATATCCCAGTTGGCCCCTGCAACCCATTGTCATTGCAGATCACATCCAGATCGGGCGGATAGGCAAGGACTACGTTTTATCGTTAGTACCATACGATGCTTTGATGATGTGGATCATTGCACTCTAGTTTATCTAATCCAGACTCGATTAATGAGTCATATAGTTGGAATGTTGATGTTACCGCGTTAAAACAACAAATACAACCACAGCAAAAACTTCCTGAAGAGATCATTGAAATATTAGAAAAAGACAAATTCATATTTATCCCATGTCTATTATTTCATCCTAGACAGATTGACATTTGCAAGGTAAATGTTACACTTTAGATAGAACTTTAAAAGTTACACGTCAAGTTTGAAAACGGTGTGAGACTCTTCACCGAAACGTCGCCCTATGCAATAAACAATCCGTTGTAACTTTTAGCTTGAAAACGGTGTAAGAATCTACACAGAAACGTCGCTCTATGCAGTAAACTACACTACACTAGACCTCACAAGTTATAAGAAATAATGTACGAAACGAAACTGACTCCGTTTCTACTGGGCGGTAGATATTTAGTTCAATTTCTCGGTGGACATTGAATTATAACTCCCAAAGTATGTGATTAAAATGAAATCTTGCTGTAAGTAATATATATAGTCATAGATATTAGTATATCTTACCCCGAAGATGCTGGGCTGTCCCAGTCCAAAAGCTGGCAGCGTATCCATTGTATCAAACATCTGTTATAAGAAAGACACACACGCGACAAGCAAGAGCACATAGGAAATATTTAACTACATGTGTTTGTTTTGTTACTGCCTTAATATTCAATAATGTTAATTCGAGTTATATAATCTCTGTTTTTAATGTCCTTAAAAAGTTTGTTTCCCTTCGTTTTTCATGTGTTCAGTCTTCTGACTTTTGTAAATAACAACAGACATGAAAACAGTTACCTTTTGGGCGGCATGTCCGGCGATGGTAGACGGGAGTTTCCGTACCCCACTGGCTGATGTCGACAGGTAGGCGACAAGACCAAGTTTAAGACCTGCCAGCGGTGTAAAAGAAATACTTAAACGACGTGGCATATAGAAATTGTAAATAATTAAGTGCAATATCTACTTGGTTGCCTATTTTCCACAGAAGTACATGATTCCACGCTGAAGGTATGGATTCGAACACCTCATGGGTACGCGTGAAGATAATTTCTGGTGTCCATAGCGGTATTATTGCTGGAATATTGCTAAAAGCCGGCTTTAAACCTAACTCACTCACCTTACTAAGAATAGAAGCCGTAAAAGCATCCTCAACATTCACTAATATAAGAGAAAATGTTTCCTGAAACTTTTTCATACACTTCGCATATATAGCAGCGTAATAATGTAGAAGACATTTAATTTTGTACATTTTGTACAACTTTCACATTGATATCCACCAGGCATGATTCAGTTTGACAACTTTAAGGACAAACAAGGAATAAACCACTTTAGAAGAATTGTCAATAGGTTGCTGTCTGTGACATATTGTGTGAAACGGAACGTAAACGTACCCATAACAACTGCGAGAGTGAGGAAATATAGAAACAGTACCAATATTTTCTTACTGATTATAGACCCGTGAAGATCCGGGGTAGAATAGGTCTTCAGCAACCCATACTTGCCACAAAAGGCGACTATGCTTGTCGTAAGAGGCGACTAACGGGATCGGGTGGTCAGGCTCACTGACTTGGTTGACACATGTCATCGGTTCCCAATTTCGCAGATCGATGCTCATGCTGTTGATCACTGGATTGTCTGGTCCAGACTCGATTATTTACAGACCGCGGCCATATAACTGAAATTTTGCTGAGTGCGGTGTAAAACTCAACTCACTCACTCACTCTTACTGATTATAATTTAATTTAAGTTTCAAATTACCATCTACCTGACATAATCTTCTATTTTGAAGAGTTTCAGAAGTCCGTGCGATGTATAAGATGAAATATCAGCAGCAAAAGCAGGGACGATGTCCTTTGCGCGAGCTCATTCAGCGAACGTCGATGACGAGTGAAGGCGTCACCAGAGTGACGCTGTCTATTCAAAGGGACGCTACTCTGCGAAGTTACAACGCGCGATTGTTCAAACCCGTAACAGGGTCTCGGTGGGCTGTAAACTGTTTATGTGGATCTATACTTGATGTATTTCAACTAATTGAATCTCTCTTTTTTGCATGTGACATTTGAGCATAAACACGTTTAAAAACCGCCCAATGAAAGCAAACTACAATAACAATATTACTATTGATGAGTTATTTTACTTAAAATACATCAAAGAGAAAACATTTCATGTTTGGAGTCTACATGGAAGAAATGTCTATTAAATAGTTTTAAACAATATAATACATGGAAATTGATATTAATATACTGCTTATCAAACTTAAGAAATAATCTGAAACATCAGCATGAAAAATGAATTTTGAGACAATAGGATGAGAAACCATTTCTGTTGACAGGAGAGTACGACGTCGTGTGACGCGGCGCTCGTGCTTTCCATGCTCCACACTCAGATATATGTTCCAGCTTTATGACAGTGGTCTGTGGATACCTGAGTCTAGACCAGACAATCCAGTGACTACGTAAGTGAGATACGATGACATGCGTCGACCAAGTCAGCGATCCTGTTAGTTGCGTCTGACGACAAGCACGGGTTGCTGAACATCAATTCTAACTCGGATCTTCAAAAGTAGAGCCTATGCTCTTTGTGTATTGGCCAGCTCGACACATCGACTCGACACACAAATGTACTGTATTCACCGGACAAACCTTCACCGGACCCTCTCGATTGGTGATATGTATAGTTGAAGTTTGACTGTATTCAGATGATGGTGACAGTATCAAGTTCAGCAAATCTGCGGAGGTGAAAAGTGCATTATTTTCGGGTCGATTTGACCGATTTTACGACACTTCAATATGAAAAAATACTGTTCAGGTGGAAATGGCATTGTGTATTCGTGTTTAGGGGAAGTTTCCAGGAATTGATTTTTGTTTGTTTGTTGTTTAATGCCGCGCTCTGCAATATTCAAGCTATATGGCGGCCATCTGTAAATATTCAAGTCAAGTGATCAACATCGATCTACACAACTGGGATACGATAACATCTGTCAACCAATTCAGCGAGCCTGACCACCTGATCCCGTTAGTCGCCTCCTTACAACAAGCATGGGTTACTGAAGATCAATATTCTAACCCGGACCTTCACGGGTCATTTGTTTTTAGAGAAGTGTGGTTTGAAATAGGGTCTTTAAGCTGCCTTGTTTTGAAACGCTGGCATCAACCAGCCAAGTATGACTAAAATATCACTGACGCAACTTTCTTTTGAACAAGCCCATTTACTAGATATCCCAAATGCTGTCCACTCAAATCGAAGTACGAAATGTATCCCAACAAACTGGCGCAGAATTGAAACAAAACATAAATCCAAATCGAATTTGCCTGCACTATAAACAGCGATCAATGGAGGCAAGGTTAACAGACATGGCCTTGCACAAAACTGGTTATTTTCGCGTTTATCAAACCGCTCACGTGGCAAGTTTCAGGCGAACAGTGGCATGTGTCATTTGCCGTCGTGGCAAACCGAGATGTTATGCTACAAAATTGATGTTATAATTTTGACAAACCATGGACGAATAAAAGTTGTTAATAATGCCAATTGACGACATATGACATTATTTATTTGCTTGCGGTAACTATACTCAGATAAGACGTAATACCAGTTGTAACCTGGATACCATTATGAACGTGACATCCTTCATTTAATTTTGCATTTATATATATGTTGTATGGGAGCGGTGTTAACAATTAATGAAATGTAACTGCAGGCTCTAGGTTCATAAGCAAATACAATGCACATGTATGATTTGTCGTTTTTGTGTTTCCAGTTCTTGTGTATTTTGTTTATATGATATATGTACTGGTGAGGTATTAATGAAAGCAAGTCTTGCTTGTTTACCAAACCAGATTCTTTGAGAATAAAAATATGTTAAAACCACACATTGTCGAATGATCTTATTTAGTTAGTAAAGTTTGAGTCTTGTGTTGTTGCCATTACAAAAACTAAAGTCATCAGTATTATCGTTTTCCCCGGTGTCACTGTTAAACGTTTCCTGGTTAATATTACCCGAGCCTTGGACACGCCCCTATGGCTGTGGAATCCGTTCTGGCGTATTGCGAGAGGTATGGCGTCGTCCTGTCAGTGTTATTCTGGTTGTAGTGGAGACGTCTTGTTGATGTCGGGTTGCATGACTGATGACGATTCTGATTGTACTGATACAACTAAGTTGCTGGAGTGAGTGAGTTTAGTTTTACGCCGCTTTTAGCAATATTCCAGCAATATCACGGCGGGTGACACCCATGTGGGAATCGGACCTTCAGAACGACAAGCGAACGCTTTAACCACTGGGCTACCCCACCGCCCCTTAAGTTGCTGGAAATTAAGGCTAGTTTGGAGACCAGTGGTTATACAGAAATTGATGTTGAAATCTTGTATTCAATAATAACAGAAACCGAAATTCTTGATGCCACTGGAAATCCCAAAAGCGGATAATCACCTGATCCGGACGCGATTGTAGTAGAGATGATAAAAGCTTCCAAAGATCTTATATTAACTTTTTTGCATAAATGTTTTAACTGTTTTTAATGCTGGAATTTTGTCAAAACCTAGTCGCAGTCTATTATAGTACCTTTACATAAGAAGGGGTAACCCTGATAATCATAGACGCAGACGAGTAGTATTGGTAAATTGTTTACTTCTATCCTCAACATAAAATTAATCATGTGGGCAAATATTAGAGATAAAATTCCTGAAACACAAGCAGGTATGAAATTATGCAGAAGTACTTAATAAGAAGAAAACGTAAATTATATGTAGCATTTATTGACTTTAAGAAAGCAAACATTATGGTTATGTTTAAGACGGGCGGGATTGGATGGGGAAAATGTTGTTTATGTTACAAGGTATTCGTGCTAGCGTAAAGGCGTGTGTACGTAGTGATGGGAGATTCACTAACTATTTTGAATTCCCATTAGGTGGTTTCAGCAAGGATGTTTGTTAGTCCTATTCTTTTTTCCTCCTTGATTTGTAAATTAGAAAATGAAATTATTCATGAAGGCAAACATGGTGTACAACTATATCCTGATATTTTGGAGATTTTAATGTTAATTTTTGCTGACGACGTGATCTTAGTATGCGATTCAGTGGTAGGTTTGCAGAAGTGCAATCATCTTGAAACACCATTTCACCGCACCTCACCTCACCCTACCTCAAATCACCTCACCTTACCTCATCGTGACCACACAATTACAGCTGCGTGGTTCTAAAGAATGCCGAGCACCGACAACCATCATGCCTGTTTCAAATTAAGGACCCATTGATTCAGATTGACGTCTTATGTACATCAGAATCTCCTCAATAAGTAATCGACGTCAGTCAAATCAGAATATATTCTTGCCCTCACAATGTCTTAAACCAACAGCAACAGAAATTAGACCCTATTCCAGCTCTATATTGAGTTTAACTCAACTTCATAATGACTTCAGCTTGGAGAAACTGGCCATAACAAACATAATACTAAAATGAATACATATGAATGCGACTTAATCCGTGATACAGTTTGACGAAGGTAATTAATTCTCGTTATGGGAATGAAATACCCGAGGCGATTGTAAACCTAATCAGATTATGATTCTGGACGGAAATGAGGAAAGGTTGATTTGTCATTATTCTTTGCAAAGACAGAAGGATATATAATATTTTATCTTTGTGAACCTTGGTTGCATACTAAAATCTGCTTCTGCCCATGAAACAATTACCCGAGAAAGTTAAAGATCCCTTAGTTGTACGTACACGTTGGATACTATTTTTTAAATGTCAACTCACCCATTTTTTGGTCTGTCATACAGACCCTGAAACACATATGTCCAAGAAAGCCCATGCAATTCTAGAATATGTGGCTAGTCTAGATTTCCACAGTCTCAGGGCTCCTTTTCATTTGATTTGATTTTTTTTCATTATGAACTGTTTTTTCCGTAAAATATGTCCTTTTCAGAGACTAGTTGTTAGTCTACCATTTTATTACAAGTCTATTTTCGTTTTCAACACTATTTCAAAATGTTGATTTCACCATACAGATGAATAAAATCCAGATTGGTTTGATTAACTTACAAGAGGATACCTACAGTCATAGTACGAGATAAATCCGTTGCCATTCCAAAGCGGATATGGAACTGCGATTCTGCAATTATTGAACCAGAAGCATTATCAGTCTCAAGGCAAGATATTCAGCGATTTGACCTTTAGTCCGCGCCTGAATTGTCTGGGTAGGGACGTATATTTTGCTAAGCTTCGCAGCGAAATGCCTGGTAATAAGTTAAATGAATGAATGGTTATCTGTATCCCCAGTTTTCGTGACTGAACATAATTGCTGAGAACAATACAATCCACCCATCACCATCGACTCGTTGGTTCACAATGTAAAGGACTTATCTTGCCACTGATTGTACCTAGGTCCACGGTTGTTAAACAAATACACGCCCAAGATATAAGATTAGATCCCGAGTTTCGGAGCCGTCGACCATGTAAACTGACGGGCTAAAGAAACGCTACCATAGATTAAAAAACCCTATTGTGAAATAACCACAAAAGATAGATCCATGAAACAAAACGAACAGAGAGAAGCGGCTTTCATCCGAGAATAGTACCTCCTCTCAGAAGCCACTACTAACGTCGAACCGTCCAAAGGGCCTATCTTGGTAATATATAGGATGTGACGACAATACTTATTAGGGGAAACAATATTATTAGAGAATATATAAACACAATATTGGAACAAAAGTATATGTACATATATGAGCACACAACCCCAAAGAGTATTTACATAAATAACTTTAATTATATAACCCAAAAGAATCGTCACACCCCTCCTATCAGAGGATTTACATAGGGCCCCACCTGAGGTGAGGTGAAAGTCACATTAACTTTAAGGGCCAATGGGAAGTATAAAAATACATATATTTACACAAAGTGGGGCAATATTTATACCCAACACATTTGGAATATATGATACAGAAAACCGGTTGATTGATATACACAATAGCCACGACAGGACACCTGGCCTGTACGACACGTGGCTAAGGGAAATGGGGTATGACTGCCTGTTGGATGATCATACTAGTCAATATGAGGCTAGCTCCAACAGAATGTCAA